ACACTTTTTTATTATTATTATTCATATGTAGCATCAAGGCTTGGGTCATTCTCCCCCCTACCCCACCCCTCCCTTACCACCCACTCCACCCCCCTTCCTCTCTCCCCCACCCCCTCAATACCCAGCAGAAAACTATTTTGCCCTTATTTCTAATTTTGTTGTAGAGAGAGTATAAGCCATAATAGGAAGGACAAGGGTTTTTGCTAGTTGAGATAAGGATAGCTATACAGGGAGTTGACTCATATTTAATTTCCTGTGCGTGTGTGTTACCTTCTAGGTAATTCTTTTTGATCTCACCTTTTCTCTAGTTCCTGGTCCCTTTTCCTATTGGCGCTCAGTTGCTTTTAAGGTATCTGCTTTAGTTTCTCTGCATTAAGGGCAACAAATGCTAGCTAATTTTTTAGTGTCTTACCTATCCTCACCCCTCCCTTGTGTGCTCTCGTTTTATTCATGTGCTCAAAGTCCAATCCCCTTGTTGTGTTTGCCCTTGATCTAATGTCCACATATGAGGAGAACATACGATTTTTGGTCTTTGGGCCAGGCTAACCTCACTCAGAATGATGTTCTCCAATTCCATCCATTTACCAGCAAATGATAACATTTCGTTCTTCTTCATGGCTGCATAAAATTCCATTGTGTATAGATACCACATTTTTCTTAATCCATTCGTCAGTGCTGGGCATCTTGGCTGTTTCCATAACTTGGCTATTGTGAATAGTGCTGCAATAAACATGGGTGTGCAGGTGCCTCTGGAGTAACTTGTGTCACAGTCTTTTGGGTATATCCCCAAGAGTGGTATTGCTGGATCAAATGGTAGATCGATGTCTAGCTTTTTAAGTAGCCTCCAAATTTTTTTCCAGAGTGGTTGTACTAGTTTACACTACCAACAGTGTAAGAGGGTTCCTTTTTCCCCACATCCTTGCCAACGATGGCTATTCTAATGGGGGTGAGGTGGAATCTTAGTGTGGTTTTAATTTGCATTTCCTTTATTGCTAGAGATGGTGAGCATTTTTTCATGTGTTTTTTGGCCATTTGAATTTCTTCTTTTGAGAAAGTTCTGCTTAGTTCACTTGCCCATTTCTGTATTGGTTCATTAGTTTTGGGAGAATTTAGTTTTTTGAGTTCCCTATATATTCTGGTTATCAGTCCTTTGTCTGATGTATAGGTGGCAAATATTTTCTCCCACTCTGTGGGTGTTCTCTTCAGTTTAGAGACCATTTCTTTTGATGAACAGAAGCTTTTTAGCTTTATGAGGTCCCATTTATCTATGCTATCTCTTAGTTGCTGAGGAGCACACTTTCTGCTTCCTCCCTCTAGTTGCCATCTTGGAATCTCCTCGTTATTCTGTTTTCTCATATGCTTATGAAGAACTTTGATCATGTTCACCCCCCTTTCATCCTCTCCTTTCACCCTTCTTCCTCTCATTAGTTCCCCCACCCCCACAAGCAGTACTCCTATTTTACACTTGTGCCACTAATTTTTTTTTAGGTCTTCATTCTGCATATGATAGAGAACATGTGGTATTTGTCTTTCTCAGTCTGGCTTATTTCACTTAACATAATTTCCAATTCCATTCATTTCCTGCAAAAGACATTATATCATTCTTTATGTACTACTTCAGTATATATAAATATATGCATGTATATATGGTATTATAACATATATATAATATCTATTTATTTACCTAGCTATCTACCTGCCACATTTTCTTTATCCATTCATCAGTTGATGGACCCACAGGCTGATTCTTTAGTTTGACTGTTGTGAGTAGTGATGCTATAAACGTGGGTGTGCCAATAGCTGTATTGTATGCAAACTTAACATTCCTTCAGATGCATCCCAGAAATTGTATAGCAGGGTTATGTGATAGTATGATAGTTGTATTTTTAGCTTTTTGAGGAATCATCCTACTGATTTCCATAGTGGCTGCACTAATTCACCTTCCCTGCAACAATGTATAAGGGTTCCCCAATCCCATCTCTGCATCCTTGCCCACATTTGTTGTTGTATTCTCTTCTTTCTCTCTTTTCTTTCTTTCACACTGGGGATTGAACTCAGGACCCCTTGTTTTTTTTCTTTTTTTTGATTTTATTATTCATATGTGCATACAAGGCTTGGGTCATTTCTCCCCCCTGCCCCCACCCCCTCCCTTACCACCCACTCCACCCCCTCCCTCTCCCCCCACCCCCTCAATACCCAGCAGAAACTATTTTGCCCTTATTTCTAATTTTGTTGTAGAGAGAGTATAAGCCATAATAGGAAGGAACAAGGGTTTTTGCTGGTTGAGATAGGATACTATACAGGGAGTTTACTCACATTAATTTCCTGTGCATGTGTGTTGCCTTCTAGGTTAATTCTTTTTGATCTCACCTTTTCTAGAGTTCCTGGTCCCCTTTTCCTATTGGCCTCAGGGGACCCCTTGTTTAGTCGGTAGTCGCTCTACCACTTGAGCCATGCCTTTGGGTTTTTTGGGGGGCTAGGATTTGAACTCAGGACTTTGCACTTGCAAAGCAGGCACTGTACTGCTTTAACCACACCTCCAGTCCATTTTTCTCTGTTTATTTTGGAGATGGGTCTCATGAATTGCTTGCCTGGGCCATAATTGTGATGATCTCAGATTCCTAAGTAGCTAGGATTACAGCCATGAGTCACCAGTGGCAACCTGGTCCCTTTTTTGTTTTCTTGTTTGATGATTTTTTTTTGCGGCACTGGGATTTGAATTCAGGGCCTCATGCTTGCTAGCCAGGCACTCTTACCACTTGAGCTACTCCACCAGACCTCCTTGTTTGTTTTGGTGATTGCCATTCTGACTGGAGTTAGAATCTCAGGGTTCTGATTTTCATTTCCTTTATGGCTAAAGATATATTTATTGGCCATTTGTAAAAAGTTGGCTATTAACCTGAGTATACAGCAGTAGAGAAATGATTAAATAAATATAGGCTAATGGAATACTAGGCAACCATGAAAAGCATTTGCAAAATTTCATGGCGTGTGGAAATACTCAATGCAGTGTTTACTGAACAGGGTCCATGTATAGCTAGCAGCTTCTCATCTATTCAAAATGTATATATGTGTACTTACAAAAACAAAGAGGTAGCTATTTATGGGTGGTGGGATTATAGGTTATTCTTGGTTTTCTGTGTTTTACTAGAGGTTTTCTATCAAAAGCAAATATTTTATCATCAGGGTAAAGGGTATTTTGGAGGCAACTGTTCTAAAGAGCTCTCTTGCAGAGCCCCCAGAAGAGGGCCTGAGCACTCAGACTTGGGAGAACATCTCATGCCCTGGGTAAAACAGCCTGAACAGGACTGAGGGAAAGGAACCCAAGTTAAAAGAAAATCGCCTTAGGAGAAAAAGAGTTATCTTTTTTATTTTTTTTAAAGGGAAGGCTGTAAAAAAGTTTGTTCTTATTTTATTGGAAAGAACATTTAAATTTTTCATAGCCATTTGTGAGAATAATTTTTTATGTGTGGAGTCTAGAAATAATTCACAGATGACGTTTGTCATTTTGGGTTTTTCTTCATTTCACTTTTTTTTTTCAATTTTGTTAAAAGTACAATTATCATTTACTAAAATGTTTCCCTGAGGGATGTTTTCCCTTATCTTTAACCATGCCCCATTGCAGTTACATAAAGTGAAAGTATAATTGTTTATATACAGCTGCTGAAGTTGAGGGGAGAAATAATTGGTCATGTCTTTATGTATGTTTCCTATGTGTTCTTTCCAGGAATGACTAAAAAGACTTATGTGGAATCCATACTTGAAGGTATAAAACAGTCCAAAGAAGAAAATTTAGACATTGATGTTAGGTAAGAAGATTGTACCTTGATAGTTACCATTTTAAAAACTAGAATGTAAAATTTTACTGTTCTGATCACAGGTGTAATAGAGTTTTGTTTTTGGCCATGTTGAGTTTGAACTCAGGGCCTTGCACTTTTTAGATAGGTGTTCTACCCCTTAAACTATGCCCCCAGCCCTAGGTGTAATGAATTTTTAAAATCAACTATTAACTGATTTCTACCTATATTGGAAAAAATAGAATCAATAACCTTGTTGTTTAAGATAAGAATATAAATCTTAATTTATCCACCTGATAATAAAATTCTTAGTATTTTTGCTCAAGTGGAGTATGGACTTCTTATAATGCCACGTGATCCCACAGACCTGGCTGCCTCCCTTGCTTCAACAGCTCATCAAGACCATGCCTCACCTACTGTGCACTGCCTCCTCTCTGTTCCTAAGATAGGCCAAGATTGGCTCACCTCAGCACCTCCTACTTCCTTCCCCTTCTGCAGTCCACCAAATCCTTGCACAGCTGACTTCCTCAGAGGTGCCCTCTTTGACTGCTTTGTCTAACATGTGCCCTGCCTCCAAATCCTCCAATCACCCATCTGGTGCCTTTGTGGCATTTGTTTATAACAAGTTAAAGGAATTTTGTGGGGGGGGGCGGTGGTACTAGGGTTTGAGCTCTAGAGCCTCATGCTTGCTAAGCAAGTAGTTTATCATTTGAGCCATACCTCTAGCACTTTTGCTTTTAGTTATTTTTCAGATAGGGTCTTGTGCTTTTCCCTGGATTGGCCTTGGACTGTAATCCTTCTACCTATGTCTCCTGCATAGCTAGGATTTCAGGTAGGAACCACTACACCTGGTTTCTTTGTTGAGATGGGGCCTTGCCAACTTTTTGCCCAGGCTGGCCTTGAGCTGCGGTTCTTCCAGTCTCTACCTCTGAGTAGCTGGGTTTATAGGCATGCACCACCACACCCAGAAAGATAAAGAATTACCTTATGTTGTTTGAGTATACATATCCACTCACTAGAGTGTAAGTTCAGAGAGGTAATAGACCTTGTCTTCAGTTCACCACTGCATCTCAAGTACTTTGAACACATAGTACTTTGGCACATAATAAGTGCTCTGCAAGGCCTTAATTGAAGCAAGCAAGGAAGCAGCTGTATCATTTCAGGCTATAAGAATCTAAAAAAATAAGTAGAAGACAAGAATAAAATACAGAAAAGAAGACATACAAATGGTCAGTAAACATAGAAAAATATTTCATCTTATTAATCAGATAGCTATAAAAGGAGATGTTACCATGTCGTTTCAGTAGTTTAAAATTACAAGTGTTGGGGATGAGAGAGATGGTGGGGACAAACCTAACCAATGTACTATGGGAACATATTCAGAAATATCACAGTGAATCCCCTGTACAACTAATGCATGCTAATAAAAATGCTTTGAGGGAAAAGATGACCAGTATTTGTAGGACTGAGGATGTAGCTCAGTGGTAGAGCACTGCCTAGAATGCACAAAGCCCTGGGTTCAATCCCCAGAACCACAGAAAAAAACATACAATAAAACCCAGTGTTTGTGAAGTTACACCACACTGATGGTGTGAAACATACCGTTTGTAATTAATGAAACCTCTCTAAAGAGTAGTGTATATCAAGATTTTTTAAACTTTTTCTCTCCAACCCAGTAAATTCTTTTCTAGAAATGGATTCTAAGGAAATAGGTTGATTTATGCATATGTCTTTTTATTATAGTAGAATTCATAACAAAAAAATAGAACACAGCAATCAGAGCAATTCTGTTACGGCATGTTCATATGATTTTATATTATTTTCTGACATTAATTGCACAGGAAATTGAGTGCAAAAACCCTACATATTTCTGTTATAGTTGGTCCAAAATTTGAAAATAAATAAACAAATGCTGAAGGAATTCTTTTTTGAATGAATAACCAAAGTAATAAATGCCAAAGAAAAATCACACAATATTAATAGGGGTTCTTTGGGTATTTGAGTTCTGTAGCATTCCAGCTAATAAATGAAGAATGAATTTCTATTTGATATACTTTAGAATTATAACATAATGAATTTTATAATCCTGTAATGAAATAATGAATTTAAACCTCCTGAGAACATACCAACACCTATTTATTCTTGCTGAAAAATTTAATCTAATCTAATTAAGCCTCTAGACTAGATCCAATTATCAATTTATAGAAAACACAAGAGCCAAGAGAACATGTAAACACAGAGGTACAATCAACAGAATCCTGACTGTGGGAAGCTTTGTAGGACAATCAACCTAATTCAACAAATAAGTTGCAAGAAAAGAGGGGTGGGATGGGGTACGAGGAGTGAGTGGCTATAAACTTTTGAAGGGACTTAAGAGATACATTATGTGTTGGAGATGTGGACCATATTTGGACCCTGAATCAAACTGTAAAAAACAAATACATAAACAACAGAATGTGAGATAGTTGGAAATTTGGATACTGGCTAGATATTTGATGCTATTTAGAAATTCATGTCTCATTCTGTCTGACAGAGTAAAATGTCATGTTGTGTAGACTCAGACTGTACCTTTGCTTGTAAACTATATTACATATAGCCTGCCATTCCCTCTCTAGCCATACTCAGAGTTGTCTTTCATCTCATTGTTACCAGGTATTTGATGGCAATTGATAGAAGAGGTGGCCCTTCAGCAGCCAAGGAGACTGTTAAACTTGCTGAAGAGTTCTTCCTTTCTACTAAGGATACAGTACTTGGCCTTGACCTCAGTGGAGACCCTACTGTGAGTTACTTCTTTTAAATATATTTCATTTCTTAAAGTTAGAACCAGTCAGTGGGTTAAGGGTTAGCTTGGAGCATCCTGCATCCCACAGAGGATTCAGCAGACACTGTGTAGATGAAGCCCTGGATGAGCAGAACGTATAGAGTAACTTTCTCAAGGGTTCTGTGAAAGAATTAAATACCCTAAGGGGAAGAAAAAAGATTGTCTTGAGCGTCTGATCATTTTCTCCATTCCTTTAACGATAATGCACAACTAGTAACAGTCTGTATACACGGAGAGACGTCAATTGATTACATACAGTGAGTACATGTCTTAGGTTACTAGGGGTTTCATAGAACCCCTAGGTTTGAAATCAGCCTGAGCTGCTTGGTTTTTTGTTTGTTTGTTTGTTTTATTTTGTTTTCTTTTTTGCAGTACTGAAGTTTGTGCCCAGGGCCTTGTGAGGCAAGTGCTCTACTACTTGACTCACCCTCCTCACAGCCCTTTTATTTATTTATTTTTTTTGTGGGACTTGGGTTTCTGCTCAGGACTTCACACTTGCAGAGCAGGCACTCTACTGCTTGAGCCACACCTCCAGTCCATTTTGCTTTGGTTGTTTTGAAGAAAGGATCTTGTGGACTATTTGTCTGATCTAGCCTTGAATCATGATCTCTGATCTCAGCTTCCTAAGTAGCTAGGATTGCAGGCATGAGCCAGCAGCACCCAGCTGCTTATTTTTTAAATAGGCTGTCACATTTACCTGAACCAGTCTGCACCTTGATCCTCCCATTTATGCCTCCTGAATAGCTGGGATAGCAAGCACGCACTATCACATGCAACTTATTGATTGTGATGAAGCCTCTTTAACTTTTTGCTGAGGCTGGCCTCGAACTGCCATCCTCCCAGTCTCCTCTTCCCAAGTAGCTGGGATTAATAAACGTGAGGCATCATGCCTAGCCTTGACCTGAATTTCTGGAGTAAAAGATTCAAGCATTAGTCTTGACATTGGGGCCAGACAATTCTTTGTTGTGGGGCTGCCCTGTGCACTGTAGGAGATTTAGCAGCATTCTTGGCCTCTACTCAATAGATGCCAGCAGCACCCTCCCAGGGCAACAACCAAAATTGTCTCCAGACAGTGCCATATGTCCCCAGAGTAGGGTGGTGGGGAGGGGTGGTGGTAGTGAATCATTGCTGATTGAAAATCGCTGAATGAGTGTCCTGTGGAGTTTCTTCTGGTGGCTTTGTCTAACCTGGACTATTCTGCTCTTGTTTTGATCCAACCATTCAATATTTTTAAGTAATCACAAAGGGCTCCTGAATCAAGTGAGTTTTCTTTAGCACTAGTTATTTAGGTGTCCCTCCATACCTAGCTTAGTTGATGACCTCAGGCTCACTGATACTAGACCTAACATTCTCACAGGCAGGGACTATGCTTTTGTCAGCTTTGTGTTCCCCAAAGTGTCCAGCACACTGTAGGTGCTCTATAAGCAAAATGTGCCAGTGAATCAGTCAGACATTATTTTCTGCCATTGTGTTATTCCTTTGTTTATTGAAGCAGAATACAATTCCTCAGATTGCCCAGAATTTTCATACGTCTTCATTTTAACTTTTATCTTCAAGATGGGACAAGCGAAAGATTTCTTGGAACCTCTTTGGAAGCTAAAAAGTCAGGTCTGAAGTTGGCATTGCATCTTTCAGAGGTAAATAGTATTGCCTTAGGCTGGAGAGGGCAGATTACAATAGAAAATTATAGAGTGAATAATTAGAAATAAACTTGGCCTGGAAAACATTTTTAAAAATGGAAAGTAGAAATATTCTTAAATGTAAATTAAAATGATAAGCATGACTAAAGCAAGTTACTGTTTTTAACTTTCTGTGGTTTCTGGAAGTGGTTATTGATTCACTCCCACTGCGTCATTGAAAATAACTTCATGACATCTTGCTAGAAAAATTGCATGGATTTCCATCAGCTTTGTCATTGGCAAGCTGACTGTGATAAAGGCACCAGCTCATCCCACCTGTCTTTGTAGCAGAAGGGACCTAAAGGTATCCTATGTGCTGACAGTAAGGGAAGTTAGCCCATCATCTTCATAGGAAGCATAGAAAGTGCTCCTCATTGGCCCCCAGCCCTCTGGCAGCATGAGACCGTGATAGACAGCGTACATATAATGTCTGGAAGCAGTCGTTTTCTTATGTGTACTGGGGACACTACTGCACTTTTCTCTACATTCAGATGGATTTACTTTCTTAGTACTTTTAGCTGCTCATCTCTTAAGTATAGGAAATAATACGTACTGTACTTACTTCATAGGGTTATTGTATTAAATGGGGCAATATATAAAGGTTGAGTCATTTTATAACTTTGAGGAAAAATTAAAACCTTTTTCCAGTACTTGTGTCTTCATGTCTGCTGCAGAAGGGCAGTAATCTAATGGCAGAACTTAAAATCTAGAATCCATGTTTCCACACTTTGACCAAAAAGACCTTTCACTCACAGGATTCTCTCTCCAGCTGACCTAGATGGTACAATAGAAGCCATGAGTGAGCACATTGTAAAAGGAGGTGTTGCTGTGACCAGTGGTCTCTTGCCTCTGTCCAGCATCAGAACCTGCTATATACCTTAGTTTCTATTGCTTTTCTTGTTTGATCCATTGAATAGAAAACATTTGATTTCAAAATATTTTGATCATTTACCCTTCTGACTGTCTAGCAGATAAAAAGTGCAGCTGGACATTTTCAAGGTGATGGTGGTATGTCTGTAGCTAGCCTAGTTAAAATAAAATATGAGCACACTATGTAAGAAGTACCTGGGTCCTAGAGTCAGAAGGAGATGGTTCTTCCAGCCTGCTAGCTCCCTGACTTTGGGTAATTTTTTTCAAAATACTTTATATTTTTAACTTGCAAGTATTATGTACCTCAAGTGTAGGGAAGTATAATACAGAAAGGAAAAAATAATTTAAAATGGAAAGTCCCCTTCTGATTTCAGTTCTGCTTCCTGTGTTTTCATTTTTCCAGACCTTTTTCTAAAGTATATGAATATTTTAGAACACACATACACATAAAGTTATGGGGGTTTGTTTCTTGAAAATTAATTTTACAGATCTTTAATTTCTTCATGTTAATACTTTTTTAAGGTTGTTGTGAAACCTTAAAGAATTGATGTTAAAAGACACAAAGTAGGCTTTAATAAGATTTTATTATTATTGAAATGAATCTAGAAGAATATTGGGGAATGCATGAGAAGTTAAAAGGTGGAAGGGGTGGGGTTTAGCTCAGCGGTAAAGCTTGTGCTTAGCATGTGTGAGGCTCTTGAGTTTAATCCCAGCAACCCTCTCCTGCCCCTTAAAAAAAGATGAAGAAGGTTGGACAAGTTTAGCTTTTGAAAAATGTTTGCATTTACTATTCAAAGGCACAGAGTACCTGCTGTAGAAAAAAATACTTTAAAGAAAAATCACTAAGAGGTTATTGATCCCCTGTCTCTCTTTTCTGAAGATTCCAAATCAGAAAAAAGAGACACAGATGCTCCTGGATCTGCTTCCTGACAGAATTGGGCATGGAACATTTCTCATTCTTCTGAGGGAGAATCCCTGGATCTGGTGGATTTTGTGAGGCATCACCGGATACCACTGGGTAAGGCTTAGGGTTTTAGGTCTCCCAGACAACCCTCTGGCTCTTCTTCCCCAGTGCCCAGGTTGTAAACCTTATGTGGAAAAGTACTGTTCTAAAATTACAAATATCATTTAGAAATTAAAAGATGCATGGTGTTTGTGTTTTCTGAACCTTGCTTAGGCAATGAAAGTTTTAGCTCCCATTAGAATATAGGTTCCATGAGACTACGGTGTCTGTCTGTCTTGTTCACTGCTACAGTCCCCATACTTAAAACTCAGTAAGCCTTTTGGAAGGAATAAGGGTCATCTAGAATTTTGAAAATGACTTTATTGATATTAACATGTTATAAAAATCTATAACATTTAAAAATTAAGAATTGTAGACAAGTGTCAGAGTCTTGTAATCCCACGTGCTGAGGAGGCTGAGGCAGGAGGATCTTGGGATCAAGGCCAGCCTGGACTACAGGCAAGACCCTATCTCAAAAAAAATTATGGAAAATTCAAAATAATATTTTTACATATCCACTGACCATTACACACTTATTGTGAATGTGTTTATGGAGGGTCTGCTTTGTTGTGTTCATTGTTATGACTGCTGGGAAGAGAGCAATAAAAAAGTAGACATTTCTGTCTCCAGGAATTCATATTCTAACTGTAGGAAGACTAAACAAATAAGGAAGAAAATACCATTGGTAAGGTCTATGAAGAAAATTAAACAGGCAGGGTGATGTAATGATCAAATAACCACTTTCCTTTAGTGATTAGGGAAGGTATTTGTTTGTTTTGTTTTGGGGGGCGTTGGTGCTGAGGATTAAATCCTGGACCTTGTGCATGGAAGACAAGCACTATACCACTGAGCTACGCCCCCCAGCTTGGAAAGAACCTTCTAAAGAGAAAAAGAAGTCATTAGCTATAAACTATAAACCATTTTACTGAGTTTGAACCCATTTTGCTGAATTTGAAAGTTTACTAATTTATAAAAACATTTGTGTGGGTTTATATTTCAACTATTTAGAATTTTAAAAAATTCGTAATAACTGAGGTTTTATACCAAGATTTTTAAACATCCACAATAGTAGAGAGAATGGGAACCTCTTGCATAGTGATCTTACTTGATGTTGTGTCCCAACTCTGCTCCCAGCAGAGTGAGGAAGCATCACTTAGACTGACTGACCTTGCGTGAGGCCATCTTACCAAGTGAGCAAATGCTATCACTCAAGTCAGTGAAGTATTTTCCTCTAACTGAGGAGCCAAGTACAGTGTTTCAAGGAAGGAATTTGTTAGTAGGAACAGTTGTTCTTCAAATGGACTTATCTAGAAGCAGCAGGCAGTGAATGGATGGTAGTTGGATAAAGGTGTTAGGGGTTTTCTTAGAAGCCATGAGAGAAGCTAGGTCTTTATGGTGCTGAAGCTCTCAAGCAGTGCTAGTTTTCTTATCTTTGTTTTGGCCCTCCTTGTAAGACCAGTAGGAATCACTGTAGCCCTTTGAAAACTCTTCTCCTCTATCATAACAATCCCCTGCCTTGTTCATCACGAGTCTTGTAACATTATTCTTTCCTCTCTGTTTTGGTAAAAGAAAGGGAAGCACGTGGCTGTGAGGAGAGGACTAATTCTTTGCCTGGCACAGTTGCTGCCATAGTTATAGCACATACTTCCTGTACAGCTATATTAATTGAGCTACAAATTTGTACATCGCACATAAAGAAAGATCACTTTTATAAAACAATGAAACTACAACAAATCAGTATAGTTTGGAAAGATTTCTCATGAGTCTACTTGGTGAACACTGAATGACTTCGTATTTTCTTTCATATAGAACTCTGTTTGACCTCAAACATCAAAAGTCAGACAGTTCCATCTTATGACCAGCATCACTTTGGATTCTGGTACAGCATTGCCCATCCTTCTGTGATCTGTGTAAGATTTTTGTTCCTTTTTAGCTGCTGCATTGAATTGGGTCTGACATTTTACTACCTAGCTTTGGGTGTTGGGGTTAGTGCCCTAGAAGATGGGTTAGAGAGGACTGGGACATGAGAGAGCAGCAAAGGGCCAGGGTGACTGTGGTTCATTTCTATGGGAAGAGGTCCTGGACAATATTGGAGGGAACCTAAAAGGAAAAAAAAAATTTTACTAATGCCCAGCACCCATCCCATGGGATTCTGTTTTATTCCATCTGGGATGAGTTCTGGGCATGGAGATATCTTAAAAGCTCTGTAGTGGTTTTAATATATAGGCAGGGATGAAACGCCCTGGTATATGCTTTTTTAAGTATAAACAAGTCTCTTTAGTTATAGATATGCATAGATGCATTTATAGGCCCCAGTTTAGACTCTTGAAAGAAGCAAGGTAAATAGAGAAATAGATTGTAAATTTTAAAAAAGTTTATCCATGTTCATTTTGAGATGTTCTTTTTTATCTTGGCAGACTGATGATAAGGGTGTTTTTGCGACCTACCTTTCTCAAGAGTATCAGCTGGCAGCCGAGACATTTAATTTGACTCAGTCTCAGGTGTGGGATTTGTCTTACGAATCCATTGACTACATCTTTGCTTCTGACAGCACCAGAGCTGAACTGAGGAAGAAGTGGAATCACCTGAAGCCCAACGTGTTGCACTTTTAAGCTTTGGTAAAGTGAAATTCTTGAGTATATGTTGCAGCAGATCTGAGTAAACTGTCTACACTTCCTTGTACAGCAGCCAAGTATGTGGGCTCTGTCACCAGCACTTTACACATGGCAGGTGCTCCGTAAATACAGCATATACTCAATAGTAGGCTCTGAGCTCTTTTGTGACTTACCTCCATCTGCTTACTGGAAAGAACTAGAGTGTTGTTGCTAACTGAATTCCCCATTCTACCAGTGGTTTTATTTTTCATTTTTTGTTTTTATTTGGTCTTTTTTTTTTTTAACTTAGGCGTGATCATAAAACTTTCTTATCAGGAAAAGTGTTGGAAATACTGGTCTAAGGTAAAGAAAAAGGGAAAAACAGATTGTTGTCAAGACCTTTGAGCCTTCTAGCTTTTGTTGTTTAATCTGACTCCCTTCACTTGCTTTAACTTTGACTATTATTTCCCAATACCATTGATGACAGGTCACATTGCACACTGTGGATTTGTGTGAATGCTCAGTAGTCAGGGTTAATTTACTTTGGATGACCCTAATGACTGATTAAAGCTATCTGCTGGAATCTGTCTCAGCCCTTCTCATGATGGCCTTTGTCAATACTTGAAAGGGATTGAAGTCATTGCTCCAATTTAGGAATAAAAAGAGATGGAACTGAAGTTTGAACTCAGGGCTTCATGCTTGCAAAGCAGACGTTCTACCTCTTGCCTCACACCTCCAGTCCATTTTGGTCAGGTTATTTTGTAGATGGGAGTCTCGAAAACTGTTTGCCAGGGGTGGCCTTGATCTCGATCCTCCCAATCTCAGCCACCAAGTAGCTAGGACTAGCTGGAGTTCCATTTTTAAAACAGCTTCTATTACTTCACTTTTTTTCTTTGTAGAAGCTTCCAGGATTTCTACCCCAGTACTCACTTATTCCTCATTCCAAAAGATTCTTCTAGTAGTGGCAAAATTGTGGTTACTAGAGTTCTTTGCATCTCCTATAACTCCACCCCTGTAAGGTAGACCACCAGCACAGGTTTATATAAACTCACACACATACCATGGCTACTTTAGCTGAAGACAAGGGACAAAGTAAAATATGTTTTGAATGGTAAGGGAAAAAAAAAAAGAACTTATTAGATACCAAGGTGTGCTTGGATCACTTTGCTCCTCAGAATGTCTATTTTTTGCATTATTTGTATTACAGGAAAAAAGTCTGATGACATCCCTAATTTCAGTTCCTAAGGGTTTCTAATAAGTTTTGTATCTGTCTGTCTTTTAAGGGACAGGGTAGAGGGAAGCTCTTAGTTTTTTGAAATTCTTAAATGTTTATAACTTTATGTAACCTTATATTATTCTCCATGCCCATCCACTCATAGTAAAAACAATTATGTTTTATTAATAAAACATGGATGTTTTACAGCCTAAAATGTTATAAAACAAAATTTAATGACATAAAAGTATATGTAATATATTCAGTGAAAAAATGTGATTATAAACAATTATAGTCCAATTTTTAATATGCATACAAAAACAAGTGGGGTGAATAATTTTAATTTATTAATTACCTTTATTGTGAAGTAGTTTTCACAGTAGAAATGACATGTGAGGCTGTAATTCCAGGAAGCGGAAGCAGAAGGATCTCAAATTGTGAGCTACATAGCAAGACTGTCTAAAAAAACAATTTTTGAGATGTAGCCCAGTGATAAAGCACTTGCCTTGCATGTGCGAGGCCCTAGGTTCAATCCCTAGCATGGCAAAAAAATAAAATAAAAAAAGGCTGATACAAAGGCTAGGATAAGAGACTTCCATGGTGGCACAACTCTAATCTCAGCACACTACTCAGGAGCCTGAGGCAGAAGGATCTTGAGTTATAGGCCAGCCGGGCTGCATAGTGAGACCCTGTCTCTAAAGACCTAAATTAAACAAAAAAGACCACTAAGCTCGCCGGAACTTGAGTCTCAAGTTGCTTCCTTATCTGTTCGAAATTCTCAAATGCCAACTTTAGGTAACCAGAAATTTGTTTTAGACTAAAAACTTTCAGGTACTTGGTGGCCCATAGTCTAATGAGTTATTAGAATATAGACTTCACTGTATAGTATGAGGTGAATGTATCTTAGCTTCTGAACTGTGTTTAGGGCATATATAAAAAATATTTATCATTTGAATTCTGCTAATGTAATTTGAGGATTGCACTCTTTGTAGACGACTTTAAAATTGCTTCCTTATCTACTGAGTTATACAAATTGAACTGAATCCCCCTTGATTCCATAAATAAATATGCAGTATTTATTTAAAATTATATTCCATATACATTCCTGGGCTCAAGTGATCCTCTTGCCTCAGTCTCCTGAGTAACTGGAACTACAGGGACACAGGACTATGCCTGGCTCCGTTTATTTTGATCATAGTGGAGCTGTGCTGGCCAGACCCTTTTGGGCTCTGAGATTCTAGAGGCTTCTGTTTCTATCCTTTATTTAATCTGACTTCCAGTTCCAAAGATTTATTTCTGAAAGAGCCACATGGTGATGTGCTAGGAAAGGAGGAATTTGAGCTTCTACCATCTATTATAAAATAAATTATAATAAATTATATGCACCATATATATTAAACACATTACTTTAAGCACCATGGTTTCATAGAATATCCTTTATGCCATGAGTTAGCTATTTGAGTGTACCAGAGTAAAGTTTTCATTTTAAATTGAATAATGAGGAGATGACTGAGCCATCTTTACACTGTACCTCATCTTCCCTTCCCTACCTGGTCACTATGAAGCAGTGATACAAAGTTGACAAGACTCAGCTTCAATACTTGGATTACAATGAAAGAGAAATGACTGCAATACAGACAATAAGCAAATAAAAGGAAGAATGATAGTATGGGGAAAATATTAAATAGTAATAGCACTAAGGAAACAAGTGACAAGGATATATGACTGTGTGTGGCATCTACTACCTTGTGTATTTTGGGCTTCCTTTTCTGCACATGACCCTTCTTTCCACAAAGGCTTTATGGACATTAAAAGGTTAATGGAGATGAGGACAGTGGCTCGCCCATAATCCCAGCTATGTGGGAGACAGAGATTGGGAGATCAGTTTGAGGCCAGCCCCAGTAAAAAGTTAGCAAGACCCCCCAGATCAACCAAAAGCCAGGTGTGGTAGCATGCACCTGTCATCCCAGCTATATGGGAGACCGAAGGTACAAGGATTGTTGTTCAGGTGTTCTAGGCAAAAACTTGAGCCCTATCTGAAAAGTAATTAAAGCAAAAAGGGATGGAGGTGTGGTTAAAGTGCTTGCCTGTCAAGCAGGAGGCCAAGTTCAAACCCTAGTACTGCCAAAAGGTCTAGTAGTGCCTAGACCTTCTTGCTCCCCCAATAGTGGTTTTGGTTTCTCTTTCTTAATATGTCTGAAGACTGTTCTTTTTTGCTTCTTTCCATGAGAGTGGCAGGTGGGGCATCATTTAGTGGTTTGGGAGATAATTTTGTGATGAACTAGGTCTTCACCTGGTAAGAGTTTGCTCTTGCCTTATTCCTTTTGAACATCCTTATCTGGAAGTTGGAGGGTTGATCCTGGATATTTTAAAATAAGAATTTATTTCCATGCCCAGTTACCATATGTCCCAATGGATTGTGGATATGGATTCAGATAATAAGGATTTTCATTCACACTTCTCTTTTACTATGTTGTAATTTGTTCCTCTGCCTAGAACATAAAGATTCAGACAGGCATACTTCCAGTAACTTCAACAGGAAGCCAAAAAAAGCAGGTAGAGAGTTCTTTTCCTAACATCAATTTGATCATCATATGATCAAGTTAATAACATGTAGTATTTTACATATATTTTAAACACCGAAACACTAGGCACTTTATGGACATAATTTTTATTAACATGGTATCCCTGAGAGGCAAATTAGGTATAAACATTGTTCTGATTTACAGAAAGGGAAACAGAGGCAGATTGACTTACACACAAGACATATGGAACCAGAATTTACATCTATTGCTACTCTGATCAGTGCTTTTTTCACAAAATTATACATTGTTATACGAAAGATAATCTCATTTTTGACATATATCAGTCTTCTCAAATCATTTCAGATCCTGAGGCATTGCTTTTAAACTGGTGTTTCCTATATTTTACTGTCTGCTTACACAACATAACTCAGATACCATCTTCCCTGAATTGCTAATAAATGTCAGTTCTTTGTGCTAGGATTCCTGAACACTAGAACCCTAATTAATATCTATCTGAGTCAGCTGTGAATTATAGAATATTTTTCCCTATTACTTTCCCAGACCTCATTCCAGCCACAGGGTTGTAATTAAATAAGAATGTGAAAGTTATTTATCCCAGGTCTTCCACATCTGGCCATGTTTGTCTTCTGTTTTGCCCACTGAAGTATGTTCAACAGATAATAGTTTCTTAATGTTTGTCTCCCAAAGGGGCTTGTCCCCTAAAACTTCTCATTTTCTCCCATTGCTAGCCAGTTGTTTCCTCGTAAAATAGCACAGTAGCTGGTTTACTGCTGACAAGTGGCCGCATTGTGGTCTGTTCTGGCACTCCATTTCAGCTAAGGTGATTATCTGCGTACCGCCCAGCCCATATTGCCAGTGTTTTTGATGCTTCAGTCCTTATCTGACTTTCCTTACTCTCTATCCTTTGCCCTTTGCTTCCCCATTTTCCCATTTCTCATCCACCTAGTGGTCAATTTTATGAGTTTTAGAAAGCTAATCCACCCTGTTTACCCAGTTACCTTCCCTCCCTTGAACAAGTCCTGCTTCCTGGAGAAAATACCTCCCGATTTTTCTTACAGCACTCGCTAATGCATTGGACCTTAACATTTATGCACAGCATTACTACCTAGCTTTCTAAGTTTCTCTAAAACGATTGCAGCTGTACACTTGCACTTATTTGTCCACATATTATCTCTTTATGTTTATAAAAATAAGAACAGGGTCTGTTTAACTTGTGCTATACCGGGCTTGTCATACTACTATGAATATATGAGCATTTAATTCAATACTATGTGATTGTAAAGATCAGTAATTACACTTGTGTGTAAAGAGCTGCTTTTAGATAAAAAAATAATAAAAAGAGCTGCTTTCAGTTATATACAGCTGAATGTGTGTGTGTTGGCAGCTCCACTGACCAAACATATTCCCATCTTCCCTGCCATTAGGGAAAAAGTGGTCTGTTTTCCCCATACAGGGAACATGGCAGTGGTTCCGCTCATTGCAGATTGGTATCGAGCACCCATAGGGTACATAATACTATTCTAGATATTTGGAGTATGGAGGATTCCAAATTGGCAGGTTTATCTTCTTTCCCTGTTACATCCACCTGGCTTGCACTTTGAGTTTCTAGTCCACAAGGGACAAATGAAATTCAGATGATGGGAAAGAAAGAAAATCAAACTAGATCCTGTAAATGCAGTATTCTATTTCAATTCTTCTAGGACTTGGAGGAAACTAAGAGATCCAGTGTTTCTACAAGGTTTATGTTGTTTCCCTGTATAGAACACCTGGTTCTTGATAAGATGATTCATAGGGCAGAACTAAGGTGATCATTAAACTTTTTTAAGACTATCCCTGACAAACACATCATTCTGAGGAAAGGCTTAAGTGGTCACTCTTTCCAGTATTTCCATTATTGTATAAAGAAAAGCTAGACCCACTTAGTGAGCACAGTCACACAATTTCTCCCTGAAATGCTGCTGATGGGTTTTTCCAGTTGAAATGGAGCTAAATGACAGGATGAGAAAAGGATATATATCAAATTCATAGGATCTATGAATGTCCTTTGTCCATCTATCATGTCCTCTCTGTTAAGGAAACAACATAGGCACTAATAGGAAAAAGATGCTATCCATCAGTTCAGATACAGGCAAGGAGAGGGACTGAAATCTCATTTGTAAAATGACTACAAATTGACACTAGATACAGGAGAAACATAAGGAGCAAACAATGGCATAAATCCTAAGGAGTGCTTCCTAAACCAGATTAGGACAGGGATCTCACTACTGGAAGACCTTCCAAACAATACATTTATTGAGGCTCTTTCCTTTACAGATTCTCAGGGGCTTGCTTAGGTGCTGACTGTGACAGAAGCTTTTCTCGTGTATGGATTTCTCGGTGTTTATTAAGGGCAGAGCTTTTAGTGAAGCACTTGCCACAGTCATGACATCCATAAGGTTTCTCTCCTGTATGTGTTCTGTGATGTATACGTAAGTCTGAACTCTTACTGAAACTCTTTCCACAATCAGAACACACATGGGGCCTCTCTCCTGTGTGAATCCGCCGATGTGCACTGAAATGAGAACTGTTATTGAAGCTTTTTCCACACTCTTCACATTGATAGGGCTTTTCTCCTGTGTGGGTTCTCTGGTGAATTATAAGGCTTGAGCTCTGATTGAAGCGTTTTCCACACTCACCGCACTGATAAGGTTTCTCTCCTGTGTGGATTCTCCGATGGGTGATGAAATTTGAACTGTCACGGAAACTTTTCCCACAGTCAAGACACTTATAAGGCTTCTCTCCAGTGTGGATTCTCCGGTGTCTAATGAGGCGTGCACTCCGATTGAAGCTTTTCCCACAGTCGGCACATTTATATGGATTTTCTACTTGGTGGGATATCTGATGCATGAGATGGGATTTGGAGCCAAAGCTTTTGCCACATCTGAGATATTTATATGATCTCTCTCCCAAGCATGGTCTCTGATGACTTAGGACTTTACCTAAACTCTTCTCTGGGAATGTCAGTTTTCCTCTTTTTCCCCCTGGAGTTTTTTCCCACTGTCTTTCTGATTCACTTTCACTACCTTTACCTTGATGACGATGACGGGGAATTTTCCTTTCAGACCTTGCAAGTAATGTCCTGTGCAGTTGTACTTCCTCAGAAATATCTCGTTTTGGATTCTCTTTATTGTTAAATCCAGCCTCAAAACCTGATATAAGAATAGAATTTTAAAAGTTAACCATTTCCTTAATTGTACATGCCAGGACAACGCAAAACCTGGGAGAAACTAAAGTTATCACATTAGATGGTTGAGGATGAAGAACTATAAAGTGCAACATTTTTAAGTCATAGAACCATTCTATTAAAAAATTAGGAAGCTCTTGACTCCCAAATTACTATTACATTGAAATTATTAAAATTCCAATATTTTACTTCCCTACCTAGTAATGTATCACACTTCTCATCTACATAAGCTGGATAATCTATTCTTTTAATTCTTCCTGAATATCTAGCATCTTCAGAAAATACTCTCTGTACAGTAAGGAAAACTCACCAGATTTTAGATAAAATGATCACCACACTTTTATAGGAAGATACTTTCTATGAGTGCTATTGCTCCACCTCAGGCCTGCCTGGTTATTCTTGTTCAGGTTCTTTGCCAATGCTAAAGGGGTTAGAAGGAAATGCCCAGGAACACTCTTTAGGAATCTTGTATATTCAGAAAGTTTTCATGAGTCCCCTTCCCCTCAAATTCCAATGTATGTTGGAAATAAAACAGAGTAGAAAAATACTTAGCATCTTTCAAAGAACAAAAGGCCTTTTAAAAGAAAAACTTTGCTAGAAGTGTCTCTCTAAAACATTTTCTTTGCTCATGGAAAAGATAATCATTAAATGTTCCTAAGGCATGTACTCTAATGCCTTTCTGCTAAGGCAACTTTTTAACACTCTAAGAACCAAATACCAGGCTTCTTTGGGCCTCGTCTATGAGAAGTCACACTCATTCAGATGTTTCATTTTAATTTAGATCCCAGAGTCTCTGCATGAAACCTAAGTGTAAAAGAATGCTGAGTGCCAGCCTATGTACATACCCCCTAAAGCAGTATCTCCATCCAGAAACCTACTCTTATGACATGTTCCATGAAATAGAGAAGATTTACTAAATTAACTGAAGTCTCAGAACTTTCAATATGGTAAATGTGTATTGTGAGACTCCAAGAGGGCTATTTAGTATTTCTCAAAACTAGTTTTTGTTTTTTGTTTTTTTTTTTATGGGACTGGGGTTTGAACTGAGGGCTTCACACCTGCAAAACACGTGCTTTTGAACCTCCCCTCCAATCCATTTTGCTTTGGTTATTTTGGAACTGGGAGTCTCTCAAACCATTTGCCCAGGCTGGCCTTGAACTGTAGTCCTCCCAAACTTAAGTCTCCCAAGTAGCTAGATTGCAGGTGTGATCCACCAGCAGCCCATTAAACCTAGTCATTTTTCAGTAGAATACATTGTCTCATGGAATTGGTGTTCCATGGAACCTCCTTAAAGAATGCTGGTTTAAAAGAATGGAAGTGAAGACTATTATTTATTGAGTACCTACTGTGTTCCCAGGCACTGTGGTAAGTACTTCACACAGCACCTCATTTACATCAACATAGTTTTGTTTTTGCCATGCTAGGAATTGAACCCAGGGTTCAAACTTTACAAAGTTTGCAACTAAGGGCTGCGGGTGTGGCTCCAGTGGTAGAGCACTTGCTTAGCAAGCACAAGGCCTTGAGTTCATCTCTCTCAGAACAATGCTGTAGTGTGATGAAGCAAGTCAACAATAATTTATATCCTTTCACTGAGCTGCTTTGATAGACAGGAAACATGGGGAAGATATAAGGTAGACAAGAAGAATCCATGAAAGTAGAGGGGCCAGTTCCCAACCTGATGGTTTTTCTACTAAATCCTTTACCCTCTCTTTTGCTATTTATACCATAAGAAGTGAAAGAATCTTACCACTGGGGCTCTGGAATAAGACTGGAGCACGGGTTATAACAGATCCTGGGGGTATCTCAGTATCTTCTTCATCATCATCAGAATCTCCCTCTGAGGACTCTTCTGTATCCTCAGCTTGTTTCTCAACTTCAGCCTCACTGGCTTCCTGAGTAGAGCAAGAAGCTGCCTCCTCTTCCAGGCCATCACTGGATGGGGCAGCAACCCGAGCACTTACCAAGGCATCCATCTCTTCAAAAAAGGGGCAGGTCTCTGGTGCTTGGCCATTCTTGACTTTGCGATAGCTGTTCTGTAGGCTTTTAAATTTGGTTCGACACTGCTCTGGAGTCCTTAGAAAGCCATATTTCCATAACCTCTTAGCTACTGCTCCATATAACTGGCTGTTACGGTGACAGTTCCGGAGGGCTTCGTAAAATTGAGTCTCACTAAGAATTGCAAGGTAAGTCTTGGTCTCTTCATAGCCCCAGTGAACACCTGCCACCAGAAAAGAAATTTCAGCACCACTCAATCCTGAGCTTTACAGCTGCAATTCCTCAGTTCTGTCCCCTCCTCAAGAAAAATCACTCAGGCTGAGGGTATATACAGCTCAGTGGTAGAGTTTATGCTTAGTACGCATATGGCCATAGGTTCCATTCAAGAGTGAAAAGAAAGAAAAAAAGAGGGCTGGAGGGAGAGAGGGAAGGAAAGGAAGGAAAAAGATCAACTAAATTTAGGCTCCTAGATTAAAAAGTAAAAATACTTTGTCTTTCCAAAATCTATGTAATCTCACTATAGAATGTTTTGCTCTTCTGTATCCTTTAGCAATTTCACAGAGAACTTTATAAATTCTATTTAGCCATAAAAAAAAAAACCTTTCCACCTGATCACTGAAATAATTATGGATACTGAGACAAGCACATAAGATGCTTCCTTTTAGTAGTTTTTCTGGAATTCTGATCAATGGTCAGGAAAAGAAGACTCACAATTAATTGCTGCTAGCCACAATGTGTCACTCTTAACTTCTTCGATCATTTTCCACTGGCCCTATTTCCTTATGAATTCAGTTTCACACAGAATGGCTTAAAACCTCCAAAGAACTGCTTCTTTTAAACAATCACACTACTGCCAAATCCCTATCATGCCTTTTCTCATTTGCTATGACCTCAATTAAGCAAGCTCAACAACAGTTGAAGGCCTGAAGAGTACAAGATGAGGACCTCATAGTCATGCACCTTATTCATGGTGTGAAAGACTGGCAGGAGCCAGAATGAGGAAAAAAGCAAGAGCAAACTATCTTCTGGCCTGAACACATGCTAGTATTGCAGGTCCCCCACTTGGGCAGTACTTTCAGGATATAATCAGGATGATTATATTCTCTGCTCCCCGAAGGTACCCAAGGTAGAGGGAAGGAGACTCAAATAGTCTTCCCAGCAGAGAACCAGCTGAACAGTAATTTTCTTCTATTGTCTTCCACTTACTGTGAATAAAAGAGAACTAAAGAATCAGAAGGCAGAAAAAAATGAAAAGAATGAAGATGATAAAAATGATAGTGTTCAGTCCATAAGCAACATTTATGATTTACCTATATTCATGTTGCTGATGAAAAAGGAAAAGGAATGGAGGAAAAAAAAAGTACCACAATTATTTTTTAGCCTGCAATCTTGTAATAAAAAATATTTTAAATAAAAAAATAAATGATACTACTTTTGAAGACACTCTTGAATTTTCTGGACTTATTTCTTTCAAAAATCTAAATCTAGGTCTGGGGATGTAGTTCAATGGTAGAGCACTTTCCTAGCAGGTGTAAGGTCCTATGTTCCAATCCATAGCACTGCAAAATAAAAAGAAAATTCTATTCCTTACTATATTATCACTGATTTTCCCACAAAAGAAAGTGGAATACATAGGAATTGAGAAATACCTTTGTTTCCCATTTAAGTGGGCAGGTGACAGTAAGCTGCCTGGCTCCACATCCAGTGTCACTGTTCCCTAACTCTGATCCCAAAACTCCAAGAGAAGCTTCTTACCACTTGGGCTTCGGAACAAGACAGGTGCAGTTGAGTTGTTAGGGTCCTGAGTGCTGACCTCCAGGTCCATTTCGTCACCTTCAGACTCCTCAGCCACAGCCTCTTCTGTTCCCTCATGCTGCCAGACTCCTTGCCCTGGCTCCTCAGTTTCAGCATCACTTCCTACCAAGCCAGAATGAGAGGCTGCCTCTTTCAGGCCATTAATGGGCAGGGCAATGACCTGGGCACTCATCAGGGCTTCCATCTCTTCAAGGAAGGGGCAGGTCTCGGGTGGATGACCACTCTTGACTTTCCGATAGCTTTTCTGAAGACCTTTGAATTTGGTTCGACACTGTTCCAAGGTGCGGAGGAAACCGTACTCCCGGAGCCTCTCAGCCACAGCCCCATACACTTGGCTGTTTCGATGACAGTTTCGGAGCGCCTCATAAAACTCAGTCTGGCTGAGAATTGCAAGGAGAGTTCTGGTCTCTTCATAGCCCCAGTGCACTCCTGCCACCTTCTCATCCTCAAAACCCCAGTGATCCTGTTCCAGCCAGCTTCTTTGCTCTCTCTTGGGTGGTAACAGATCAGCATGAGCTCGTCTGCTTCCTGGGTGGCTGCCTCCTGGGACTTCCTTCTCCTTGGAGCCCAGAAGATCTGGGATCCATGTCTCTCCTTGCTCCAACCTGGAGACCACACCGGATTTAGGAAATGGAAATCCTGCTTGCAGGGAAGCAAACAAAGGGAACATGTTTGGACTGATTAATTTAAAAAGATCTCTAAATTCAGTCCTGCCTTTTTTTCTTCAAAAGATTATAAAGGAAGGATCTAGGGAAAGCATTCAGAAAGTTCAGTGGGTTGAAGAACAGGGAAAATGTAGGAAATCTCAAAAGATGAGAAATATTTTATTTTCCAGAGCATAGTTCAGAGCAGATAATTCTATTCCATGTTGCTGCCTACCCCTCCCAGGTCCTAGACTGCTAGAATAGTCACCTCCTGTTTCCTATTGCTCTTTTTATGGGGCAAAAGAATTAAACTCAATTCTCTAGGAATTTAAGGAAGGGGAGAGGAAACTGTCTTCAGCTTGACTTTCCCTCACACTCAGTCAGACATCATTCTGCAGGTATTTGCCTCAGTACATCCTTCCTGTCCATTCCTACGACCACCATCCAAGTCCAGACCCCTAATCCTCTCATACCCACATAATTATATCAATCACTGTGCAACTGAATTTCAAGCTTCTGTTTCCCTGGCTCACACACTATGCTGTTGAACCTTAACCTTAGTGTTTAGCATGCACTGTCCATTCCTGTTAAGACATTTCTCCAGAACACAGTGTACTTTTATTCACCACTCTGTGCCTTTCCTTTAACTTCCTTTCTCCTATCCAAAATCAACCCATCCCTGGAGAAGCTTTACTTGCCAGTACTCTCAGGAGGCCTTCCATACAGCCTTCCCTCAATCTACATACTGCCAGTCCTCTATAGTATGCACACAGCTAACCAAAGCATTACTTTTCATTGTTTTGATATAGTCAGTTCAGTTCAGCACATACTTAATAGTTTGCTGTTGTGCTCTCAATCATATTGTAAGTTCTTTTCTTATTGCAGAAAACCCTGTAAAGTGTTGAGTACACAGTGGTGTTCAAAAATGGATTAATTCTACAAGTCTGTGTGTGAGGTCCAGTGTTTTCTTCTAGATGATGAAACAGAGACCATTATCAAACTTGTATGATAAGATCAGAATTCAAAACAACCTCAACAAGTTTTAATTGATATAATCAGAGAAAAAAAAAACACAAAATGGAGTTCAATAGAGTACGAAGAAGAAAAATAAGTTCTACAGAATCAAATACAAGAATAAGAATAAGAATAAGCTATAAGAGCCCTGGTAGTTACCAGGTGAGCAAAATTCATATCATCATAAGTTTGGCTATACTGAAAGATGATGCAACGTTTCTAAGAAAAATGCTGACTCAATCTCTACCTTACAGACCCTCACTGGAATGATACATATAATTCAGTACTTCACAATTAACATATATGGAAAACTTAAAAGTTCCAGAGGAGAGGATAACAAAAACTTAGGTCTAAAGAATGTAGATTATGGGGTAAAGCATAATGAAATAAATATGTTTAATCTGGAAAAAGAAAACAACCAAAAGGATAGAAAAGAATTTTATCTAGAAAACAGTGACTTACTATCATTACCAAGGAGAAATAAAATAGTTCCAATACTAATAAAAACAAGGCAGCCATTCTCTAGCAGACTTACCAAAAGAGAAAATACCAGAGGGCTAAACTACAGGTCTTCAGGACATCCCAGAACCCACACAGTCTATAAGTTTCACTTACTCCTAAAATCCCTTTCCCACTCCCTATTCCCAACCCTATTCCCAGCCCTTCTCCCAACTCAGAATGGCACTCTATCTTCCCATATGAATCTATTCCTCACCGCTCCTTTGAAAAGGTCTGAGCTTCTCCTTTGGCTCCTGTGGTCCCAGGTCTGGGCTTCTTGCCCTCTTTCTTGGATACACCCCTGGGTTGAGGTTCCACTGACTCTTGCTGAACACTTAATAACTCTGGTGATGATTTCAGGGGTGTCATCTTCTCCGAGCGCACTTCCTGCCCCTTCACAGAGACTGGGACCTAGAAACAACCCCCATTAATTGTCACTGCAAGGTCATAATGAGGGGCATTTCCAGAGAAGATTATTTAATAGCCCAAAAGAGATCATCCTTCTGGGGTGGTTCTAGCAAACAAGAGTCTTATTCCACAATCATTAGCTTAGAGCAGCTGGAACTCCAGAAGGAAAATATCAAAATACTAAACCAACTACAGGCTGAAAAAACATTGTCCCTTTCTTCCTTATTAAGAAACTGAGAAGCCTAGAAAACTCATTGTGATGAGTCAAGATAAAGATACACTGGGTAGCATTTCCAGACAAGTGCTATCCAAAAAGCTATCTATACTCCAGACAGACAGTACACAGCATCACCAGACCAGAAAGAAGTACGTGGGAGACTGCCCCTCTTTAGGCCTGTCTATACCTTAAATTGGCCCCCTATCCTTGCTTGCCCCTTTCCAATTGCACACTGGTGAATTCCCCCTCCCTTCTCACCGAATGTCCAGGTCTTCCAGGCTCTCTTTCTAAATCTTCCACCAGAGTTACTGCCTCCTCTCCGTTTTCTGGACACTGCTCCTGTACCCAATTTTGGATCTCCCCAGGTAAGACAGTCAGGAATTGCTCTAGCACCAACAATTCTACAATCTGCTCCTTGGTGCGCACCTCGGGCCTTAGCCACCGACAGCAAAGTTCCCAGAGTTGAGTGAAAGCCTCCCGGGGCCCAGCCACCTCCTGGTAATGGAATCTCCTGAAGCGCTGTCGGAAGGTTTCAGAGTTAGAGCCATTCCCTCTCAGAGTGGGTCTAGCCATCATTCACAGCAGAAAGCAGCTTCTCTCTACTCAAGGATCTGGGTTCCAGGCTTACACCTATCTTCCCATGTCCTTGGGAGTATCCCCTGCAGGTGAGTCTCTCGCTCTGTGTAAGAGGAGTTTCTTCCTAGAGCAGAGAGAGATGGCACTATCAGAGATTCGAATATATTCATATGTTTACAGTCTTGCCAGAGCTGGCCTGGCTTCCCATATGCTCCAGGCGGCCATCTGAGGTAGACCATCTTCAGGGCAGCAAGCCAACAATGAGAAAGAATGACCTTTCAAAAGCGGCATTTCTGGGCGACTTCTAGGGCAGTCCCAGGGAAGCTGCAGAGAATGCAAAGTACGATCTCCTGGTCTCCCACCTCCCCCAAATCTGATCCCACTTAACTCCCGCGCTCAGTGTCGCACAGTAAGTTCGAGCCATATGGGACACCTGGAGCTCAGGAGGGTCTAAAGACAAGTCACCAACCTAATGAAGGCAACACAAAGCCTCTATCCAGCGGGTCGCAGCCGATCTCCCCCGAACCTCCGCGGCCCCTTTCCCGAGGCCTGCTGCGTCCGCCCCGCCCCCTTGGACTCTGAACTATCAATTCCCACCAGGACAAAAATCAAGTGCTGAATTTCGGGCCTTTGTTTTCCCCTCAGACGAAGTGACCGCTCAGCAAGGGTTTGGGAGCTGGTGACGCGAAAGCTCGCGCATCGGGAGGAGTTGGTTGGGTTCCTGGAGCGATGGCCGGTGGGTTTGGGGACAGTCAAGGTGAGTTGTGGACATGGGAGTCCGAGGGACAGTGGCAGTGGGTCTCCTGAGAACCAGCGCGGACTGGCCAGGGACTCCGAGGGCTGCAGGGTTCCGGCCTCTTTGTCTTCGCTCCCTCCGGCCGGGTCACTTGCGGAGATGCAGTGCAGTCCGTCCACGGGGGTCTGTGATCCAGCCAGGGCGCCCCGAGGGTACCTCTTGCCAGCCCCTGGGCTCGCCCCTCCACTCGAGTGGTCCCGCGACCCACTGGCTTCCCTAACCCGGAGCCAGCCTCACCCGCTCGGGTCCAGCCCAGCCGCGGCTCTCAGGCCGCCCAGCTCAGCTCCCAAAGCGGAAGTCCGAGCGGGCGCCCGGGCACCGAGGGCGCATGCGCGAGGACGGCTTCGGGGCCTTCCCTCCGCTACGCCGGGACCGGAGTTAGCTGGAGGCCAGAGGAGCTCGGCTCACTTCCGGGACGCGCCCGACCCAGTGCGCGCTCCCCGTCGTCTCCTCCCAAGCGCCGGGCTCGGTGGGTTCTGGACGAACCGTGCAGCCCGGGAGTCCTCTCCCTCGCCGCCTGGAGGGACGCTGGAGGAGGGGGTCACATAGGATCTCCACACCGCCGTGGGAATGATTCACGAACTGCTGTTGGCTCTGAGCGGGTACCCGGGGTCCATTTTCACCTGGAACAAGCGGAGTGGTCTGCAGGTACGGTCCGGCTCTGAGCGCCGGAATGCGGGAGCGGGGCAGCCGCACCTGAGCGCGCGAGCCGGTGCACCTGAGGGCCCGAGGCCTCGAGGGCCCAAATCCAAGGGAGAAGGGGCGCAAGGTCGAGGTGCTGCTGGGGAGCTGGGTGTAAAAGTGAGGGAGGCGCTCTCCCCTGTATCGTCACGCTTGCGTTCTGTTTCAAACTGAGCTTTGAAGGCCGGTCCAGACAGCGCTCAACTCACCGTCAGCACTAAGCAAATTTTGTTAAAAGGCTTTGAGCGTGCGATGTCTGCCTCATTTCCTTTCCTAGGAAAGTTCTGCACCAAGTGAAGAACTTGGAGGGAGGCCTTCATCTAACCAGAAATGAATGTGTGATGAGGCAGGCCTGTATCAAACTGTCCGTGTGCGTTCTCAGTGAGTCCTTACAACCACCTGTATCATTTGCCAGATTAATCTAGGCTCACTGGGGTCTGCTGGCTGGCAATTAGTAGAGTTTAGTCTTGATTCCCAGTCTGTGTGTATCTAATTCTGCTTCCAGTCATGTTACCTAATGCTCCGAATAACTTATAGCTTAGGTGTTGTTAGCCCAGTTTACAAGTGAGCAAAACTAAAGCTCAGAAAACTTTATGCTGGCGGAAGTGGCAAGATAGAAATTTTGGCCAGGCGTCGTTGGCTCACATCTGTAATCCCAGCTACTTGAGGGGCTTGAAAGGGGAATGGTTTACAAGACCCCCATCTCCAAAATAACCGGAGCAAAACGGACTGGAGGTGTGGCTCAAGCAGCTGAGTGCCTGTTTTGCAAGTGCAAAGCCCTGAGTTCAAAACCCAGTCCCACCAAAAAAAAAAAAAAAGGAAAAAGAAATAAAGAAATCTAGGTCTATCTATCTGATTGTGTCTGTTTCTAGGAGAACTGGCAGTATAGGCTGTGAAAGAGCAGAGCAGACAAATTACATTGTTAGTCTCTAAAACCTATAAGTCAGATTCCTCTTGTTCTCTGAATGTGAATTTGGGGTTTGAGTTTTGTGAATTGTTACTTTTTGTGTGTTAATCTTTGAAGACTGAATTGCTGTTTCACTTTTCTCCTGTAGAACTTAGTACATTGACAGTCATATAGGAAGTGTTTGTGGGCTTTTGATTGTTTGAAGTAGAATAGCTGGGGAGGCTGAGGAGAGAGCCACGAGGAATTCATCTTCCCTTTTCCTTTGTGATTAAAAAAAAAAAAAGTGTCCAGCAGACATTTTTCACCTTTTCATTCCTGAGACCTCAGCTTTAAAGTCACTTCCTCTGGAAAATTTTCTCTGACCGACCACATCTTTAGCTTAAGTATTCTCCCCCAATGCTGTTATTCTCTATCACAGCAATTTACTTATTCCCTTTCTAAAACTTATTTCAATTTGTAGTTAGTGATGTTACCTGTCTATGGTTGCTCTCCCACATAGATTGCCCATGGAGGCAAAGACCATAGTGTCTTCATTCACCAACCCAAAACACTTAGCACAGTCACTGCCACATAGAAGGTATTCAGTTTATTCATGGAAGAAGACAAAAGCATCAAATATTGTACTTTTCATGGGGCTGTGTTTTCATTTGTCATGAATGCCCAATGTTTATAAAAATTATTTTTTATTGTAACACTGAATACATGTCCACATGAAGCTAGGTATGAACTCAGCATACTGCTCTTAAACAACTATAAAACCAAGTATTTGCAGTGCTAGGGGTATAGCTCAATGGTAGAGCACTTGCCTAGCGTGTGCAAGTTCTGGGATTTGATCCCCCAGCATTGGAAAAACAATTCTACGAATTAAATATAAGCAAAACTATCAGATCAATAAATTCAAATTAATACTACTCTAATGCAAGGTTTCTCTACCTTGGTTTTATTGGTATTTTGTGCTGAATAATTCTTTGTTGTGGGTGCTGTCTAGTGCATGGTAAGGCGTTAAGCAGTATTATGGTCTCTACCCAGATCCCAATAACATTCCTCCAACTGTGGAAACCTAAATGTCTGCAGACATTGTCAAGTGTCCCCTGGGGTATAAAATTGTCCCAACTGAGAAACACAGGTCTAATGCAATATAATGTTTTGCTCAAACTAAGTTTGCAACATTGAGTTTAATAGAATGAGGTAGCTACAGATCTGGCTCTGTATTTTCTGTTTTGACTTCAGTAACTTTAATGTACAGAATGCCTGTTTATGTAAGTGTTGTATAAAATGGTATCAGCTTCAAGGTATTGTTTGCTGTTTCAGGATAGTTAGACAAACTTTTCTAAAACTCTGTCAATAAGGAATAGTCAAATGCCAGTTTTAAGGGGTATCATTGATCACTGGTAGAGTTGTCTTGTTAATAAAAAGTTGCACATAGATTGGGTGCTGGTAGCTCACACCTATAGTCCTAGATACTCAGGAGGCAGAGATCAGGAGTATTATAGGATTTTGTTCATTTATCATTTTATTGCAGTGACTGGGTTATTGTAGATGTTCATTAGAAGTTGCTTGATTCTCCATTTGTATCTGCCATACCAATATCTAGTAAGCACATGAAAAGATTTCGAACATCACTAATCATTAGAGAAATACAAACAAAACAGTGAAATACCACATCTATTTAGATGGCTACTATGAAAAATAACAGAAAATAACAAGTATGGGTGAGGTTGTAGAGAAATTAATATCCTCGTATACTGCTAGTGGAAATGTAAAATGGTACAGTGACTATGGAAAACGGAATAGAAATTACTCAAAAAATTAAACTTAGAATTACTATTATGCTCTAGCATTTCCACTTCTGGGTGTATTCCCAAAAGAAGTGAAAGCAAAGACTTAACATATTTTTGCGCCTGTGTTCATAGAGCATCATTCGCAGTAGCTAAAAGGTAAAAGCAATTCACATGTCCATCAAGGGATGACTGGATAGATAAAATGGAAAGAAAGGAAGTTCTGACAGATACTACAACATAGATGAACCTTGAGGACATTATGCTAAGTGAGGGAAGCCAGATACAAAAGAACAAATACTGTATGACTGCACTTAACGTGAGGTATCTTGAGGAGTCAAACTTACAAACACAGAAAGTACAGTGATTGTTGCCAGGGGCTAGGGGTATGTTTAGTGGGTACAAGGTTTCAGTTTGAGAAAATGAAAAGTTCTGGATGTGGATGGTGGTGATGGTTGTACAACAGTGTAAATGCACCTAATGCCATTGGACTGTATGCTTAAAACTGGTTACCAAGGGCTGAGGCTGTAGCTCAGTGGTAGAGCGCTTGCCTAACATGCACAAGGCCTTTGGTTCAATCCCCAGCACTACAAAAAAAAAAAAAAAAAAAGGTTAAAATGGTAGTTTTTTTATGTTGTGTATTTTTTTTTTAAGTTGAACAAATACATTCTTCCACTACTTTTTTCAACTTGCACTGTGAAACTTTACATAGCAGATTAGGCTATCATTTGGCCTTTACTTGAATTAAAAATACAAATGCAAGCTGGGTGTGGTAGCACACACCTATAAATCCCAGCACTCAGGAAGCTGTGGCAGGAGGACCATTAGTTCCAGGCCTGCCTGGACTACATAGCAAGACCCTGTCTTAAACCAACCAAACAACCCCCAAAATTTCATGAATAATTTGTAAGTCCTGAGATTATGTCTGAGAAACCCTTGAAGTCTATAAGCTCTAGTTTGAACAATATTGCTAAAGAGACTTTGTTGTGACCAAATCAAAAGTCTCATGTCTTTATAGGGTATTCCCCAAAGATTGCATAAGAAACAGATAATAGTGGCTGCCTATGGGACATTGACTTTTTTTCCTCCTGAGGTGCTGGGGATTGAACTCAGGGCCTCACACTTGCAATGCAAGTACTCTCCTTGAGTCACACCGTGAGTCTGGTTGACTTATTTTTTAATGTATAGCATCTTGTATTGTTTGACTTCTTCACCACATATTTCCTATTTTAAGAAGCAAGTAATTAAGTCAGGATGGGGAACACTACCATCATAGGAGTTTGGAAATACCTGGTTACCAGAACTTAACTAACATTAAGTGGGCAACTTAAGTAAAGAAGAGAAAAATAGTAAGAAAGGAGAAGACAGCATGAAGCATTTGAAGCACCCCAAAGAATGTGGGGCAGTGCCTAGCAGGCATCAGTTGTTTTTGCTATTGTCACTCTTCTTGCAGGTGTCCCAGGACTTCCCATTTCTCCACCCCAGTGAGACTTGCGTCCTGAATCGACTCTGCCGGCTTGGCACCGACTACATGCGCTTCACTGAGTTCATTGAACAGTACACAGGCCACGTGCAGCAACAGGTGGGTCCTGGTCTCAGGGTGTGTGCCTCGAGAGCACTGCCAGGCTTTCGGTGAATTCAGTGGTGATTCATGTGTGACAAGTTAGGAATTTCCGGAAATATTCTGAATTTATGAATCACTGGAAGTTCTCAAGTGAAGGCAAGATCTCAATTGTTTTCTTGTATATAATGCTTTAAAAAGCCTGTCCTCTATTCATATGTGTGTGGTTTTTATCTTGTATAGTATGGGAGTTCCTACTTTTCCAAATTCTAAAGATAACTGTAATACCTTTTTTTGGGAAAAGTATAATACATATTTTCTCTTTCATTTTGTGATAAATGAAGACATCCAGTTTTCTAGAATGACACAAGATCAAAACAAAATTGGCGGGCCATAAGCAAGGCTGCTCTGTTTCACTGTATGTCCATGCTGTTCTTAGTGTAGCTGTGAACATTTGTCTTTGGGAACTACTAGTATCCTTTGCAGCATCCTCCGATACACTGCACTTTCTAACCCCTGAGCCCAACCTTCCTACCAATTTGTTGCTGAGTTCTGCTATGCTAACTACCACCACCAGAACCCGAATCACTCAAATCAGTACATAGTCAGAGAGGCTGATCATCTATCATACCCTCTAGACAATTGTTGACTGCAATCCCCCATATAAAACTATATAAGAAGCTCCTGCAAAAAAACAAGCCAGCTGGGCATGGCACTTCATCCCTGTCATCCCAGCTATGTGGAAGACAAAAATAGGATCACAACCCAGGCCAGCCAGGCAAAACCACAGACCTTATTTGAAAAATAACTAAAAGCAAAAAGGATTAGAGGCATGGCTTAAGTAGTACAGTACCTGCCTAGCAATCATGAGACCCTGAGTTCAAACTCCAGTACCACAAAAAAAGCCATATTTGTATATAACCAACCTCATGACAAGGGTCTTACAACCCCACATGTTGCTATCAGACTCGTGTTCTTGATGAATTGCCAAGCCAGGCAAGAGAAAGAGCATTAAGAGAAGGATTAAGGTCATTTTATTTATTTAGTGAATATTTATTTACCCTCTATTCAAAGAACTGTGCTGAGATACAAAGATGAGTAAATTCTGGTCCTTGTCTTTATGAAGCTCTGGTCTAGTGAAAAGTACCTCTAAATAAAAGTACAATTCAAACACTAAATAGAAATGAAAGCAACAATGTGGAACTAATAATTCCCTAGGGAGACTTTGAAAGCGCTTTGCAGACAAGAAGTGCTTAAGCTGGGTCTTGCAAGAAGAGTGCTTGTCAGAAAGATGAGGTATGCAGCTGTGAGTGGAGCACAAGACCAAATTCACAGGAGCAAGAGATAGAAGCAAGGTACATCTGGTAGACTGTGAGTAGTCTACAAATGATATTAGTTGGAAGGAGTAAAAACAATTTTGGAGAAATAGGTGAAAGTCAAAATGCAGAAGTTTTTGTATGCCATGTAGAAGAATTTGGATATTATTCTGGGACATAAAAAAAAACACCAAAGGGTTTTAAGCTGGGAATGGTAAGGTCAGAATTGAGTTATAGAAAGATCTCCATTGACATTAGAGAGTACAACCTAGTTGTTTGTAACATCTGGGGCTGCTTGGAAAATTAAAGTATTACCAGACTTTAAAATATCATCACTCAGAAGTCTTTATCTTCAACAGGGGTTTCTTCTCATTGAAACACTGCTTTGATATGGAATTATGTAAGCAAAGACAACATTAGTAATAAGGGATAATGTCTTCCTTGGGTTTCAGGTCCTGAGAAGTTGACTTCTCTTTGTTTCATTTCAGGATCACCATCCATCTCAGCAGGGACAAGGTGGGTTACATGGAATCTACCTGAGGGCCTTCTGCACAGGGTTGGATTCAGTTTTGCAGCCTTATCGTCAAGCACTGCTTGATTTGGAACAAGAGGTGAGAAAGAGAAGATACAGGAAACAATATCTGTGGGACAGCAGATTAAAGCTTGTTCTTGAATATGACGTGGCCTTTGAGGAGTGTCGTTAGTTAATAATAAGCTATTTTCTGCAAGACTGGAGGGGTACAGTGTTCTGTGATTGCCCAAGCCATGATCCAAGTGGCTTACAGATCATGGCAGAGGTTCCTGAATGAGTTTGTAAGAGCTCTTGGCTTTGGTTTCTTTATCAACTAAAAATCATAATAATTTTCTATAAATTTTCATTTCTGTTGAACCTAAGACTAACAACAGATTAGTCTTAATCAGATTTTCTAGTTTTCATAGCTCAAATTGATTCAGGTTCTTTGATGTGGAGCTCTAATCACAGTGTTTTTATTGCAGTTCCTGGCTGACCCTCATCTCTCTATATCACATGTCAATTACTCTTTAGATCAGGTAAGCTGCCCAAATAACAAAATGCCTTGCAATCTGTTCCTGTGGTTGAAATAATTTAATTTATGGCACTATTTTAAGAACATTTTTCCTTAAGGTGTTAGAGCCCAACATTTTGTTTTGTGCATTTTATGTTTTGCTGGACAGGAACTGCTTAAAGAGTTCTGAATTTAGTTTAAATTTAGTTAATTTAGTCTTATATGAATGCTCTGTTGATATCAATATTGACAGTTATGCCAGCTTCAGAAGTAGAAACTGCTTCTGTCTGACATTTTCTTCCTGTTTGCAGCTAATCCTGACATCACATTGATTTAGGATATAAGATCTTGACTGTTCTGTAGTGTTGCCGTGTTATTTTAAGTTGGACTATTCAGAAACAAAAACAATTCCTAAGGTGTTTTTTGGCCCCTGCATTTGATTACATACTCTTAATCTCTTCATTGCAGTTCCAGCTCCTTTTTCCCTCTGTGATGGTTGTAGTAGAGCAAATTAAGAGTCAAAAGGTAAGCACTTCCCATTTTCCTTTTGCTCTGTTAAGCACCAATGAAATATTAATAATTAATGTTGTCTTACAGTCTTTTTAGAAGACTCTGGTTTTCCTTACTTTTTACTTGTTAATTTATTCATTCAACAATATCTGCTTGCAAAGTAAGCCAAGTTCAGAAAGCCAAATATTGCATGTTTTCACTCATATGCAGAATAATGATAATAATAATGATGGTGTGTAGTATAAAAGAGGGAATGTGGGGGAGGGAATCAGTTGGAGGAAGGAAGGGAAAAGGAGAGGATGCTGGGGGTAAAGAGGACCAAAGTGTATTATATATATATATATGTATATATATGAAGAATATGTATATATATGAAGAATATATATATATATATATATGTGAAGATAGCATAATGAAACCCACCCAAATACTATTTGAAAAATGGGAAGAGGGAGGATGGTAATGGGAATATAATAGAGGGGGTGAACTTGTTCCAAGTACACTGTACACATCTATGGAATTTTCAGTGAAAACCCCTCGTACTATTAATGATTCCTAACTTAAAAAAACACAATATCCACTTGCTTATCATATTAAGTGTCAGGAATGCAAAAATAAAATGTCATCTTGTCTATAAGCACCTTGTGGTTCGGAAAGCAAAAGAAATGTTAATAGATGCGCCCAAGAAAGATCAAAATGCTGTGGATGTTTGGAGGTGACAGCAATTTGCAATAAGGGCTTAGAACTGTTGGGTAAAGATTTTGAGGAGAAGTAGAAAGTTAGTCCTTAGAAAGAAAGAAGGTGGTAGGTTTATGGTTAAGGTGCTGGCAGTTTTGTGAGAATTAGTAACTCACTACGTGAAACCACAGAAGCTTATTTTGTTAAATATTCCTGTTGTTGTCATCACAGATTGACATCATATGCATTGAAAAGTTAGTGTCATGAGATGATCTTTTCTGGGCAGAGTTAATAATGCTGAAGAATAAATGCTTTAAGGTTCACATTAGAAGAAGAATCTGCTTTCCTGGTAAATCAATCCATATTGGACCAAATGGATTAAACATGCTCAGCTTGGGCTGTGGCATAACTCGAGTGGTAGAGCTCCTGCCTAACAAGCACAAAACCCTGAGTTTAAACCCTAAAACTCAGCTCAACCCTACATATCTAAAAATGTTCACCTTGATGAATATAGCTAGTTGATTAATTAATTTACCACATTGCTACTTTATTTTTTCCTGTGTGAGTACAGACATTTAAGTGCTACATTCATGCTATGCCCAACCAAAAAACCAGTCAAGAGGTGCTTTGCAGAACTGATTGCCCTGTTACATTACAACATCCAGCTTTTATCATGCACTCGGCCTATACCAGGCACTGTGCTAAGTGCTTTACATGCATGTTCAATTCTCTAATAGATTAAATAGGCTAAGGAATGTGCTCAGGGTCACACAGGTGCAAGTAAATGGTAGAACTGGGTTATAAACAGTCTATCTGACCCCAAAGACTATGCTCTTAACCACTAAGCAATCTCTCAAAACACAGGGAGGAGACTTAATGGTGAGAGCACAGGGTTCCACACCTAGCTACACATCTCAGTTGACTTTCAGCTTTCATTTGTATAGGAAGGAGAGTGGGAAGTGAATAGAGGGATTGCAGATGGGTGAATCTTCTTTCCTGCTAGGATGGTGGTAGAGAAACTAGTGTGCTAATGCTCTACAGAGTTAAAAACGAGGTGATCAAGAGCATGGGCTGAGGGTGAGAAAGGAACTGATGGCAAACAGGCACGAGGGGTGTTATTTTTGGACTGATGGGATGTTGTAAAACTGAATTGTGGTTGTTGCACAGTGCTCTAAATTTACTAAAAGATGTTAAATAATATATGTAAGATGGATGAATTTAAGATACATAAATTATACTTCAAAGTAATTAATTAAAAAGAAGCCTGAAGGACATGGAGGCAGTGAAGTTGGGGGAAAGCATATACCTCATAAGTAGTCTGAATTGTCCCTTTACCTGCAATAAAGACTTTTCCTTGCATTTGGAATTCCAGCTCTACATTACTGGTTTCTTCAGTGCATCTGTTCTCATAATTTATTGTGCATTAGATTACCTGGAGAGCTTGTTAAAACACAGATTGTGGGCCCTATCTGAGAATTTGTGTTTTTGCCCAGTCCATAGGTAATGCTGATGATGCTGGCAGGAGAGGGGATTGCCTTTGGGAAGCACTATACAGATTTCTTATCATACAATATGTCCCCAATATATATCTCCTGAATTGTGCCCTTTCTGTTGACTATAGAATGAGTTTATGTTGTATGAATTGTTAAAATGTAATTCAGTTTGACAAGGCTATATTTCCACAGATTCATGGTTGTCAAATCCTGGAAACAGTCTACAAACACAGCTGTGGGGGTTTGCCTCCAGTTCGAAGTGCATTAGAAAAGTAAGTTATGGCTTACTTAGGGATTGGGGATAGAATGGGGGGTGGGTCAAGTGACTTCTCACATGTTTTCTTTTCAGGTCCTCTGAGGTATCCCTCAGAGGAAAGTTATGACCAGGATAGAAAGCCTCATGAGCAGAGAAGCCCAGGAAATCCCTGTGATGGCTCAAGGCATTGCAAAGAGAGGGTTATGAAGTAAAGTATCAAAGCCAGGATTTTGCTACCAAGACAAACTCAAGGCGATCCTTTTTAAGTTTGGATTTCATTATCCTTGTAGGATTCCCATTACATGGCCAGATATTGCTTGCCATGTTTAAACGTGTATTTGAGTAGCCCATGTTTTTACATCATGATCCTTAAAAATATTTATCCCATAATGTTTTATCAGCAAATTAGAAAATTACTAGGTGTAAAAGAAAAATAAAGATGTAAGTCACTTAAATGACTATTCAGTCTACATGTTCAGTGCAATCCTCATCAAAATTCCAGTGACATTCATTACAGAGATTGAAAATTCAACCTTAAAGTTCATTTGGAAGCACAAAAGACCGTGAATAGACAAGACAATACTGAGCCAAAAGAGCAACACTGGAGGTATCACAATACCCAGCTTCAAACTATACTACAGAGACATAGCAATAAAAACAGCATAGTACTGGCACAAAAGCAGGTATGGAGACTAGTAGAACAGAATAGAAGACCCAGATATGAATCCATGAGGCTATGCCCACTTGATTTTTGACAAAGGTGCCAAAAACATACAATGGAGAAAAGACAGCCTCTTCAACAAATGTTGCTGGGAAAACTGGATATCTACATGCATGTCTTTCACCCTGTACAAGTATCAAAGTGAATTAAGGGTCTTACTATAAGAACTGAAACTTCTTCTGTTGTGCAAAAACTTCTGCACAACAGAAAAAACAGTGGTCACCAAATTAAAGAGGCTGTTCACAGAATGGGAGAAAATCTTTGCCAGCTATACATCTGACAAGAGATGAATAACCAGAATATACAGAGAGCTAAAAAAACTGAACTTCCAAAAAATCAATGACCCAATGAAGAAAAGGACAAATGAACTGAACAGAGCTTTTTCAAAGGAAGAAGTCCAAATGGCTGAAAAACACATGAAATGTTCACTATCCCGAAAAACACATGAAATGCTCAATATCCCTAAAGAAAATGCAAATCAAAACTACATTAAGATTCCACCTCACTCCTCACACAAGCAACAACAAATGTTAGCAAGGATGTGGGAAAAAAGGAACACTGTTGGTGGGAATGTAAATGATACAACCACTATGGAAAACAGTATGGAGGCTCCTCAAAAAACTAAAAATAGAACTGCCATATGATCCAGCAATCCACTCCTAGGGATACCTGAAGGAACGTAAGTCAGGTCATAGTAAAGGGACCTGCATGCCCTTGTTTATTGCAGCACTATTCACAATAGCTAAACTATGGAAACAGCCAAGATGCCCCACTACTGATGAATGGATTAAGAAAATGTGGTATTCAGATACAGTGGAATTTTATTTAGCCATAAGGAAGAATGAAATTTTGTTATTTGCAGGTAAATGGATGGAACCGCAGAACATCATCGTAAGTGAAGTTAGCCAGGTTCAGAAGGCCAAAGGTCACGTTTTCTCTCATATGTGTAATATGGACCTAATACAAATACAGCAGTTTTGAAAAACAGGTCATGCTAAGGGGAGATCACATATGAGAGAGGGAGGGTTAAAAGAAGGAAGTTAAAAAGGTAAATATGAGGGGGGATAGAGGGGTTAGGGGAGCGGGTAGGGAGAAATTACTCAAACAATGTATGCACGTGTGAATAAATGAATATATGTGTGTGTATGTATGTATATATATATATATATATATTTACATCAAAAAATTTTTAAACAGGTGAATATGGTTGATGTACTTCCTATACAAGAATGAATATAGAATTTTTAAACCTGTTGAAATCACCATTAGAAGGGGACTAGGATAGAAAGGAAAAAAATAGAAATGAACTAATTCAAGTAAAAATACATACATACATTCACTAATTCAAGTTAAAATACATACATACATGGAAATGTCACAAGGAAACTCCCTGTACAGCTATCTTAAGCAAACAAAAATGTCATTTTTTTCAGTTACAAAATCAGAGAACAGAAGGGCAGAACAGGTCCTATCTGGAGGGTTGGTAGCAGTGGCGGTGGGGGGGGGTGTGTGGCAAAAGGGTTAAGAAGGGTGACTGTGGTGCAAATACTGTGTACACATGTATGTAAATGGAAAAGTGAAACCTGTTAAAAGTATTCCAGGAATGGGGGTGGGGGGATAAAGGAATGATGGAGGGGGTGAATTCAAGTATGATATATTGATATATTGTTAAGAACTTTTGTAAGTATCGCAATGTATCCCCAACACAACATAAATAAAAGTGTATACATATATATATATGGATATAGTCACTTGATAGACTATAAAGCCATTAAATTATAAATACCATGTGTCAAAATATCTTTTATAATCCTTATTAAAAAACGGCATAAAATTATACTTGTCTTATGATTATAAGTATATAAAAATATATGTGTTAGGGATGTAGCTCAGTGGTAGAGCATTTGATATGTACAAGGCCCTGGGTTTGATGCCAAGTACCATCAAAAAAACAGTACAGTGTGATCAAAGGCTGTCTGTTTGATTTTCCCATTTCTCTTTTGTTGTTGTTAAAAGGAATATGGGATGAATTGCAAAATTATGGTAGCTAGTCTCTGAGGCCCTTTGAAACTCTTAATCTTCACTGTTACCACTGCACAAATAAACTGTCAGAACAATAGGAAAATTTCCAGAACATGCTGTAGGAACTTATTCCTCCAGTGTACTTTTATGAGTAGAATATAAAATCTTACATAGATAGTATGATACATCCATATTTTTATTTTTTGCTGTGTGAGGGATCAAACCTAGGGCCTTGCATGTTATGTACATACTTATTACATATTTTCAGGAACCAAATTTTATAGAGCACAGACTCAGGTAGCCATATATATAAACGACTTCCCATTTGTTTTTTTTTGAGATGAAATACTCCATTCAGTTAGTATACTATAAGTAGTAGTCTCAAACGCTTGTGTATTTTGGGGCGGGGCAATACTGGGGTTTGAACTCAGGGCCTTGAGCTCACAAGACAGGTGCTTTACCTCTTGAACCATGTCTCCAATCCCTCAACTTTTTATCTTGAAATATTTCAAACCTACAAAAAAGTTGAAAAAATAGTACAATAAAAGACTTGTATATCCTTTAGTTAAGATTTTGCTACATTTATCTTTTTCTTTCTCCTTCCGTACATATGTGTGAAATATACACAGATGTGCGCCAAAATTTTGTTAAGTCATAACAACACTTAGCCCCTAAATACTTTAGCTTGTATCTTAGAAAAAAGGCATTTGCCCATGTAACTTCAATACTGTTTTATATTCAAGAAAGGTAACATTAATTCAATAATACGATATTTAGAATATATCCAGATTTCCTTAATTTCTCCCCAAAAGTCCAGTACAGCTGTTCTTTTTTTCTAATTCTGTCCAATCAATTTGCATTTGATTGCCATGGTTTTTTTTTAGTCTCCTTTAATTTAGAACCCTTGCCTTTTGGTGTTGCTTTTGGTAATAATGAGCACTTACCAGTTGTCTGTAGAATGTCCCTCAATCTAAAGTTATCTGATTCATCCCCTGTGATTAGATTCAAGATAAACATTTTTGACAAGAATACTAACATGGGTGATATTATTTCCCATTCCATGATATCAGCAGGCACAGAAAGTAAGGTCATCCCATTGCTGCTATTGTGATTTGATCACTTGGTTTTGTTGTTAGATGTCAGATCACTCCACTGTAGAGGTATTACTTCCTCTTTCTAATTAATATGCTATCTGATGGACTGTCCTTGAGAACATCTCAATATCCTTTTCCCCAACAACCTTTCTGCATTTTATTTTCATTGCTGCATTTTGTTGGATAATACATTGTCATGTCTACCTGACACATACTGAACCTTCTTTCCTATGTGATCCCAACAAAAAGAAAATAAATTCAGGACTGTTAGCACTCTATTAAGTCCATTTAATTTTAACAGGACTCATCAGTTTTGAAACTTACTTTATACCAATAAAGGAAAGAAAATGTTTCTCCTTTTAAAAAACACTATCTGAATATTTACTGAACAATTCAAACTTAAGTCTGCAAGAATGGAATGGAAACTTAATCACCAAGTTATTCACAAACATTTAAGTCAAAATCATACACTTACTTTTCCTGTGACTCACCAAATTCTCAGTCCTCTCTTTATCCTGTAGCAGTTTAAAAAATGAACTCTGTGGCAATGGCAGGGTTTGATATTTTCTGGTGGACGTCTAAGGCTCTTGCTTTCTTCTCTCCTTAGAATCCTAGCTGTATGTCATGGGGTCATGTATAAACAGCTCTCAGCCTGGATGCTCCATGGACTTCTTTTGGACCAGTATGAAGAGTTCTTCATCAAACAGGGTCCATCTTCTGGTAATACCAGTGCCCAGCCAGAAGAGGACGAGGAGGATCTGGGCATTGGGGGACTGACAGGAAAACAATTGAGAGAGCTCCAGGACTTGGTAAGATTGCAGCAAGAAGTCCAGCACAGCCAGACACCAGTGGCTCATGCCTGTCATCCTAGCTACTTGGGAGACTGAGATTGGGAGGATCGTGGTTGAGGGCCAGCCTGGGAAAATAGTTCATGGACCCCATCTCTAAAGTTACCAGAGCAAAATAGACTGGAGGTGTGGCTCAAGTGGTAGAACACCTGCTTTGCAAGCACAGAATCCTGAGTTCAAACCTCAGTTCCACAAAAAAAAAAAAAAGTAAATCCAGAGTAGTCCTATCATGAGTCAAGAAAATCTATAGCTAACTCATCTTTTGCTGATACTTGGCTACCTTCAATAAATTCTTTTTTTTTCTTTTTTTATTATATTCATATGTGCATACAATGTTTGGGTCATTTCGCCCCCCTTCCCCTGCCTCCTCCCTTACCTCCCTTACCTTCCCAACTCCTCACTACCAGGCAGAAACTATTTTGCCCTTATCTCTAGTTTTGTTGAAGAGAGAGTATAAGCAATAATAGGAAGGAACAAGGGTTTTTGCTAGTTGAGATAAGGATAGCTATACAGGGAGTTGACTTGCATTGCTTTCCTGTACATGTGTGTTACCTTCTAAGTTAATTCTTCTCGAACTAACCTTTTCTCTAGTTCCTGGTCCCCTTCTATTGGCCTCAGTTGCTTTAAACTATCGCTTTAGTTTCTCTGCGTTGAGGGCAACAAATGCTATCTACTTTTTTAGGTGTTTTACCTATCCTGATACCTCCCTTGTATGCTCTTGCTTTATCATGTGATCAAAGTCCAGTCCCCTTGTTGTGTTTGCCCTTGATCTAATGTCTGCATATGAGGGAGAACGTACGATTTTTGTCTTTTGGGCCAGGCTAACCTCACTCAGAATGATGTTCTCCAGTTCCATCCATTTACCTGCGAATGATAATATTTCATTCTTCTTTATGGCTGCATAAAATTCCATTGTGTATAGATACCACATTTCTTAATCCATTCGTCAGTAATGGGGCATCTTGGCTGTTTCCATAACTTGGCTATTGTGAATAGTGCCGCAATAAACATGGATGTGCAGGTGCCTCTGGAGTAACCAGTGTCACATTCTTTTGGGTATATCCCCAAGAGTGGTATTGCTGGATCCTATGGTAGATCAATCTTTAGATTTTTAAGAAGCCTCCAAATTTTTTTCCAGAGTGGTTGTACTAGTATACATTCCCAACAGCAGTGTAAGAGGGTTCATTTTCACCCCCCACATCCTCGCCAACATCTGTCGTTAGTGGTGCTAATGATGGCTATTCTAACGGGTGAGGTGGAAACTTAGTATGGTTTTAATTTGCATTTCCTTTATTGCTAGGGATGGTGAGCATTTTTTCATGTGTTTTGGCCATTTGAATTTCTTCTTTTGAGAAAGTTCTGTTTAGTTCACTTGCCCATTTCTTTATTGGTTCGTTCATGTAGAGAGAATTTAGTTTTTTGAGTTCCCTGTATATTCTGGTTATCAGTCCTTTGTCTGATGAGTAGCTGGCAAATATTTTCTCCCACTCTGTGGGTGTTCTCTTCAGTTTAGAGACCATTTCTTTTGTTGAGCAGAAGCTTTTTAGTTTTATGAGGTCCCATTTATCTATGCTATCTCTTAGTTGCTCAGTTTCTAGGGTTCCATTGAAAAAGTCCTTGCCTATACCTATTAATTCCAAGGCATTTCCTACTCTTTCCTGTACCAGCTTTAGAGATTGGGGTCTGATATTAAGATCCTTGATCCATTTTGAGTTAATATTGGTATCGGGTGATCTAGTTTCAGTTTTTTGCAGACTGCTAACCAGTTTTCCCAGCAGTTTTTGTTGAAGAGGCTGTCTTTTCTCCATCGTGTATTTTTAGCACCTTTGTTAAAGATAAGTTGGTTATAGTCATGTGGCTTCATTCTAGGTCCTCTATTCTGTTCCACTGGTCTTCATGTCTGTTTTTGTACCAGTACCATGCTGTTTTTATTGCTATTGCTTTGTAATATAGTTTGAAGTCAGATATTGTGATACCTCCAGCATTGTTCTTTTTTGACTGAGTATTGCCTTGGCTATTCGTGGCCTCTTGTGTTTCCATATAAATTTAATGGTAGATTTTTCAATCTCTTTGATGGATGTCATTGGGATTTTGATGGGAATTGCATTAAACATGTAGATTACTTTTGGGAGTATAGACATTTTTACTATATGGATTGTACCAATCCATGAGCATGGGAGATCTCTCCACTTTCTATAGTCTTCCTCAATCTCTTTCTTCAGAGGTTTATAGTTTTCCTTATAGAGGTTGTTCACATCCTTTGTTAAGTTTACACTAGGTATTTGATTTTTCTTGAAGCTATTATAAATGGAATTGTTTTCATATATTCTTTCTCAGTTTGTTCATTATTAGTGTATAGAAATGCTAATGATTTTTCTGTGTTGATTTTATATCCTGCTACCTTGTTATAGCTATTGATGGTGTCTAGGAGCTTCTGAGTAGAGTTTTTTTGGGTCTTTAAGGTATAGGATCATGTCATCTGCAAATAGGGATATTTTGACAGTTTCTTTACCTATTTGTATTCCTTTTATTCCTTCTTCTTGCCTAATTGCTCTGGCTAGGAATTCCAGTACTATGTTGAATAGGAGTGGAGATAGTGGGCATCCTTGTCTGGTTCCTGATTTTAGAGGGAATGGTTTCAGTTTCTCTCCATTAAGTATAATGCTGGCTGTAGGCTTGTCATATATAGCTTTTCTAATGTTGAGGTACTTTGCTTCTATTCCTAGTTTTCTTAGAGCTTTTATCATGAAATGGTGTTGGATCTTATCAAAGGCTTTTTCTGCATCTATTGAGAAGATCAAGTGGTTTTTGTCTTTGCTTCTGTTAATGTGGTTTATTACGTTTATTGATTTGCATATGTTGAACCACCCCTGCATTCCTGGGATGAAGTCTACTTGGTTGTGGTGAATGATCTTTTTGATGTGTTGTTGAATTCGGTTTGCCATTATTTTATTGAGGATTTTTGCATCAGTGTTCATTAAGGACATTGGCCTATAGTTCTCCTTTTCGGAGGTGTCTTTGCCTGGGGGATAAGTATAATACTGGCTTCATAGTATGTGTTAGGCAGTTTTCCTTCCCTGACTATTTTGTAAGGAGGGTTGGTATCAGTTCTTCTTAAAGGTATGATAGAATTCAGCAAAGAATCTTATCAGGTCCTGGACTTTTCTTTTTAGGGAGCCTCTTGATTGCTGCTTCAATTTCATTTTGTGTTATAGATCTATTCAGGTGATTAATGTCCTCTTGGTTCAGTTTTGGATGATCATAAGTATCTAGAAATCTGTCCATTTAGTTAAGATTTTCAAATTTATTTGAATATAGGTTCTCAAAGTAGTCCCTGGACTTCCATGGTGTTTGTTGTTATCTCCCCTTTTGCATTTCTGATTTTACTAATTTGGGTTTTTTCTCTCCTCATTTTAGTCTGGTTTGCTAGGGGCTCTTTCGATATTGTTTATTTTTTTAAAGAACCAACTTTTTGTTTCATTAATTCTTATATGGAATTTTGGGTTTCTATTTCATTGATTTCAGCTCTTATTTTTATTATTTCTCTCCTTCTATTTGTTTTGGGATTTGCTTGTTCTTGTTTTTCTAGGAATTTGAGATGTAGCATTAGATCATTAATTTGAGATCTTTCAGTCTTTGTAATATATGCACTCATGGCTATAAACTTTCCTCTCAGGACTGCCTTTGCTGTGTCCCATAGGTTCCAGTAGGTTGTGTTTTCATTTTCAGTGACTTCCAGGAACTTTTTAATTTCCTCTTTTATTTCCTCAATGACCTGTTGTTCATTAAGTAATGAGTTATTCAGTTTCCAGCTGTTTGCATGTTTTTTGTCTTTATTTTTGTTGTTGAGTTCTAGGTTTATTGTATTGTGATTAGAGAGAATGCATGGTATAATTTCTATTTTTTTATATTTGCTGAGGCTCTCTTTGTGACCTAGGATATGATCTATTTTGGATAAGGTTCCATGGGCTGCTGAGAAGAATGTATGTTGTGTAGAAGTTGCATGAAATGTTCTGTAGATAACAACTAGGTCCATTTGATCTATGGTATATTTTAGATCTAGGATTTCTTTATTGATTTTTTTGTTTGGATGACCTATCTATTGATGATAATTGGGTGTTAAAGTCTCCCATGACCACTGTGTTGGAGTTAATATATGCTTTTAGGTCCTTCAGGGTATGTTTGATGGAATTGTGTGCATTGACATTGGGTACATATAGGTTGATAATTGTTATTTCCTTTTGGTCTATTTCCCCTTTTATTGGTATGGAATGTCCTTCTTTATCTCATTTGATCAATGTAGGTTTGAAGTCTACTTTGTCAGAGATAAGTATTGCTACTCCTGCCTGTTTTCGGGGGCCATTGGCTTGGTAAATCTTCTTCCAGCCTTTCGTCCTAAGCCTATGCTTATTTCTGTCGGTGAGATTGGTCTCCTGTAAACAACAAATTGTTGGATCTTCCTTTTTAATCCATTATGTCAATGGTGCCTTTTGATGGGTGAATTAAGTCCGTTAAGATTAATTGTTAGTACTGATAGGTATGTGGTGATTCCTGTCATTTAGTTGTCTTAGTTGTTTGAAGGTTTGATTGTGTGTACCTAAATCAGTGTTACTCTCTACTTTCTTGCTTTTTCTTTTCCTGTCATTTGGAACTGCCTGCCCTTTCATGGTTATGTTCGGTTTTACTTTCTGTGTGCAGAATCCCTTGAAGAGTCTTTTGTGGTGGTGGCTTTGTGGTCACATATTGTTTTAGTTTCTGCTTATCATGGAAGACTTTTATTGCTCCATCTATTTTGAATGATAGTTTTGCTCGTAGAGTATCCTAGGGTTGAAGTTATTTTCATTCAGTGCCCGGAAGACCTCACCCCAAGCTCTTCTTGCTTTTAATGTTTCTGTTGAGAAGTCTGCTGTGATTTTGATGGGTTTACCTTTGTATGTTATTTGTTTTTTCTCTCTTACAGCCTTCAATATTCTTTCTCGAATCTCTGTACTTACTGTTTTTATGATAACATGCCATGGAGTAGTTCTATTTTGATCCAGTCTGTTTGGGGTTCTGGAGGCTTCGTGTATCTGTATGGGCATAGATTTCTCTAGGTTTGGGAAGTTTTCTGTAATCGGTGAATATATTACACATGTCTTTTGCTTGCACCTCTTCTCCTTCTTCAATGTCCGTGATTATCAGGTTTGGCCTTTTGACGGAGTCAGTGAGTTCTTGCATTTTCTTTTCACAGGTCTTGAGTTTTAAGTAATAGTTCTTCAGTTTTCTTTAATTATCATTTCATCTTCGAGTTCTGAGATTCTATCTTCTGTTTGTTCTATTCTCCTGGGTTGGCCTTCCATTTTGTTTTGCCAATTCTGTTTCGATCTTTTTTCTGAGGTTTTCCATATCCTGAGTCCCTTCCTCTTTAATATGTCTATTTTCTTCCTGAGTTCATTTATCTCTTTATTAATCATGTTTTTGTTTCACTTTGGTGTTTATACAGTGCTTCTGTGGTTTCTTTTATTTCTTCTTGTGCTTTCTCAAATTCTCTATTTTTGTTGTCTTGGAATTTCTTGAGTGTCTCCTGTACATTTTGGTTGACCATATCCAGTATCATCTCTATAAAATTCTCATTGATTACTTGCCATATATCTTCTTTCAGGTTGTTCTTGTGGGCTTCATTGGGTTCTTTGGCATAGTTTATCTTCGTTTTGTTGGAGTCAGGATCTGGGTATCTGTTTTCTTCATTTCCCTCTGGTTCCTGTACTAATTTATTGCTGGGGGGAAACTGGTTTCCCTCTTTTTTCCATCTTCCCATAATTGCCCTTGCTATTGTTACTGTCCCTGTACTGTGTGCAATTAAGTATATTCTAGCTTGTAATAATAACAAGGTGATATCTAGAATGGAAGGGTGAAAGGAGAGGGAAAGCAAAGAAGGTAAAGAAAAAGGGAAATACAAAAAAACTAGTAAAAAACAAAACAGTGTCAAAGAAATAAACAGGGAGAGGTAGTGTATAATCAGCAGTAAGCTAAACAGGCATTAGAGAGAGAGAGGATTTAAAAAAAAAATCCCCAAGTTCAATTGCAGTAAAGTTTCTGTCCTAATAATTTTGGTGTTTGTCCCTCAGCATCCATTTCTGGAGATGGTGTCTCAGAAGTTCTGTTGTTGTCTCATCAAAGGGGAAAAAAAGCAAAAAACCAAAACAAACAAAAAAAAACAAAACACAACAAAATATCCCAAGTTCAAATGCAATACAGTTTCAGTAAGTCAGCATGAGGTTGTAGTTCAGTCGTTGTCTTATCAAAGGAAGAGAAAAGGAAAAAAAGGAAAAAAAAAAAAAGAGTCTGCAGACAGTTCTGTGAATGGCTACCTGAGGCTGTGGCTCAACTGCCCGCTGCTGTCAGCCTGCTGTTGCTGGAGGCGTTATTTATGCAGATGTCAGGAGTGAGCTTAGCACTCACCTGCCCCCCGCCCCCCGCCCGCAGGCTTTGTTTATTTAGAATTCTCCTGGGTGCCACCGCCAATGTTACAAGTTTTCCCCTCTCCAAGCACATTGGGGGAGGTGAACTGCACTGGCTTTCTCCAGCGGACTTGTTTATTTACAGTTCACATGGGAAGTGTCCCTTCCCACCTCTCCAGTAGAGTTTTCCTCACACAGCCACTTTTACAAGCTTTCCTGCTCCAAGGTTGCTGGGTGGGGGCCGCTGCTCCTGCCTTCTCTGGCCAGCTTGTTTATTTGCAGTTCCGTGAGGGATTGCCCCTCCCCCCTTCAGTGCTCAGGGCACCCCGCCCTCTTTGCTATGTGTCTTTTGTTGTTGTTTATTCAGTTTGTTTTCTTTCTCTTTTTTTCCCTGGGTGGGGGTCAGTCTGTCTAGGGGGCTATGCTGATCTGGCCCAGGGTTGTTTGTGGGAGTACCGCGTACCACTTAGCTCACCTGGTGGTCTGCGTCTCTCCAGCGGGTAGGAGCTGGCGTCTGGCGTCGTGGGAGCCTTCCTGGTTTCTCCATTTAACGTGGAGTGGGGATGCTACGCGTGGGCTGGGGGTGTGGAGGAGTTGGAGTTTTGCCTCTTCTCAGTGTTTTTCCTGTAAGATGTATCTCCAGTGTCTCTCAATGATTTTACTTTAGGAAGCACGCTTTCTGCTTCTCCCTCTAGTTACCATTTTCAATAAAATTCTTAAGATGTAAACATTGACCTTTTTCTTTCTTTTTTTTTTTTGGTGTTACTGGCATTTGAACCCAGGGCTTCACACTTGCTAGGCAGGCAGGCACTCTACCATTTGAGCCATATGTCCAGCCTTAGATGTAAACATTGGGCTTTCTCTTAACTAGTGTGAAACTACAAAATAGAAAATATGATTGTGAAAATCCTTTTGTTTCCCCTTTTCACATTACATGGATTTGCAAGGTTAATAGTAAGTCTTGGCTTTACAAATATTAGCTACCTTATAGTTTCAAATTTGATTTGAAGTTTTGTCTTTTTTTTGGTGCTGGGTAGGGGTACATTGTGGCATTTTCAAAAGTTCTTAAAATATCATACTTGAATGTGGTTTGGAGTTTTGAATAGACTCCTTAAAATCCTGTATTGTCCATCTATCCATCCAGTTACTCATTTATCCTGTTATATTTCATTGAATGCCTGTTACGTGTTAGGTACTGGTCTAGGTGTCACAGCTACATGGACAAAAATATCTTAAGAAATTTTTTGGTGCTACTGGGGTTTGAACTCAGGGCCTCACACTTGTTAGGCCAGTGCTCTACCACTGGCTCTTTTTGTTTATGTGTATGTTGGGTATTTTTGAGATAGGGTTTTATCTTTTTTTAAAAAAACCTGGACTAGCCTCAAACTGTGATCCTCCTGATCTCTGCTACATGAGTAGCTATGATTACAGGCATAAATCACCCATGCCTGGCTGTCGTAAAGAAACCTATAGTGGATGATAGAGAAAAGTAGACAGTTATATTACAATATAACAAATGTTCTGAAAAAGAACATTCTTGGAACATTTCTTAGAGGAGGGTCTTGGAGTAACTATAGAGTGGACGTTTCAGTGAATTGTAGGTCTGTATTGCAAAGAGTTTGGAAAGAGAGGTCAAGACATGTTCAAGCATAGGGAATATTGTATATAAAGGAAGAGAATAATGAAGGATGTAGCTCATTTGGGGATCACTAGTAATTCAATTGATATGGTCAAGTAAAATTGAAGTACAAGGTGTGAGGTGTCAGAGCGGGAGAGGGCAGGAGGCAGTTGATGAAGCTGTTGATTTAAGCAGAAGAAATATCATAAAGGCCCTTGTAAACAATAGGAATTTGAACTTGAACCTGAAAAGAGCTGGTAGCCATTGAGGAGTTTTAGACCACAGAGTCACATGATCAGACTTTATAAAGATCACTCTGGATGCTGTATGGAGAATCACTTATTAAAAATCAGGATTAGAGCTGGTAGAAAGCTCAGGTAGGAAAGAGCCTGCCTAGCAAGCATGAGGCCCATAGTTCAAACCCCAGTACCACCAAAAAAAAACAAAACAAAAAAATCAAGATTAGAGGTAAGTAGACCAGTTAAAAGAGTATTGAGGGAACTTAGGTGAGAAATAATAGTGCCAAGGGTGGAAGCAATGAATATGAAGAAGGGAATTTGAGAGAGGTTTAGGAGATGGAATCAACAGCTATCGTGACTGGTTGGCTATGTGTCAAAGGAAAGTTTCTGCCTTCAGTAGCTAGGCAAGTAGTGATGAAAGAGAATGTATATTGCTGGTGTTGGGGCTCAAAGCCAGGTCTCGTGCATTCCAGACAAGTGCTGTACTACTGAGCTTTATCCCCAGTCCTAGATGGGTCTAATTTGGGGCATGTTGAGTTTGAGGAACCTGTGGATGTCCAGTAGGTTGAGCCTGGGCCTCATGAAAGCAATGTAGCATGCTTTGAGTCTGAATATGGAGTCATTAGTTATAGCTCAGTTAACCTAGGGTCCATGGATGGGCAGGAGGTTCTCTGAAATGTTCTGTTTGTTCATTTGTCTGAAAGGTCTAAACTTTTATAATTGCAAAGAGGCTTGTGACCTAAAAGTATTTTAAATGTCTATCATGATGCCTGGCGGAGCCACAGAGGATGATCGGATTGTCTCAGAAGAGTGTAGAGCAAGAGAAAAAGAGGGTCTGGGATAGGGCCTGAGGAACAGAACAGCAAATGTATAAGACCTGAAAAAATGCCAGCTAAGTCTTTCCCTGTACAAGTAAGGAAGCGGATCAACAACCCAAGCTTTTACACAGTAGCAAAGGCAAAGTGAGTACTAAAATCCTAATGGTAAAAATGTCACCATTACGCTACTGCTTGGAAATGAAATGCTGGTGATTTAAGAATTGTGCAACCTCAGATTTACCATATTTGCAGTGCTTGTAGAAAAGAGTTGGGAAGGTTACTGGATGTTTTCTCGTCCTTTTGGTCATCTCAGTCTGGTTATTTCCTTGACTAGCGCCTGATAGAGGAAGAGAACATGCTGGCACCATCTCTGAAGCAGTTTTCCCTACGGGTAGAAATTTTGCCATCGTACATTCCAGTGAGAGTTGCTGAAAAAATCCTCTTTGTTGGAGAATCTGTTCAGATGTTTGAGAATCAAAATGTGAACCTCACTAGAAAAGGTAGGAATCTCCTTGCCCAGTATGCCGCATCTGGGCAAGTCTCTTTCATATTTGGTGGCCCAAAGCAGGCCTGGTCAGAATAACTGGAGCAGCAGTTGACTGCAAGAGCTGCACAGTCTGACAGGTTTGCCTGAGAAGCTGCTGCCCTCTCCAGAGCCCTTACCTGGCCTGGCTGTCTCCTCCTCTTTTGACAGTACCTTCCTATTATGCAGGGTCCATTTTGAAGAACCAGGAGGACACTTTTGCTGCAGAGCTCCATCGGCTCAAGCAGCAGCCACTCTTCAGCTTGGTGGATTTTGAGCAGGTGGTGGATGGTATTCGTAGTACTGTGGCTGAGGTTTGTATTCTTCTTACATTGTTTAAGGAAAAAAGTGGACTAGGACTTGACTTTGGTTTTTTCTTTTTTTGGTGGGACTGGGGTTTGAACTGAGGGTTTCACCCTTGTACAGCTCTACCACTTGAGCCACACCTCTAGTCCATTTTGAAGTGGTTATTTTGGAGATGAGATCTCAAGAACTGTTTGCCTGTATTGGTCTTGAAGATCCTCATGATCTCAGCCTCCCAAGTAGCTAGGATTACTGGTGTGAGTCACTGGCGCCCAGTGACTTGTCTTTTTTTTTTTTTTAAACATGGCTAGAGCTTAGCTTTGAGAGATTTGTTTTGAGAGAATTGAAGGGCAATATAGAAAATATCTATATTGTTTTCTCTGTTTTTAAAATAGAGGCAGAACTAACTTTGCCATTCCACATCTGATGGATACTTTTTTGTTAATTAATTAGTTTAGTTGAATAAAGGGGAGGCCTTGGTTTCATTTATAACAGTCAGCAGTTTGGGTTTGTTAATGTAGTTGGCAAACAACTCCAAGAAAACAACTGATTTTGACTTCATTTAATGCATGATATATTTGTCTGGCTCTATAACATACTTTCACTGTGTACATGATAATTTTAGGGGGAAAGCAAAGTATTAGCCAACCTGCCTGGAGTTACACAGTAAATGACAAAAGTGAGCTCAAAAACCAGGTCTTGTGACTCCCCCAGTTCAGTCTCCTTAAGTTTGAATGTGCTTCAGCCACCAACTTAAATTGTGGCCATTTTTCAAATGGCAGTAATTTCATTTGACTCACAGTTGGTGTTTCTTGCAAATATGTGTCATACTAATCCCTTTTGGGATTAATCTCTTCCTTTTAATTTTAATTTTAAAAAGTATACATACTAAACCAAGCATGGTTGCACAAGCCTACAGTCTTAGCACTCAGGAGGCTGTGGCAGGAGGATCATGAGTTTGAGGCTAGCCTGGGCTACATAGCAAGACCCTGTCAAAAAAAAATATGTACACACATACATACATACTATAGGCACCTACTTCTAAAGTTTGAAAACAGGCAAAACTTACCTGGTGCTAGGTGTCAGGATAGTCTTGTCCCTTGAGTCTGCGCAAGGCTTCCAGGTGCTATTTCTTCTTGGGCTAGGTTATGCATGTGTGTTCAATTGTGAAAATTCTTCAACGTGATTCATGTGCTTTTCTGTGTGTATTTTAGTACTTTAACAAAAAGTTTTTAAAATTCTTAGATACTTAAAGAGTTTTTATTTTATTTAATTTATTAATTTATTTTGCAGTACTAGGCTTGAATTTAGAGCTTACATCTCGAGCCATTCCACCAGCCCTTTTTTTTTTGTGATGGATTTTTTTCGAGATAGGGTCTTGTGAACCATTTACCCGGGCTGGCTTTGAACCACAATCCTCCTAATCTCTACCTCCTAAGTAGCTAGGATTACAGGTGTAAGCCACTAGCTCCCAGCTATTTTTTTTTTTCTTTTTGGGGGCAGGAGTGGGATTTGAACTTTGGGCCTTGCACTTGTTAGGCAAGTGCTCTGCCATTTGAGCCTACCTCCAGCCCAAGAGTTTTTATTTTAATTATATCTTTAATTGATTAATGCTTATATAGAGAAATGTATAGGAGAATAATTTTTGTTGGCTTAGTTTACACTGCAGCTTGTTCTAATAGTTCGAGTCTATAGATTCTTCTATGTAGATGATACTACCTGAAAATAATGAAAGTTACAAAATACTTCCCATTTTTAAACTATAGTGGAGGTAAAATTGGACCCCTTTGACTTGTTGACCCTTAAAGATAATGCATTTCCTTTTTTCTGATGTTTACTGTAGGCTTCCGGAACATAAGTTTATCAAATTAAAGTAATTCTATTTCTATTTTAGTAAATGTTTTATTAAAAATAAGGTTGAATTTTACCACTTCCCTTTCTGTATCAATGAAGGTGAAGTTTCTTGTTCTGGGTCCATTTCTACTTTAGTCTACTTGCCTAAAATTCCTAGTTAGATTTTTTTTGAGGGGCAGATCAGGGTTTGAACTCAGGGCTTCACACTTGCAAACAGGTACTCTACCACTTGAGCCACACCTCCAGTCCATTTTTGCTCGGGTTATATTGGAGGTGGAGGTCTCATGAGCTATTTGCCCAGGCTGGCCTTGAACCACTATCCTCCCAATCTCAGCCTCCCAAGAAGCTAGGATTATAGGTGTGAGCCACCAGCGCCTGACTCTTCTAGGTTTTTCAAATGTTCACTGCATTTTTGTTATCTACAGTCATCCTAATATGCCGTAGCATACTAGAATTTCTTGCTCCTCTCTGTTACTTAGTACCCATGCATCAACCTTTCTCCATCCCTCCCCTCCACACATTATCCCTGGCCTCTGGTAACTGCCATTGTATTGTCAACTGATAAGAGGCCAACCTTTTTAGATTCCACACATGAGTGAAATCATTCATTACTTGTCTTTTTGTGCCTGGCTTTTTCACTTAACATAATGATCTCCAGTTCCATCCATGTTGCTGCAATGACAGGATTTCATTCTTTTTATGTCTGAATATTATTTTATTTTGTGTGCCACATTTTCTGTATCCATTCATCAGATGATACACAATTAGGTTGTTTCTATCTCTTGGCTGTTGTAAAGAGTGCTAAATGAACATGGGAGTGCAGATGTCTCTTCAACATACTGATTTCATTTCTTTTGGATTTATACCCAGTAGTAGGATTGCTGGACCATATTGTGGTTTTATTTTTAATTTTTTGAGAGGCTTCCATAGTTGCTGTACTAATTCACTTTCCCTCCAATAGTGTGCAAGGGTTTCCTTTCCTCCACCCTTATCAGTACTTGTTATCTTTGGTCTTTTTGATAATACCCATTCTTAGTGAGGTGATATGATATCTCATTTTGCTTTTGATTTCCCTGATGTTGAGTAATGTTAAGCATTTTTAAATGTACCTCTTGGCTCTTGGGTTTTGTTTTTTGATTTGTTTGTTTTGAGAAATATCTATTCATGTCTGCTGCCCCCCCCTTCTTTTTTTTTTTTTGGCTATTGAGTTTTTAGAATTCCCTATGTATCCTGGATATCAACCCCGTGTCAAGTGTACAGCTTGCAAACATTCTGTAGGTTGTCTCTGTACCATGTTGACTGATTGCTTCCTTTGTCGTGCAGAAGCTTCTTAGTTTGATGCAATCCCTCTTGTCTGCTTTTGTTTCTTAAGCTTTGGGAATCTTGTCCCAAAAGAATCTTTGCCCATTTTACTGTCCTGAAGCATTTAAGTTTTTAATCCATTTTGGGTTGATTTTTTGTAGCTGGTGAGAGATAGGGATCTCTAGCTTTATTCTTCTGCATGTGAACATCCAGTTTTACTAGCACCATTTATTGAGAAGACCATTGCTTCTCTAGTGTGTATTCTTTTTATCTTTGTTGAACTAGTTTGCTATACATGCATGGGTTTACTTCCTGGCTCTATCTCATCCCATTGGTCTGTGTATCTATATCTGTTTTTCTGCCAATACCATGCTGTTTTGATTACTGTAATTCTGTAGTCAGTCAGTATAATGCCTACTGTCTGCTTTGTTCTTCTCTGCTCAAACTGTCTTAGCCATTTATGATTTTTTTATTTTTGAGACAAGGTCTTACTATGTAGCCTAGGCTGGCATTGAACTATTGATTTTCTTGCCTCAGCCTCCTGAGTGCTGTGATTACGGACATGCATCACCATGCCTGGCCTTATTCAGGAATTTTAATGGTTCCATATGAATTTTAGAGTCACTATTTCTAGTTCTATGAAGAATATCATTGCTATATTGGTAGGAATTGCATTGATTCTGTAGGTCACTTTGGTCAATTTTAACAATATTGATTCTTCCAATTCACAAACATGGGATGTCTTTTTAGTTTTTTGTGTACTCTTCAATTTCCTTCATCAGTGTTTATTTTCATTGTAGAAAATTTTCACTTCTTTGGTTAAATTTATTCATAGATATTTTATTTTGGAGAGCTGTTGTAAATGGGATCACTTTATTAATTCCTACTTCAGATAATTCACTGATGACATACAACAGTGATGCTGACTTTTGTATATTGATTTTATACCCTGCAATTTGCTAAATTCAATATTCAAATGTTTTATTAGTTGCTTTTTTTGGGATTTTGTGTATAAGATACCATCCGCAAAGTGACAGTGTGACTTCTTTTCCAAATTGGGTGTCCTTTCTTTCTCTTGCCTGATGACTTTGGCTAGGCCTCCAGCACAGTGCTGAATAAAAGTGGTGAAAATAGGCATCCTTGTCTTGTTCCAGATCATAGAGCTAAAGCTTTCAGTTTTTCCCTACTTCGTATAAATGGTGTTTATCATGTTAAGGTACCTTCCTTCTGTACCTGATTTTTTTTAATGTTTGTTATCATGAAGGGATGTTGGGTTTTATCACATGAGGTGACCTGTGGCTTTTGTCACATTTATTGATTTGCATATATTGAACCATCCTTACATCCCTCAGATGAATCCTTCTTGATCATAGTATATAATCTTTTAATGTGTTATTGTGATTTAGTTTGGTAGTTATTTGTGGAGGATTTTTGCATCTATGTTCATCAGAGATAATGACCTTTGGGGTATGGCTCAAGTAGCACTTGCCTAGCATGCACAAGGCCCTGGGTTCAATCCCAGTACTGCAAAAAACAAGTAATAAATAGAATAGATTTAATTTTTTTTTAAAAGAAGAATATTGGCCTATAGTTTTCTTTTTTTGTTGTATGCTTATCTGGTTTTCATATTAGAGTAATGCTGGCCTTGTAAAACGTGTTTGGAAGAATTCCTTCCTCTTCTGTTTTTTTTTTTTTTTTTGGAATAATTTAAGGAGATTTGGTACTGAGTTCTTTAAATGTTTGTTAGAATTCAGCAGTGAAACCAGGGCTTTTTCTTTGATGGAGGGAATTTTTTTACTGATTCAATCTCATTACTTGTTATGCTCTATTCAGGTTTTCTGTTCCTTCATGATTCAGTCTTGTTTAGATGTACATGTCTAGGAGTTTGTCCATTTCTTTTAGGCTGTCAAATTTGTTGGCCTATAGATGTTCCTGATAATCTCTAATGATCTTTTGTATTTCTGTAGCATCAGTTGTAATGCTTTCTTGTTCTTTAAGTTACTCTTTTTCCACATGGGAAGCCTGACTTCTAGGTGCTTTCTAAGGGCTCTGTCTATCTTCCATATATGCATTGCTCTGACCGTATTCCACAAGTTTTTGGCACATGGTATTTTCACTGTCATTCTGTTCTAAATAATTTCTTTGGGGGCTGGGGCTTGTTACTTACAAAACAGGTGCTCTACCACTCGAGCCATACCTCCAGTCCGTTTTGCTGTGGTTGTTTTTTTAGAGGTGGGGTCTTGCAGACTATTTGCCTGGGCTGGTCTCGAACTATGATCCTTCTGATCTCAACCTCTGAATTAGCTAGGATCACAGGCGTGAGCCACTGGCACCAGCATGTTCCAAGTATTCTTTTTTTTTTCCTTTTATTCATATGTGCATACAATGTTTGGGTCATTTCTCCCCCCTTCCAAGTATTCTTAATGTTCTTTCTGATTTTCTTTGTAACAAAGGAATTTTTTTTTATTTTGTTACAGTATAGTTAGAGAACAGTGTATTTGAGACTGGTTTAGTAAGTTTCCTTCATAGACTAAAGCAGAATCTGGGTTTTTGTTTTTAAGTGTTCTGCATGTGCCCAGAGAATGCATATTATATGTCAGATGTGAAGTTCTAAATCCTCATTTAAAGCTGTGTGTTTAAGTATAAAATATGCATATTCATACTGCCATTATCCTTACTTTTATGCATATTTATCAGGAGTACTTTAAAATGTTGGCCGCTGTCATGGGTCAGATTTCCCAGGAAACACATTCCATGACTAAGGTTTAGGTGAAGGAAGTGAGGGCAGCAGAACTGAACAAAGGGAGGTCACTGTGACACAGCTGCAGCAGGAACTGCAGAGCTTCACAGCTGGCAGAGCTGTGATGCTAGGATGGCCCTTCACAGGTGTCCCAAATTGAAGCTGGGGGTCAGGCCCTGTACCCCTGCATCTGCTAGTTACTGGATGTAGACTGCCTTAGGGAGACACCAGAGCCTTGGGTAAGGGAAGTTCCCTGTAGCCGAGGACAGTTTCTAGACTGCCAACAACAGGCCAAACTCCCAGCCACAGGTTAAGGAGGGTGCCTTAGTCTTGGAGTGATCTGAATAGCATCCTGTAGCGTCCACGCAGCCTGTTTAAAACTAGTACTTCCCATAGGCAGTGTTGTATCTTTTACCCTTCATGTGTCTAATTATTTTGACCTGTAGCTTTATAATCCCTTGGAGGTGTCGGCTGTCTTGTCTAGTACTGTGTATTAGAGAAGGGCCACAGGCCAGTTCCTAATTTGTGTTAGTTCCAAGGAGTTAGAGAGCAGGGACTGAGCTATAGGGTGGAAAATTCCACCACCTTGAACTGTTATCAGTCACTCCACTGGGCAAATCCTGTAGACGGGACTTTACCTTCATGCCAGTTATGAACTTAATTCCTTCATATTAATTTTCAGCCTTGCTGAATTCTCTTAATAGTTTTAATGTTCTCACTGTCAGTTTTCTTGGACTTTCCTTACAGATAGTCATAGCATACATTGTTTTTTCTAGTTATACACACATACACACACTTTTGCTTTACCTTATGGCACTGGCACAGTCTTTAGAATGTACTTTACAAAAGGCACAGTGCGGAATTACTTTAAGGGTGTGCCTCACCATTAACTAGGTGGTGACTTTTAGTATATATCCTTTACCAGAATAAAGAAGTTTCCTTCTCTTCCTTTCTTGTTTAAAATTATGAACAAATGTAGAATTTTATCAAATACTTTTTCTGCATTTGTTGAGGTAATCATATAGTTTTTTCCTTTAAGCTTTAATAAAGCGAATTACATTAATGCTTTTAGATTTTACTTTTTTATTGAGATAAAACTCACATAAGTAAACATTTTAGCCATTTTAAAATGGTGTATACAATTCAGTGGTTTTTAGTATATACATAGGCTTGTGCAACTGTTATTACTAATTTCAGAACATTTCTATCTCATGTGGGTTTTTTCTGTTTTGTTTTTACCATTAAACTATCTGTTCATTGCTGGATTTACTGAAATTAGTCACATATACACACACACACACACACTTTTTTTTTAACATTGCTGAATTTGTACATAACTATTCTTTGCAGGGATTTCACTATAATGAACTTTTGTCCTTTTATTGTTGTTCTTTTCATAGCACCTCTGGAAGCTGATGGTAGAAGAGTCAGATTTACTGGGTCAGCTGAAGGTAATAACTTAGGTATCTTTTAGTTCTTAAAATGATGTTGGTGGGCAGTGACTTCCAGGCAGGGGTGCCTGTACCGAAGACTTCATAGTGAACTCATTTGTTCTTAACAAGTGAGAAAACTACTTTATGCTACAATCTACTGTAATACAAAGATTTGACTTGACTTCCTTCTGGTGTAATATAATTATGTTGCTGTTCAATAAATGGCACTAACCACAAAGGAGTGCTCCTGTTAAGAGGAATGGCTAATTATGCCTCTTCAAAATGCCAAATGCCTTTAGACAAGACTGGGAATTATATGTGTAATTTCCTCAGAATAGTGAGGATCTTCTGGCCCTACTTTACCGAATTATAAATTGGAATTCTTTCCTCAGATCATTAAAGACTTTTACCTTCTGGGACGAGGAGAACTATTTCAGGCCTTCATTGACACAGCTCAACACATGTTAAAAACACCACCCACTGCAGTAACCGAGCATGGTAATTCCCTTGTGGTCCTGAGAATGACTGACTTACTGAAGTTGCAGGGTATTTCTTGGCTGCTGCTGATGCTTTCAGGCCTACTCCATATTTGAGCTACCTGGTGAGTTAAGAGCTGTGTTTCCAAAGATGGAAGGGCTCTCAGGTAAGCTTCATGCAAAGGTCACTGGGAGCAGCATCTTAGTGCCGTGACCCTTCCTGGTGCATACCTTCCAGCTAGGGGTCATCTCATGAGATTATATCATATCTATCTCATATTGTACTTATTGAGACCTGCAATGTGTAGTATTGTATGAGAACATTTTAGGTTCTCAATTATGGAAACCTGCTCTGGGCTAATCTAGTTAGAGAAGGGGAACCTATTTGTTATTATATCTGAAACCTCAAACAACTGAAGCGAGAGACTTGGATAATATCAGGATTCTCTCTTTGCCACATCTTCGTTGCATCTCCTGTGTGCTCTTTTGGTGACCTTGCAGGTCTCTCAGAAGCAGGTCTCCCAGTGACCTCTACTGAAGGAAGCAGACCAGGTCTATCTGGTAGCAAGTTAAAGAAATTCCAGATAAAAGGTTTTGATTGGCCATCCCGGATCACATGTCTATCACTGTAGTAGTCAAAGAGGTCAACCATTAGGATATTCCTAGTTCAGCAAAGTGTCCACCCCTTGATCAGTTAATGGCTATTTCCATTCAGAATACATGAAGAGAGGTGGGTAAGACACCGGGCACCAGTGGCTCACACCTGTAGTCCTAGCTGCTTGGGAGGCAAATCAGGAGGATTGCAGTTTGAAGCCAGCCTAAATAGTTTGGGAGACCCTATCTCAAAAATATCCAACACAAAACAGGACTGGTATAGTTGTTCAAGTGGTAGAGCACCTGCTTAGTAAGCATGAGGCCTTTAAGTTCAAACCCTAGTACTGAAAGAAAAAAAAAAAAGAGAGGTAAGGATCAGAGCCAAGAAAAAAAAAAACAAAAAACAGCAGTTATTGTTTTTCTAGCCTAATAAGACAATAGGTATCCACTGTAGTTAAATAGTACTTTTTTGGTTGCAGATATCAGAAAACCCAGTTCCAACTCACTTAAATAAAGACAATGAAAAGGAAAAATTATTATTCTCATAACAAAAGCTCATAGGTGTGATGACTTTAAAGTTTGATTCATTAATGCCTGTAGTATTTGATCCCTTTTCATTTTTCACCTTTGCTTTTCTTCTCAGTCAGGATTTGAATGGTAGGAAGATAACTTCTAACCAAGTTTACATCTTACTAAGTCTTTGTTTATTTAAAATAAAAAAGAGCTGCACTCACTAAATACAGCCTCTGGATTGGCCTAGTTCAAGTCACGTTCATATCCCTAAACAAAATAGTGTAACAAGGTAGACTATTACAGCCCATTTGATCATGCCTGGGTCACCTGCCTAACTCAAGAATCAGGTATTGTCACCCCACTGGAACGGCATCAACTGTACTAGGCAGGGATGATTCTTTCAGGGGCTGGGAAAGAGGAATGAATGCTGGTCAGGCAAAAGCAACAGAGGTACACTGCTCTCTGCTGTTAGCTTCCATTTTAGCCTTTATGTTCTTTCCTGCAGATGTAAATGTGGCCTTTCAACAGTCAGCACACAAGGTGTTACTGGATGATGACAACCTTCTTCCTCTGTTGCACTTGACAATTGAGTATCATGGAAAGGAGCACAAAGGTTTGCCTTTCTTTCCTGTCTCCCTGCTTCTCCTGGTTATCCTTTTTCCCTTTCTGCTTCTATCACCGTCCATGGGAACCATATAATTTTGAACTTTAGAAATCCAGTGCTATAATTTTGGGGGGGGGAGGGGAAGAGGGGTATGGGGACTTGAACTCAGGGTTTCATACCTGTGAGGCATACACTACCACTTGAGCCATACCTCCAGCCCACATTACTCTAATTTTATATGAGAGAAAAGAGAAGTCCAGAGAAGTTAAATGAGATGCACAGGCCAGGTCATGTTGGTTTTGTTTTTGTTTTGGGTTGGGTTTTTTGTTTGTTCTTCCCTTTTCATGCTGCTGGCATCATCTCTGCTTATTTAATTCTAGTCTCCAGATTTTAAGGCTGAAAAAAGAGTCACTGTGGGAATTTCTTACAAAAATGTCCTTGCTCTTTGCCTTTTGTATCCATCTTATGCTCTGCCATTTCCACCTCCCCTGTGCTCTCATTTCATGAGTGGTACTCACCTTGTTCACTCTCTGGTTCTAGTTAACCTTTTTTTTTTTTCATTTCTTTTCTTGGTTGTAGTAGATGCTACTCAGGCAAGAGAAGGACCTTCTCGGGAAACTTCCCCCCGGGAAGCCCCCGCATCTGGCTGGGCAGCTCTAGGTCTTTCCTACAAAGTACAGTGGCCACTACACATTCTCTTCACCCCAGCTGTCCTAGAAAAGTGAGTATTTCTAAGTTTCTGACAGGTAAATATCACCCACCCAACTAGTTTTTTGTTGTTGTTGTTTGAGACAGGGTCTTACTATGTAGTTCAGGCTGGCCTCAGACTTGCTATGTAGCCCAGGCTGGCCTTGAACTCAAGATCCTCCCGAGTGCTGGTATTACAGATGTGTACCACCACACCTGGGTAATTTTCAGTTAAACAGTTCTACATACCAGAGGTTGCAAAATCACATGCCTTCAAGGGGCTAGACGGGTCACATTTACTAATAAGTGAGACTGTAGGCATAAGCCAATAGGAAGTGCTGGGATGAATGGGAGGGTATACAGCCATTTAAAACAATCACAGTTTTTATTAATCTTCCAAATAATAAGCCATTTGTAGGGTGGCCTTTGGGGACAGAATCAGAATCACCATAACCCTTGGTTCATAACATACTATTGATCACTGCAGGACCCTCCTGCCTGCCTTCCTACATGCACATCGTAAAGCTGCTTCTAAGCACAAACACTGGAACACTAATGATAATGTCCCAGCCCTGCCTGCCCGCTTGTCTCTCTCAACTCAAGGTGACAAATACCATAAACCCAGTTTTTTTTCCCCCTGTGGTTTTATAGTATCTACATATATTCCTCAAAAGGTTTTTTGTTTTTTGTTTTTTCCTCAAGAACTATTAAAAAACCATGTGAGGGGGAAAAGAGCATGACGGGGAGTGAATTCGATAGAAGTATATTACATGTGTATGAAAATAGCAACATGAAGCCTACTAAAAGCTGTTAAAAAGAGGAAGGGGGGATTAAAAAAGAATAATATAGACAGGTTGAATTTGATCAAAGTACACTGTATGCATGAATATAAATATCACAATAAAACCTCTTTGTATAATTAATTTATGCTAATTTTTATTAAAGCTATTTAAAAGGATGTATGTGGGTTGGGGGCATGACCAAAGTGATACAGCACCTGCCCAGCAAGCATAAGGTGCTGATTTCAAATCCCAGTACTGGGGCCAAGAGTCATTTTGTTGTGTTGTACAGCTTAATTTCACTTTAGCTTCTATCTGATATTTTATTGTAAATGTAAGCTACACTGTATTTCTCCACATCTCTAACCACTCTTCTTTTCTGTATCCCATTTGTTGGGGGAGAGGTGGGTGACATAGAATTCTAGTGTCTGTCATGTGGACGGTATGAGGATAAAGTCTGTGTCTTCAGCAACCTGATATTCCCGTCCTAGGTACAATGTTGTTTTTAAGTACTTATTAAGTGTGCGTCGGGTCCAAGCTGAACTGCAGCACTGCTGGGCCCTCCAAATGCAGCGCAAGCATCTCAAGTCCAACCAGACGGACGCAGTCAAGTGGCGCCTAAGGAATCACATGGCGTTCTTGGTCGATAACCTTCAGTACTATCTCCAGGTGTGTTCTGAGGAATGAGTAGAAGGGCTTTGAAAAGAACTTTAGGTTGACAAGGATTATTGAAGAGGGTCTATAATTCAGAATTTGGTAAAATGCTAAGGTTTTGAGAATATTCAATGGATTTACCTCATTTCCTTTTTGCCTTTTTGCTGGTACTGGGGATTTATTTCATTTTTTTGTTTTGTTTTTGTTTAGTGGGACTGGAGTTTGAACTCAGGACATCGAGTTTGCAAACAAAGCAGGTGCTGTACCACTTAAGACACACTTTCAGTCAACTTTTCTCCAATTATTTTTGGAGATCAGGTCTTGCAAACTACTTTCCCAGGCTGGCCTCGAACTGCGATCCTCCCAATCTCAGATTCCCAAGTGGCTATAGGTATAGGGATGAGCCACAGGCACCTACCTGGTGGTACTGGAGTTTTGAACTCAGGGCTTAATGCTTGCTAGGTGGGGGCTCTACCACTTGAGCCGCACTTCCAGCCCAGCTAGGCATGTTTCTTGAGAGAATTTTAGGGGAAAGTGGGAATACATGGATAAATGGGAATTGGGATGTTTACAGCCAACGCATTATTTGTTGTTGATTTGCCCTTAGTGTTTGCTACAACTTCTGGAATCCTCTAGGACTAGGCCAAGTCAGTCAGTGGTGGGAATGTAGAATAAGTGGGTTAGGCTAGGACAGAGCAGATGGTCTGCCAAGACATGTGAGGCAGTAAAGAATTATGCAAATAGGCAAGGCACAGTAGCTTATACCTATAAACCCAGCTACTTAGGAGGCAGAGATCAGGAGGTTTGAGGTTTGAGGCTCCTGGGCAAATAAAAAAGTTAGCAAGATTCCCCCTCCCCTCCTCACCCTGTCTAAACCAATAAGCTGTGAGTGGTGACGTATGCCTGTCATCCCAGCTACAGAGAAGGCATACATGGGAGGATTGTGATCCAGGACAGCCTGGACAAAAATACGAGATCTGAGAACTAAACTGAAGCTAAAAGGACTGAGGAAGTGGCTCCAGAGGTAGAGTACTTGAGCACAAGGCCCCAAGTTCAAATGCAGGTACAGCAAAAAACAAAAAGAATTATACAAATAGGGGCTGAACAGTGGCTCACCTACTTGAGAAACAGGAGGATCACGTTTTGAGGCCCAGGCAAAAGTTAGCAAGACCCCTTCTCAAAATCAACCCGGGCATTGTGGTACACACTTTTAACCCCAGCTACTCAGGAGGTGGTGGTAGGTGGATCCTGGTCTGGGGCCAGCTGGGGCAAAGTCAGCAGGAAGCCCTATCTGAAAAACAAAACCACAAAAAGGATTGGATAGAGGCTCAAATGGCAGAGTTATGAAGGCCCTGAGTTCAGTCCCCAGTATCACACCCCTCTCCCCCCAAAAAGTACACAAATAACTTTCTACCAGGCCGGGCAATATAAGGTGTCTTTGGTCAGCCTGAAAGTGGCTTGGCTAAAAGGAAGATGAGAAGGGGCAAAAATTGCTATTTCATCCTGTCAAATATCTGACAAGATGAAAGAGTGCTCAGAGTAAGAACAGTGCAAAAAAAAATTCTTTGTGTAACTGTCTTATCAGGTAGATGTGCTAGAGTCTCAGTTCTCTCAGCTGCTTCATCAGATCAACTCTACCCGAGACTTTGAAAGCATCCGACTGGCTCATGACCACTTTCTGAGCAATTTGCTAGCTCAGTCCTTTATTTTGCTGAAACCTGTAAGTAGAGCTGGTTGGTTTCCTTTAGACTGTTCCTTTCTAGTACTGACTGTTCCCTTAGACAGTTCAGCATTTGTTAAAACTCCATTTTTAAATATTTTGACAACTTATTTATAAAGCAAAACAAAAAGGGAATGTTAAACGGGGGCTGTCTTTGAGTTTCTGAAATATATAGGGTGTGATGAACAGATAAAAGAATGGTGTATTTAACCCTCAGAAGGAAGGATTTAAAGACATTCAAAAGTAGTTCTGCCACTACAGAAAAAGCAATGAGAAGCCCAGAGTTTACTTGCATGAACATCTGTTGGGTCAGGATTGACTAGTCATTTGAAAGTTGTTTTCACAGACTATAGTGTCTGTAAGTACACTTATACATATACAGCTCCTTTGTGGCAGTTATTCTCAACTTTGGCTGTATACTGAATTCATCTGGGGCCTTTTAAAAACCTAAGACCCAGGGCTAGAGGTGTTGCTCAAGTGCTAGAGCACCTGCCTCACAAGCACAAAGTCCTGGATCCAAGCCCTGATACCTCCAGAAAAAAATCTAGGACCTAGAGAGCACCAGTATTTTCTAAAGTTCACAAACTGGTTCCTGTTCCAGGATTAAAAGCAGGAAGACTGATATGACCCCTTGTAGTTCCTAATGTAATGGTTACATGTCATCTCTGATGAGAACAAGTTTTACTGCTCAGTGTGCTATACCTCGTGCTAGGGCTTTTTGTTCTGGTATTTAGGACTGTGACTTTTGCTCTACCAAGGAAGAGTTATATTGATGCCATTCCAAAGGGTTCTGTGAATTGAAAACAACCAAACACCACTGATAGGTAAACACTGTCCTTGTATGGCATGGGTGCTTTCTTGGGGGAAAGCAGAATATCAGAGCAGGTCATCATAATTAAATCTTTATTGAGTGCTTACTGTACGCAAGGCACTGGGGATACAAAGAGGTATAAATCATGGCTCTGCCCTTAAGGAGCTCACAATCTAGTTGGAGGAACAAGACATAAATGCACACAAAGGTCAGTGACAACACAGGTGGCCTGAACAATTGCCAGTGAACAGTACAGATACTATCACAAAGAGGAGCGGCAGTTCACTAAAAGCTACAGTGGGGAAGGAGCACTTCACTGGGAATGGGGCTCAAACTGGTATAAAAGAGAAGAGTATCCTAACAACACTGAAGCTCAGAGGCAGACACACTCTGGGCAGGGAAGGGGGTTCTAAGAAATGATTACTAGTGGACTGTGACAAGAGTGAAGGTTTTGTGCACAGGGGACTAAGAAGAACACAGCTATGTCAGGAGGAGAGGTATGTTCTGCACATGTTGCATTAGAGAGCTAACCAGCCTTGCACATGAAAGTCAGACATGTCTATCCTGAGGTCAGAGATAGGAGCTCAGCTGTTAAGACTGTTTTCCCAAATCTTTCATTTCACAGACGTATCTTCTGTCTTTTCCTAATGCTAAATCTGTTTACTGGGTAGGTGTTTCACTGCCTGAATGAAATCCTAGATCTCTGTCACAGTTTTTGTTTGCTGGTCAGTCAGAATCTGGGCCCACTGGATGAACGTGGAGCGGCCCAGCTGAGCATTCTTGTAAAGGTGAGTCTGCCTGGCCATTGGAAATATGTTGCTCTGTCCAAAAAGATACGAGGCAGTTTTGTCCAAGGACAATTCATGATCTTTCCTCCTAATCAATAAAGCATTTTCCCAATACATACACACACACAAATAACAAGACACAAAGATTAAAACGTCATATCACTTGATTTTTAAGATGATTACGTCACCTCACAGTGTTAAAAAAATAGCTAAGTCTAAATAGTTCATTCAGCCCACCAAGTATGCATTGGTTTTGTGCTCACTTTCTCACATCCCAACTGACTTCCCTGAACTAGTCCCCTATCTTGAATAATAATTACCTTCCTGAAACAAAAGTAAGACCTCCCCAACCCTAGAACATGACAGATATATTAATTTGAAGCCAGATGCTAAATTACTATGAATGAGAAAGTACTTTCACAGGAAGTCGTAATGTTGTGGACTTGGTACTGAGAATCATTTTAGGAACTAACAGAGATGAGAATGTGGGAAGGCTTTTCCAAGGAACTCCAGCACTGGCATAGAGAGCTGGTAAGTTTATGGGATGGTAACTGAGTCCTTCTCTCTGCAGGGCTTTAGCCGCCAGTCTTCACTCCTGTTCAAGATTCTCTCCAGTGTTCGGAATCATCAGATCAACTCAGATTTGGCTCAACTACTGTTACGACTAGATTATAACAAATACTATACCCAGGCTGGTGGAACTCTGGGCAGGTAGGAGCAACACTTGAGAAACTTAGTAGACTTACTGGGGGAAGGAGGCTTTTTAATGAGTTTTAGAATTAGCCATCTGTTCAAAATGATCTCATTTTATAAACAACATTCAGAGATAGAGGGGTGTATCGAAACATGTTCATTTTAGTGATTATTTTCCAGTAAAAAATCATTATCCCAGTAAAATAATCTACAACCTGACAGTGAGAGGGGTTTTAAGTCCTTTCGTAGGTTATGTATTGCTGTGCTGGGAAGTGGCTGGCTTCCGCTTCCAGTCTGATATGAACTTGCTGTGCAGCCAGAGGCTCTATGCTTTGCTGGCCCCCAGTTTCTGTTCCTTCTAACTCTGAACTGTTTTTAATCTAATAGATTTCAATGGTAATTGGCTTCTCCAAGGTCTTTGACATTCCCATTTAGAAAAGCACTGAATTGCCCTCCTTTCTCTAAGATGTCCTCAAACAGATTTTTTTCTAAGTGATTTTAGGAAGAGTATTAATATTGCATTATCCAGATCACAGGGTGCCTTACTTCATGTTTCTTTGAAGACAATCTTGGGAAAGCATGGTATTTAACGAGGCTCTTTTTTTCTTTTGTAGTTTCGGGATGTGAAAATTTCATAAACTGAAATATGTCAATCCCACCATGTTCCCAAGTCTGTAACAGAAGATTCAAAAGACACATCCCATTCTCTAGTCACTCACCAAATGTCTGCAGCCTGGTGAGGGGGGTTCTACCTTTTCTCCTAGAAGCAATCCAGAGGTATAAATCTTTCTCATCATTCCCCTGAGGAAGGTCACTGCCCACCTTAGGGGAAGTCTTAATTTGTTCACCAAGAGAATCTGTAGGGTCAACTGTTCCTTTGCTGACCATGCAAGGGCTCTGAGCCTTTACACTGAGAATATCTGTTGGTTATGTTCATTTATTCAACTGATTTATTGAGCATTTACTATGTACCTAGGTACTGCTCAAGGTGTGGGAGATATAGCAGTAAATGAAGATCAAAAAGTTAACTATCTTTTGGTTCAATTCACATGTAAAAAAAGAATTATGTTTACAAATAAGTTAGCTGTTAGATATTACCACCAAGTAAGAAAGACACAGGTGAGATAGGCCAGAATCTTTCCTATTCCTGTACCAAGTAATTTTTACCTATGCAGATTATCTTTCCTCCTTCAGAAAGTTATGATTGAGAGCCTCCTACCCTTAAGGATCTTCAAAATTGTGAATCTGAAGAATTTTGCCAGTAAGTTCCAATTCTTTCAGACTGGTAAAAGGACAATTCTAGCTAATGACAATACAAAGTATTTTCCCCAAAGAGGTGTTTAATATTGAAAATTATAGTCCCAATTATCCCAGCTTAAATCATAGGAACTGAGATTCTCCTCATATGGTCTAACCATCACTGACAATCATCAATGTTCACATCAATGTGAACAAAATATTCATTGAAGTCTTTCCTCCACATTGGAAAAGCATACAGTCTTCTGGCCATAGATTGTGGTCACTGAATCTGACCATCTCCACATTTTCTACCACACACTATGACATCCTTAGTCCCTCCAATTGTCAGCTAAAGATGACCCTTTGCTGCCTCTAGAGCAGGGGTTGGGAAATTATAGCCTGGCTGCATGATTTTGCAAATACAGACTTACTGAAAGGCAGCCACAATCACTCATTACCTATTTGCCCATGGTTGCTTTTAGCCACAAAGCCTGAAATATTTAGTGTTTGGCTCTTTATAGGGAGTGAGTGGATGTTTATTAACAGGGATGATGTCGGGAGGAAGGAACAGCTTCCAGCAATTGTGACAGCAATACAATAATAATATTGGACTTCTGACTTGGACTATCAGTATCATCTTATAGAAAGTAAGCCTATCAAGCTATGGTCACTGTCTATTCATAGCAACTGGTTCCCTTTCAGCTCTGAAAGTGGGGGAGTACCCACAGGTCAACTGTTAGTAAGTTCAGCTCTAAAGACCCTCCCCACTTTTTTTATTAATTATTATTATTTAATGGTCCAAAAAACTTAGAGCTGTTCCTGAGTTTTTGGAAGTATATCACTTTTAGACAGCCTGAGCTAGACTTCTGACAATGATGCCACAGATAAAGTTCACTCCTAAATTTTTATTTTTGTTGGCTAACTCCTAAAATGAACAAGCTGGTTCAAGCCTCAGAGATGGTATCATGTTTGTTACTTGTTTTGAGATTAAGCTCAAAGAAATGGATGAAGAAATCCCAGTTACTACAACCAAAGAGATTCAATGTTTATTTTATCATAAAAGTCCAGCAAATAAAACTATGTACAAGATCCATGCAATTACACACAAGACACATTTAAAACCTGGTTAAAACACAGTCTCACAATAGCAGGGAATAAAACCAGTATGATCAAGTATCTTTAGTGAGAAACATAATCGTGTTTATATTTTGGATGCTGCTTGAATCCAATTCGCTCCCCAACAATGAGGCACTGGATCACCCACTCTTGTGACACGACAGGCAGCTGCAATGCTTCAGCACACTTCAGCACCGAGGCTGGGCAGGAGGGGTCCGTCACCACCACATCAAATACCCCTAAAGCAATGTCTGCAAGGAGTAGGGGAAAGTGAACGAGGAAAGGACACTCAGTTTAGCCCTCCATTAAAAAGACAAATGTGCCTTCTAACCAACCCCTCTGCCCAAACCAGTCTGTTATGAAAAACACACTGCTACTAATCACAACCAAAAGGGAGTTATAATCACCATATGCTGACCTTACAGAAATGCAGCCCAGTGATTCACTTAAGCTGACTGTATTCCTATTTAGACTGGACCATATGGCCTAACAGCTGTGGATCTCAGGACATCCCTGGAAGAATAACAAAAGTAAATACACTTTCCGGTACCTTTGTTGTGGGCACTTGAATGGTGCTGCTTCACAGAGGCTGCCCCCCCAGTCATGAGGATCTCAGACCAGAGCTCCAGGAAGTTCTGTTGTTGATCTGACACCAACAGTACCTTCAGATTCTGGAAAGGGTTTTCACGGGGTTGCCTATGAAGAAGTCAGACACAACCTTTTAGAAATGGCAAGGACCTTAGCATGAAGGATCCAACAGCCCTTCTTACCTCCTGTGCGTGTATCTGAATGCCCTGTTAGGAAAACCCCCTCTCCCTCTTGTGAATGATGTACATTCTCTGAGATCCTGGTCTCTGGATCCCGTATTTGTCCAGGGGCTACAAATAAGCCAAATTATGACCGTGAGTTTTGGGTTTTTTGGCAGTACTGTGGTTTGAACTCAGGGCAGGGCATCACACTTGTTAGGAAGGTGCTCTACCAGCTCTTGAGCCACTCTGCCAACCCTGTTTTGGGTATTTTTGAGTAGGGTCTTGCAGACTATTAGCCCTGGCTGGCTTCAAACTGTGATCCTCCTGATCTCTGCTTCCTGAGTGGCTAGGATTACAGGTGTGAGCCACCAGTGACCAACTTTTTAAAAAAAAAATTTGTTTCCTGACTTTACAGGCAGGGAACCTACAGAAAAATCCTCCCATTTTCAAAAGGTTCCCAGCCAACTGAACTGCTGAAATCATTTTTAACCACTCAAATTCTATGATTTATGCTGCAACAGTCTGATTTCTAGAAACATTTATTCTATCAGCTAGATTCTCCTTCTAAAATCTTGCTGTCTTCTATCTATGTAGCTCTACATGGGCTCTCAAATACGCACCAATCCAGAATCCTTTGCTCCTCAAGGCTGTATCCAGCTGGCAACAGATAATTACGGTAGTTCTGGAGCTGGTTGGCATGGCAACTGTCATGGACCCAGACATGAGACACACAAGGAATCCCACTGGCAAGGCACAAGAAGTACTTCCGGGTTCGACAATGCTGATCCGCAATTAGAAGACACTGGTAGGCAGTGTTACACTGGAAGAAAAGTGACAGCCAACAGGTCTAGTGACACCTATGGAAAGCTCCTAAACAGCAGCCCCAATGAGCACTGGAGAGCAGATCTGATGCTTCCAAATACTCTCCAAAATAGGATTTTGTCTTTGCACCTAAAAGCTGCTTTTCTCACTGAAAGTCCAAACTGCTTCCCAAGATGTTCTCTGGGCCTAACCTGCAACTTTTTGAGGGTCCAAATGCTCAAGGGACATCCAGACCCATGTACTTCAGCCTTTTAGGTCAAGAATCAGCAACACTAATGGATTTCAACTAAATGTAAATTTCAAGCAACTACAGCCTACATTCTAACTTTTCTTTCTTGTATATAATTTTTTTGGGGGGTGGACTGGGGTTTGAATTCAGGGATTCACACAGATGTTCAACCACTTACTTATGCCATGCCTCCAGTCCATTTTGCGCTGATTATTTTGGAGATGGGATATCACAAGCTGTTTCCTGAGCTGGCCTTGAACTACTATCCTCCATTGCTAGGAATATAGGTGTGAGCCACTGGCACCCAGCAGGTAACTCTTGTTTTACACAGCATTTTGACAGTGTCCCAGTTTCTGAAGCCTCTGGCTACTCTGTCTAACCTCCCAGAACCCTCTCAGGCCTCTTCTCAGTACAGAAAAGGGGCTGTTACCTCTCTATGTGGCTACACAAAGAAAATCCTCACCTGGGCTTCATTGAAGTCTTCAAGGATATACCCAGCTCCTGCTCGAAGCTGGGATTCTGTGTACTGCTTGTTGAAAGGAGGAATTTCTAAAAATTCTATATAAAAAACAAGATAGCCAAGATAATTACTGAGCTGGTTGAGTTCCTATTTGCTACCTTATGCCTCCTTACTGCCACCTTTTCCCCAGCTATCTCCATGGCATTGAGTTCCCAAAGACACAGGGGCTTCCCCATGGGTCTCAAAGATCTGACTTTCGGCCTAGAAAATAATGCCAAAAGAAGGGGGACAAGAGCCAGGTGTGGTAGTTCATACTTGTAGTCCCAGCTACTCTGGATGCTGAGGCAGGAGGATCACTTGAACTCATAAGTTTGAGACTAGCCTGGGCAACATAGCAAGACCCAAGTTTAAAGAAAAAAAAAAAAAAAAGGGCATGAAGAACGGGGAAGATGAGGAATGGAGGTCCTAGACCAAGTTTTCTGCACTAAGACTGACTTAAGGGACTACTCACAGGAATAGACAACCTTTTCCCAGTAACATATTCCAATTTGAATAACCCTTATCAGGAAATTATCCTTATTTCTACCCTACATATTTCCTGCTGCAAACTAAACCCACTTCCTCTAGGTCTGGCTTCTGTGGAGATGAATAGCTGGTGATCACTTTTTTATAATAAAGCCTTCAAATTCCCCTTGACCAGCATTTTTTTTTACCCCTTATAATTAAAACTTTGATAAATCAGAATGTGCAAAATATGGTTTTAAATTTTTAACTGGTAAGTGAAGATTAATCAGAAAATCCTGTTTCAACCTTTTCATGGAAAACTATCTACCTTTGATGATCTTGAAGTACCTCAGGACACTGAACATCAATGACTGCTCTACAGTCTTGAGGGTGAAGTAGAAGATATGAGAGATGAGGCTGAAGCTGTAATGACCCTAGGCAATTAGAAATTGCTTCTTTTGACCAAATAGCTAATTTGAGCTTGTTTTCTTGTCATCTGCTTCTCTCATATATAAATAACACATTTAAAAAAAAAAAAGAAAGAAAAGCAAGACATTAGAGATTAATTACCAGTTCTGAGAAATTAAATTCTAATTGAAATTTTATCACAAATTAAAAAACCCAACCCAGTGCATAAAGTTCAATGTCATGACCACTCCCCTGTCCCCTTATCCCTGGTGGTAAAACCTGAAAGAACCAACCCCTTGCAGAGCTGCCCTCTGGTGGCCACTCTGCTGGCTACAACTGTTCAGGTGGTGTTCCTACCTGGGTCTCTGAATCTCTGCTTAGGTGTGACTGGACACACGGGTCACTTTATTATTTTCTTGATTCAACATTCTCTACATTCTTCCCAAAAAGAAAACCCAATCTAAAAACTAAATGGTTAAGAAATCTGAAATACAGCTTTGTCACAGCATTCAATGTATCCTGGAACAATCTTCAGCACCAAAGACTCTGGAGTCAGTGCTGACCCCTGATGGTCCTTTACTCTTCAAGACTTGTAGTTTATTATGTAATCCAGGACCATATCCAGTTCTAACCTACTTAACAATCCCTTACATTGGCTTAATCAAATATTACCCTGTTTATTAGGCAGGCGATTTCTCTAATCATTCTCAATTTAGTTTGGATTCAGTTTTGTTTGTATTTGAGGTATGAGTGCCCTACCTAACGAGTAGGCAAAGTGAACATCAAGTACCATGAAGGTACTAAAATAAACCCGCTCCAGTCAATCTCTATGTCTGATGAGTCCCTGACAGTGTTTTACCTAGGTGCCATATTCCTAACTCAATAGTGTCTCCTAAGATGGGCTTAGATATTTTCCTATCTAAATATCTATTTAGATAATAGGCAATATATTGCCTATTATAAAGTGGCATCTGCACAGTCCCATTTACCTGTACACTTGTCATAGTTTCTTACAACTGCAGGATTGCAGGGATTTGTTTTGTTTTTGGCATAGTGTGGGGTTTTGAACTCAGGGCCTTGCATTTGCCAGGCAGGTATTCAGCCACATCCCCTTTTTGCTTTTGTTATTCTTTTGAACAGACTCTTGTTTTTATGCGTGGGCCAGTCTGGATCACAATCTTTCAATTTACATTTCTGGCATGATAGGCACATACCACTGCACTAGCTTTTTATTGGGGTAACTACTTTTTGTCCAGGTTGGCTTTGAACCACAATCTTCCCAATATCCACCTTCTGAAGAATGATCTGGACTATTTTATTATAGATATCTTTCATGTTTCTTGCAACTGAGAAATCCTTTAGATTTATTGTAGACCAAAAATATCAAGGATTCTGGTGTTGGGGAAGCAGTGTCCAAGAATGAATAGTCAAAATAACCACGTTTTTAATCAGAAACCTAAAACTCTGTTTTTAAACTGTCCACTGTAATCCCAGCTACAAGGGAGGAGGAGACGGAAAGCACAGTTTGACACTAGCCTGGGCAAAAAAGTTAGTGTGACCCATCTCAAAAAACAAGCTGGGCACAATTGTGCATACCTGCTGTAATCCCAGCTATGTGGGAGGCAGTCATAGTCCAAGGCTGGCCCTGGGCAAAAGCAAGAGACCCTATGGGAAAAATAAGCTAAAACAAAAATGGCTGGAGTATGTCTCAAGTGGTTAACGTTCAAACTCCAATGTCACCTCTGCCCCAAACTGAGTGTATTAGGTCCCACATTGGCGCACAGATATTTAAGGAACTGAAAGCTGCATCATATAAAGGCACCTTTCTTGACTAGGTTGTACCAAGCAACAAATAAAACACCTGCAGAGTCCTGGCTTAGGGAGGGCTACAAGTTTGTCAGCAATGTCACTTCAATGCCACTACATGGAATCCTCAAGGAACTCCCTAAAGATTTACAATAAAAGAAAAATTTTCGACCAGGAACTTCTCACGTACCTTATTTATCTCCCACTGTATATGTCAATTCTGTTTAATAACCTAGGCTTTGCATATGCTTAACATTTAGAAATTCCACACATAAAACACCTGGCTCCCGTAGCCCAACTGCCCTAAACCTAAGCAGTTCTACTCACAGCCTCTCTTTATGCGCCTTCCAAACAGCAATGCCCTGATCACTCTTCTCGTGTACTTGTACATATATCCATGTGGCTACAATTAGTGAGTAGTTCGGGCTAATTAGGAAAGAGTCACCCACATACCTGAAATGCTAACCATCAGAGATCTACAATGGTACTACTTTATGATATCACGTTCCCTAATATTGATCCCCTCTTGCAAGACTCAATATTAGTAGGCCTCTTAACAGAAAACATCATTCCATCTAGTCCTTTAGCCTTGTCAGACACTTTTGGATACTACTGTCATTCATTTATAGTAGTACATGTACTTGTATCTGTTCGTTCTTATGTCACATACTTTTCAGACCACTGAAATAAATTTTTCCTCTCCTAACCAGCCTTTACTCAACACAAAATAACAAACAATACAGAAATGTAACACACAGACTTATTATACGGTTAATGAGAGAGGGACTAGGGCTCTGAGCACCCCACATCCCAGTCTTACATTCAGATCTCAAGAAAATGAAACTCACGCTTCATGTGGGTTTCTTCTAGCAGTTGCCCTAAAACCACTAATCAGAAGCCTATCTGACTTGGATGGTTGCACAAAAGTAAAAGGGCCCATTGGGTTCTTCACATGGAAAAATCTATCTCCTATCTGCCTACCTACATTGTTTAGAGGAACTACTCACTGAGAGGAACTTTGTGAAAACAATCTCTACACCAAGAAGAAAGGAACAAATTAATTTTCACTTCTTTGACCAAGATTCCAGTTGCCAATTGCCTGGCCCTCTGCCCTTCCTCAGCAAAGGAATCACCAGCTCATAAAATTAGTGGAAGACAGTGTACATGTCAGAGCCCCTAGGGCCTTACCCTCCTCTTCCTCACTGCTTCCTGTAGGACCATCTTGTAGTTTGGAGCGGCTGGCCAACTTGTCACTGGTTGTGGCCATGGTGAGGAGAAAAGCATAGCCCAGAAACAAGGTCTTGTTGAGGGGCAAAGGCCCTCTCTGCTCTTCCAGGGCAGAAGGTTCTCCTGTGTTGTCTCCACTCTCACAGGGGCTCACGAACTCCCCTGCCCCCACTGCACCTGGGAAGGGTAGGGCATAGTTACTAGAACAATACAGACCATTACCTGAGCAAAGGCCCCAACAAGAAGCATAATCTAATGAGTAGGCTGATTCTCATAGAAAAATGAACTTTTCTATGACCCAAAGACCATTACTATGGCAAACCAATCTACCACTTGAGCCATTCTGCCACCTGGCCAACCATTCTAAATGGCCAACAACCTAGGACCAAGTTTATAATGAAGGTAAATTTGCAAATTTTAATTTGAATCATTATAGTGTATATTACATTATTAAAAAATCAATTACCATTGTATTTATATAGCCAGACCAAATACATCTCAGGTCATATGAAGTTAAGAGGTGGTTCTAATACAAACAAAAGAGCTGGTAAGAGTGAAAGTTTTAGAAGTCTTTTACTTTCACTGCCCCATGCTGATTTCCCCAAGATACATGATATATTTTGAAGCAGCTTTTAAAATGAAAACACACACTTTTTTTGTTACCAAGAACTGTGCCTAGAAAATTCTCCCACTTCATTTCTGACCCTCACTAGAATAGTGAAGAGAATGCATGGTAAGAAACCGTTTTTACAAGTAGTTGAAGCAACATCAAAACACCCTGTCCCAGTGTCCAACACCTAATAGGTAAGGGAACCAGCCAATCCAGGATGCCCAGAACACCCATGCTAGAAGTGCCCCAATAAGTCCTCAAAAAAGAAAACAAATACCTGACATGAAGAAGCTGAATAGGTTCTTAGGAGGCTAAGATGACAGACAGGTCATGCATGCCTCCCTAAAATAAAATAAGCAGCAAGAGAAGCGTCTCAGAGGTAATATGACATGTGTACAATGCTGGATCACAAGACTGCCTGAGTTTGAATCCTGGCTCACTTTGTCACTTTGGCAAAGTTTGCCAACTTTTCTGCTTTCTGGGCCTTTGATTCTTCAAACATCTATAAAATGAATTCTAGCACCTGTACTTCAAGGTGCTTTGAGGTATATATGAGTTAATATGCCTCACACAGTAAATATTCAATAAAGGTTAACTATTACTATTATTGTTTTTAAATACCCTGAAACACAGCAGCAGTGTTTGCTGGATAAGCAGATGACAACTCAAACACACAGGAAACAAAAGGAGTTCTGGTGAAAGGACTATAGCAACTAATGGAATTTCTTCAGTGTGCTACCCTGAGTCCTACTGGGGCAGAGACTGAGGACTTTGCCTCTATCTCCAGAACCCACAGCAGCTAGAGTTGGTCATGGTAGAGACTCCATGACAAACAGATGAATTAAACTCTCTCAACACTGAATATAACTGAGTGGAAAGAGGGTGGGAAGAGGAGGGACAAAGAAGTGGAAAAGCAGGCTGAAGAACAACCTCAGAGAAAGTTTGAGAGAGTTTTCAGGAGGCAGACGGTCACGCAGGCAAAGGAAGAGATCTAGGACAAATTTCATCTATCTTGATTCTGCTTAAACTTCCATTCTTCTCCTTTCCCTCCTAAAACCCATATAGGACTCAATGAATGTTTGAGATCAAGTCTGGGCCTCCTATCTACCCCACTAGACTCTGCTGAAAAGATAAGGGGACAGGGGAAACAGTAACCTATTTCTGAGTACCACATGGGACCCCAACTGCATAGCCAGGACAGTGGGGCCACTGCCACATATTAGGCTCCATATTCCCAGCAGCTGACCTTGCACTCTGCCATGGTCTGAGAGCCCAAGGCAAAAGGAAGCACTCACCAGGCTTCACGATGGCAGACTTGCGGCCTCGCTTGGCAGGGGACCGTTCCTCTTCAGAAGTGAGAAGTTTTCTTTTGCCTGAGGGAACTCCCACAGAGGCACGAGGACTTTCTGTAATCTTGCGGGTAGGGGTTGTACTACTGCTGCTGCTGGAGGCAGTGGGAGTGGCTGGGGAGCTGATGTTACTGCGTCGTTTCCGCTTACCCTCCACCAAATTGTCTGTATAGAACGAGTCAAAGGTTAGTCAAATCCCCATTGTCTGAGGGCCTGAACTCCAAAAGGCTGGGCAGAAGTGATTTAGGTACCATAGGGCCTTTTCCCACTTCCCACAAGTACAGGAAGCCTCTGATTAAGGCCATATTTTCTGCCCCAGTCACTGACATGACTGGGATGTATTGGGTCTCCTATAGAACTGGGGAGGCCAGAAAAACCCTAAGGATACACTATTTGGTACTGAGAAGGAAATAGGACAGTAGCTCTAGAAAATGACAACTCATCACCATCTGATAAATCACATGCAGAAATAACGAGTTAGGGAAACATTACTGATTGCTCTAGGGGCCCAGGGCCAGTTGTTTGGGAAGCAAAGATCTTACCTAAACTAATATCTGCTGCCTTTGTGAGGGGCGTAACTGCCTCATATGGACCAAGTCCATATTGCTCTCTCAGTCTGTTTCCTTGCTCCAAGGACAAAATGACAGCCATTCGCTTGTACCACTTCCTTTGGCCTTCTTTTTCAATGCTGTAGTACAGCTCCCCAGACTCCTTCCTATGTCCTTTCACCACTCCTGGGGAATGAAAACATGGAAGACATACTTGTTGCAGGCTCCTCATTACCCTCTTGAAAGGATTCTACAAAGCAGGCTTGAGGCAGGGAATGCAGACTCAACAATGGGTTGACTAAATTAGAATTTAAGAGAAGCTTGTCAATCTCAAATGGGCAGTACCACTTAGGATATATGTAGCCACTGCTCTAGGATTAGGACAAGGAACATTTCTTGACAGAAAGTAGCCGTTAGTTATAAAAATCTTCCAATGCCAGCCTTATGGATTGTTCACTAACAAATGGTTCCCTTGAAGGGAAATGACATGTGGTTCCTTAACAATCCTACAATAACTTACTAAACCTTTCAACTGTGGTTTCTTTGGAGGCTGAATGATAAGTCTTAAGTTATAGGTGAAAAATATCATTCTAAGAGAGCATATGTATGTTTGTCTGTTGTAATCAAAATTAGACTAGAAATATAAAACAAAGAAAAGAAACCCTGCTGCTTCTGCCTAATCTTCTCTCCCTATTACCTGCTTTACTGCTTTTGCCATTAAGCACCTGACCCAGAACTGAAGATAAGGCCTTCAGAGTAACACAACATAGGACATAAAAGAAAATTGGAGTAGAATTCAGGAGACCTGAGCCTAGGCCTAGTTTTGCTGTGTGATCCTGGGCATTACCCATTTCCAATCCTGTGAAAGAAGACACTCCTTCCTCTCTTCAACCAACAAACAATTTATAGCGTACACACACCACATATATGACATCACTACTGATATCTTGTCATTCCTATAATTAGAAAGGTCCGTTTTATTCCCTCCCATTATACTGTTTGAATGAAGGATAAAGAAATCTAGGTACCCCACCACAGAAAAGAACGGAGGAGAATGTAGGCCTTGGTTCTCTATCCATGCCACAGAATCACTCTCTTCACTTTTCTTACTCATCTCCTAGCTTAAATCTTATCACCAAACTAAATCACAAAGACCACCTCAAATGAACGAACACGGACAAAACCAAAAATACACTTAACAGTAATGAAGAGCTGCCAGAACTAGAAGCAGCCTATTGTTGATAATAGTAGACAGCCTCAATAAATGGAACACAGAATTCCCACCCCATGGATGCCATGATTTACTCTGGATATCAAACTATCTTTGTTTTAAAAGAGCCAAATATGGGCCTCCAAGAGTGGCTTTCCACTTGAAAGAAAAACTGATGCATTTAACATACACAAACTATGAGTCACAGGTTATAAACAGACCTCAATCCATGTACTGCTCCTAACTGATGCCACACTTGGCCAATGGTATTACCAGAAATAGAAAGTGAAGTGGCCCACTTAATACTGAAATATAGGGGCAAACAGCAACTACTCAGGGAATCACAAATACAAAAGCACCTGGAAGACTACAACAGACAGGCATGTTTGTTCATTATATATTATATAGCAACCATGTTCAACAAAATCTCCAGAAAGGAAGTTTTTACATGATGAAGTCAACACAAATAGGTATCATCTATTAAGTTCACAGAAAGGAACAATATAGTCAAAGAATGAAACAGAAAAAAACATTTTTTGGCAGTATTAGAGTTTGAACTCACTTATTCCCAGCACTTTCTGCTTTGGTTATTTTTCAGATAGGATCTTGTACTTTTGTTCAGGGCCATCCTTGAACCATGATCCTCCTACATCTACCTCCCAAAAAAAGCTGGGATTACTGCACCCTGCCTAAAAGGAATCATTCTTTAAAGCAAAAAGTAGTAGTGTGCAGGCATGCAAACACAGCAATAAAAATTTCTTCCTAAGCTAAGCTGTCTCAATGTATCTGCCACACTCACCTGCTGAGTTCCTATCAAAGCAGGAAGTAAGTTTAAAAGTCAGTGGTGAAAGAGCAAAGAATATGAAAAGGGAAAAACACTAATGTTGAAAGTGGAGAAATCTGGCAAATACCACCTTAACCAGTGATAAAGACTACCATCACCAGTGATGTCATGTGGATGTCACATACCTCCCTCAGTCCCATATGATATACTAGGAAGAGTACTTCACCTCAGTGGCATTCTCTGAAAAAACCCACAACTCCAGTCTAATGAGAAACATTAGACAAACCCAAATTGAGAAATATTCTATAAAATACCTGACCAGTATTCCTCAAAACTGTCAAGGTCATGAAAAACAAAAGACAGAAACTGCCACAAACCAGAGGAGACCAAAGGAAACATGATGACTAAATGTAATGTGGTATCCTTGATTGGATCCTGGAACAGAAAAAGGACATTATAGAAAGACTGGTAAAGTAAAAAAATTAAATTGAATTGAGTTAACAGTAAGGAACTAAGATTGGTTTCTTAGTTCTGAGAAAAAGGCATCATGCCAATTAAAGATACTAATGATAGGTGAGGAATACACGGGAACTCTGTGCTAGCAGCATTCTGTACTTTCAAATTTTTTGTAAACCTGAATTTATTCCAAAATAAATTTATTCAAAAATACAAAAGCAACAAATAAAAAAGCCAATGGAAGAGTAACCAGTGTTAGAGGAATGGGATCTCTGAGTTGAGAGATCCAGGGAAGCAAAAAGGCTTGAGGGGAATGTGAGTGTCAATGGCCCCAGGGCACAGTAAACCTCTCCTGGTTTCTGCTTCTTTTATTACCTGCACTGAAATACTCATCTTCCGAGAGGGCTGTCACTTCAGTATCCAGTGGGATGGGGTCACACAAGAGAATGTCTTTGCCCAACACATCACACTCGTACCCATCATCAAACAGCAATTTATACTTCCCAGCTCCAACATCTCGTGTGATTTTCCCAGAGTAAAAGTAGCCATTGGATGACCACTTGGCCACAACACGGAGCCCTACAAAGCTGTTCCCTGGAGAAGAGGCATCTAAGCCATCTGAAGAGGCAGCAGCAGCCTGAAAAGGAATCTCTGGAGAGTCGCTACGCCGCAAAGCACTGGCACCCATGTCTGTGCGTCTAGTGGAGTCTGGCAAGCGGGGCACAATTCGGGTGAAGGATTTATCATCGGGCGACATGCTGGGTGAAATGTCCTCTATGCCCAACGGGCCAGACACAACTGTTTCTCTAAAGAAAGATAAAAAGTAGAAGGCAGTAAGAATTAAGAAGAGTACATTACCAATTTCCGCACTTCTTTGTCCATGGGTCTCTTCAACCCCCTCTTTATTAACCCCATCACAAGTATGAGCTTCGTTTCTCACTGGCCTTACTCTGATTCCTTCCTGCACCCAGTCAACGCAGACCCCTCTTCTCCCTCCTGATACCTCACACACTCTCCATTCTCCTCCATTCTCTCTTCTCCCCTTATTTTCTGAACAAGTCATAGACTATGTGTCTCTCACAATAGCCAGGTACCTGGTTCCAGTGGTCCGAGAAGGTGGGCGGCCCCTTCGCCCACGCCCACGAGGCGTGACTGGAGTCTTCCCTCCCTGTCTGATGCCAAGGCCTCCATCACCATCCTCCTCACACACTGGTGCCCCTGTCTGACTGACCCCTTTTCTAGGACTAGAGAATGAAGATAGGTTAGTCTGGTAACAGCTTCTGATGGCTCCTTCTTTCAGGGTTGCCCCACAGACCCCCACAACATGCCAAGCCACATGTGCTAGGCCTCCAGGGCAGCATGAAGTTGGTTCACACATCCACCTCCAAATTCTCAGCCAGGGAACAAAGGGTTATGGAGTAACAAGTAAAGGACATCTTCCTGTATGAAAGTCTGTTCCCTCATGACACGGCTTCCTACTGTTGCCCTTAAAAATAGCACACCCATTTCTGCTCTGCCTTCTCCTCTGCTTCAGGCTCTGGATACCTGCAGAGAATAATGATAAACTAGGAGACACGTCAACTTGGGGACACTGCCCCAAATTCCCAGTACTTCCAACCAAAATATGTATGGGCTGCAGAACATAGGGGGTGTGGGAGCATATGCTCAACAATCCCAAAGTCCCCATTTTCCTACTTTTTTTAGGGGGCTTCTTTGCCAACAAAGCCTATCTCCTACAGGGCTCCTCCCACATTAGCCTCAAATAGGAGGAACAAATGGGGAGGAAGGAGAGTTCATTTATCTTAGATCAAGGGTGGGGAATTTCCAATTACTCCCCTTGTCTTGGGATATTAAACTGTCAGCAACCCTTCCCCTGCTGTGGCTCTGTCTCTGGAGCCCCTGTCTGCACCTCAGTTTTCCTGGGCCTCCTCGGGAGCTGGGCAAGGCAAAATCTGCGGGTTCTGTCCCGCTGGTTTTCCCCTTGAGTGGTCCGGCTCCTCTCCCTGAGCTGCCACTGCTGTGCATGGCCGAAAGGCTTGTCCCGCTTGACGTGCGATGTAAGCTAGACGCCTTAGAGGAGAAAGAGCTGATATCCCCCAGGTCACCTGAGGAACCCCCAGTCTGTGAAGGGGAAACTTCAGTTTCACACTCCTGACATTCCACAATTGGCTCTTCAGTCTCCTGCAGGGAAGAAATGAATTCAGAAGCAAAAAGAAGCCACAATAACATAAAGCTAATATGATAGTTGGAAAATCCTTGATAAAGCAAAAAAAATTCAATTCAGAAATAATGGAAATGTTCTGAGCAGTGGTTATATAAAATTGTCAAAGTCATTTAACTGAACAGTTAAGTGCTATTCATCCTACTGGGAATATATGCCATTAAAAATAAGACAAGAGAATTAAATTATTTTTACTTTTTACTTCTTGTGTGTATGTAGGGAATTTCTAGGGAAATATGGACTTTATGGAATAAATTTTAAGAACTAAAACATTTTATTTTAAATTTAAAAAGATGGGATTAAGAAGAAAAAAACCTCTATTCTGAATTAAACTGAATTACCTTTTTATTGGACAAATTCATAACCTTTCGCTACCAACTAGGATTCTAATCCAGAATACAAAGGTAATTTCCCTGTCTGAGCAAAGACAGGTTGGAGGAGAAAATGAGTGGCTAGGAGCATCTCTAGGCACTTTGTTAACAGCAGGCAGCACTATACCTCTTTTGTTTTTTTGGTGGTACTGGGATTTGAACTAAAGGCTTCGTGCTTTCTAGCCAGGTGCGCTACCATTTGACCTACTCTGCCAGCTCATCATTACATGTTTTTAATACTAGTTGTTTTATATTAGCTTTCAGTAAGTGATAAAGGAAGTAGAAAATTATAGAAATAGGCAAAAATAAAGTAAAAATATTACTGTTTAGAAAAATTAAGACCATGAAGGTTATAATCAAAGAATATGAGCTTTCAGTAGATGTGGACCACAAAAATGTCAAACTGGTTACATCTCACAGGCTCACTGACGGATCAGTAGTGGCTGCCTGGAGTTCAGTTTTAAGAAGGCTCTGAGATTAAACCCCAGGCTTACTAGGGAAAGTTCTAGCACCAACCAGCAATGTCCTTCCTCTATAGGCACAAGATAAGATAAATTATAGCATGCACGCAACACTTCTATATTCCTACTCTAGAATGTTGTGCTCATAGTCAGGGAGGATTTGGAGAAAGAAAAGACAGACTCTTCCTCAATGAGCTTACAATCTCTCCAGCAAGACGGTGTGCAATGCGTACACATTTAGACAACACTGTAAGAGGACTAAATGATTATTTATTTCACCCTTCTTCAAAATTTCTCCTTTAAAATCCATAGAATCACATTCTCTTCCTTTCATCCTACCTCTTTAGCTACTTTGCCTCCTCCTACTTATGCTTCCTTTTGGGTTTCTCTTTTTTTTGCCTGTCCCTTTAAAATTAGTATTTTTGCTGTGTATGGTGATGCATACCTATAATCCCAGCTACTTGAGAAGTAGAGACAGGAAAATCATGATTCTAAGCCAGCCCAAGCAAAAGTTAGTGAGACCCTATATTAAAAGCAAGCCAGAGACAGGTGCCATGGCTCACACCTATAATGCTAGCTATTCAGGAAGCTGAGACTGGGAGGACTGCAATTTGAAGCAGCTCAAACAAAAAGTTCATAAGACCCCATCTCAACCAATAAAAGCTGGGCATGGCGGTGTGCACCTGTGATCTCAGCTACACAGTAATCATAAATAAGAACGTCATACTCCAGGAAGGCCAGGGCATAAATGCAAAACCTGATTTGAATAAAATAACTAAAGCAAAAAGTGCCAGGAGTTATGACTCAAGTGGCAGATTACCTGCCTAGCAAGCACAATGACCTGGAGTTCAAACTTCAGTAAAAGTAAAAAAACAAAAACAAAAAACCAGGCACCATGGCACACACCTATAATCAGTTACTCTGGAGGTGGAGGTAAAAGGACTGTGGTCTCAGGCTGGACCAGGTGAAAGCATGAGACCCTAACTGAAAGATAAACTAAAAGCAAAAGAGCTGGGGGCATGGCTCAACTGGTAAATCATCTGCCTTGCAAGCATGAGGTCCTGAGTTCAATCCCCAGTTCTGAGGCAGGCCAGCAACAAAAAATAACCCACCATGGGATATTTTTACTGCTCCCCCAGCACCACCCTGAGCCTTCTCTAGGGCAATAAATTCCCTTTAAGTTGTAAATACCCTGGCAGCTATAAATATCTTTGCAAGACAGTGTCAAAGGGGCACCTCTGAGTTGAGGCTTGCCTGGTAAAAGAAAGGTCTACCCCCAATTTGACCTCTCAGGCCAAGTCCTCTATTTAAGACCTTATGAATATTGGTTGCATCTCATATGTACAATTAAGGATGTGAAAATTAGCATAAGCACATGTGCAGAATAACCTGTTATGTGATAAGGCTGGGTTAATTAAACCTGCCAGTCACCCTAGCCCCTCCCTAGGAACTGCCCAGATTTTTCCTGTCTCATAACTTATAAATTGGTCTTCAAACAAAAAGATCAATGCTTTCATGCCACTAGGCAGAAGCCCACTGCTTTCTCTTGCCATGCTTCCTCTTACTTTTTCTTTCCTTGTCTTTAAATAAAGTTTTGCAAAGACTGTTTTGTGTCTCTGTCCAGTTCACATTTCAGGTGGCACAAGAACCTGGGATCTTCTGGATTAGTGTCTTCTTAGACCACTCAGTCCAGTAACAGTACCACCAAAAAGAAATAAATTGCTGTTTCCCAGAACTCTGTTCTCATTTCTTTTCTCATTCTCACATGCCTTTCCTGGCCAGGCTTACCACATTCATCCCTGCCTATCCATTAACAATACAATGATAACTCCGCTCCAAACCCACAGACAGAAAGGCCTACCAAACTCTTCCCCATGGATGAAATTCAATACAACCAAAACACAACCTAGAATCCTGTCCCTATCTTCTTGCCTTCAATAAATTCTGGGTATCTGTAGTGTAAGCAGCTCGCTCTAGCAAACACTGATTTCTTTCAACAAAACCTTCATTTGTGTGTTTTGGGAACATTATAGACCATTTCTATTTCCCTGCCTCCTGCCTACCAAGCCACTAATCTACACTGTACTCTCCCCTTCCCTTGTTACCTACTCATATCCTTCCAATGACTCAACTAAGACCTACCTCCTTGTTTACAGCCTCCCTGCTTTCCCCATCCCTGCTTCTAGCATCATTCTCAGTAGCTTATATCCATTAGATGACCTGCCCAATAACTTCATTTCCTAATCTAATCACCACCATTAAACTTCTTCCTCTACTTGGCCTCAGCCATGTACTTCCAGGGCCAATACTGCACCACCTCCAAAATCTGAATCACAAACCTGTCATTCTCCATGTCCTATCACCCAGCTTGGTACTTGTGGCTGGATCCATGTTAGCACAATCTGCCAAGATCACTTGACTAAAGCAGATGTTATGAACTCTGAACTAAAGTTAATTTCCTCTCCTAGATATGGCAAATGTGTAGGGGACTCCAGGATATGTCTCAGCTGGAAAGCAGCAGGCAACCTGTCTTTGTATAACAGGGGCTTAAAAGTTGCTTTTGTAGCTGAGTGCCAGTGGCTCACACCTGTAAGGCTATTTGGGAAGTTGAAATCAGGAGGAACAATCAAGAGGATTGTAGGTTTGAGGTCACCAACCCAGGCAAATAGTTCCCGGGCCTCCATCTCCCCAATAACCAAACCAAAACAGATTGGACAATTGGTTCTATCAGTAAAATGCCTATTTTGTGAGTTTGAAGCCCTCAGTTCAAACCCCAGTCCCCCCACCAAAAAGCTGCTTTTGCTAAAGAGCACGGACTCTTTACTTGGGCCCACAAATTAACTAAAGGCAAGAAACATGATTATAACCCATCTTTTTTCCATAGAAATGAAAGGAATAAATTGACAGTGAGGAAAATAGCCAGAACTATAACAAAACAACTTTTGCTATACCCAGCTTGCACGCTGGCCAATTAACTCTATATGTTAATCAAAGTGACACATTTTCCCCTCTTTGTCTACATGCTGGGCAGTCCAAGGATAAAAACCTTTACTCTTCAGGCTGGGTGCCGGTGGCTGACGACTGTAATCCTAGCTACTCAGGAGGATCGAGAATCAAAGCCAGCTTGGGCAAATAGTTCCTTGAGACCCTAACTCAGCCTTTCACAAAAATAGGACTGGTGGAGTGGCTCAAGGTGAAGGCCTTGAGTTCAAGCCCCAGTGCAGCAAAAAAAAAAAAAAATCTTTACTCTTCAATTAAACCAGGCAATTTTCTACCCTTTATCTCTCTCTGACCACCAGAGAAGTAAACCTATCAGTCAAGACATACAGCTTTAGAGATATGGTGCTGGACTTGGAGAACTGAGCCCAGCAGCCGTTCCGGGACACGTACTCAAACTGGGCCTCTAATCTCCCCTTTAAAAGGTGGATATTTTCTCCCAGAAGTGGGACAACAGAGCTTTGAGAGGTTGATTCTCCCAGTCCTCTTTATGGGATGAATAATAAACCATATGTCCTTTCCAAAAAACCCTGCTCTTGTTATTTGTGAACTGGCATTGAAGCTAGGGGACTGGCTTTCTGGTAACATTTGCAACTGTCCAGTTGTCAAGGCTGCTGCTGTTAGGCTGTCAGCCTGTTAAGTTTTTTTTTGTTTTTGTTTTTGTTTTTTTGGTGGCAGTCGGTGGGAGAGGTCGAACTCAGAACTTAGCACTTAATAGACAGGGGCTCTACCACTTGAGCCATACTGCAAGCCCTTTTTGTTTTGGTTATTTTTAAGATAGGGTCTCGTTTTACATCGGGGCCAGCCTAGACTATGGCCCTCCTACAATGTGCTTTTCTGCCTGGCTAGGATGGCAGCTGCATGCCACTACACCCAGGACCTGGCTGAGAAGGGGTCTGGTGAATGTTTTGCCCTGGCTGGCCTGAAACCATGATCCTCCCAATCTCTACCTCCAAGTAGCTGGGATTACAGGTGTCAGTCACTGTGGACCAGGGTCTTTTTAATGTGTTTACCTGTGTGTCTTCCCTACAGACCTCATTAAGACAGATTTTAATCATCTTGTCTGGATATACAGTAGACCCTTGGTATCCACAAGGGTATGGTTCCTGGGAGATCGCCATTGAGGAAAAACTGAAGGCTCAGAATGCATAGAGTAACCTCTGCTAGACATACCACCTTTCAAAAAATCTAAATTTTCACTTTATCACTTCAATTAAGCACATTAAATGCCCTTATGCATAATGTACTTCACCTTGCTTTTGGGGCATCTTTGTTTTTTGGGAGGCAGATTTTTAGAAAATTAAGGGCAATCACACAATGATTTCAACACAACTGACAATGCAGGACTGACAGTTTCTCTGCAAGAATTGAGCTGTGTAATGCTCAAATGGTAATTAAAAATATTTGTATTTAAAATATCTTTTGATTATTTATTCTTTTGTTTTTAACTATGCTTGGTCAAGACAGCATGTAGTAAATCCATGAATAAAGCAGGCTTACTATATAGTCCCGAAATCTAGCACAGTGCACGTCACAATGAGGCCCTCGATAAATACTCACTGAACCATCTCTGTCTCAGTACATGATACCACCACTGTTCAGCTGCATAGGCCGAGGGGAAGAATCATCTTAGGTCCCTCCCTCTGTTGAATCCTCACATTCACCATGTTCTATTCAGTTCACTTGTAAGTATTTTTTCATGTATTTCTCTCTGTGCAACCCCTACTGCCACTGTAGTATTTGACACTCACCTCTTGCCTGAACTACTCCTCTACTCTCAACCCACAGCAATCTACTGTCACACTGAAAATCTGACATTTCCAACATACAAATCTCAGCATGTCACTCCTTTCCCCATCACTTAAAAGATAATTCGTTTGGGAGGGGGCGGGGGAAAGGGAGGAGAAATGACCCAAACATTGTACGCACAAATGAATAAAAGAAATTAAAAAAAGATAAGTTGTTCACCTCTTTTCTATGGTATGCAAAGCCCTTTATGCTCTAAGCCATTACCAACCTCAGCAGCACCTTGTCTCATCATTCCTTCACCTACACATTCTTGTCATTGAATTCAAAATAATAAGCATGTCATTGTGTACACATTTCATTCTGTGTGCAATACTCTTTGGCCCCACCCCTCAGTGTTATCCACTACACTTTTCTGAGCACTGCATCTTCTGTGAGGCCCTTCAGCCTCCTTCAGATGGGCTTATAGGCGCCAAGCCTTCTCTCTAGCACATCCCTTCCCCCCTTTACTACAGAAATCTGTAAATTCTGGACTTGCTGAATGTCAAATATAAACACCTAGAGAACATGGATACTATCTCTTTACTCTCATAATCCCAGTGCATGCCATAGTGGAAGGAACATGGTGAAACATACAGAAATGGCTGGCAAATAGAGAAGTAAAATCTCTAAAAGATGAAAAGAGGAACAAAGGTGACAAGAAATGAGGGAAGAGAAAGTTCTTCACTGTTACATTTCTTCTTCTTCCGGAACATGAACAGCTTCAGAGCTAGATCTAGCTTTAGAGCTTATCAAGTTCGCTGGTCTCAACCTGTCCACCTTCACACCCCACTCACCTTTGTGTGTGCTGCCCACAAGCAGACTGGTCCCGTATCCTCTTAATGTTCTGCTCTGTGCCACTGCTCACCATGCCCCTTCCCTCATTTCTTCGGTCTAAAACGTTTCATGTATAACTCAAATGGTTTTTCCTCATTCAAAAGCACACTTTAGAAAGCACCATATAAATATTAAATGTGATACGCAAATACTTCACATAGTATACCTAGCACAGAATGCAATGTGGACTACAGAGTTACAAAATTTTTTCATGAGTGCAAATTCTTTCCAAAATTATAACATATAAAAATTCTACAAAAAAAAGGGGTTTAAAACATTAAAAAATGAAAATGAACAAGTACTTCTGGGATTTGGTATAGAATAAACAAAAGAATTTCTCAAACTAATGTCAAATGTTACATAAAATGAAAGCCATGAAGGCCCATTATTGAATAACAAAAATAATATGCTCTACTTGATAAAACTATTTACCAGGGTTTAATCTCCCTGGAGCACAACTTCCTACATGGCTAATAAGAATTAAAGAAAACTATCCGGATGAGTACTGGTGGCTCATGCCCATAATCCTGGGAGGATGAGATAAGGAAGATCACAGTTTGAAGCCAGCCCAAGCAAACAGCTCTCAAGACTCCATTCCAAAATAACAAGAGCAAAATGGACTAAAGGTGTGGCTCAAACAGCAGACTGCTTCCTGAGTTCAAACCCTAATCCCACAAAAAAGAAAAACCTGTCTAGGTGAAGATGAAAAAGGAAACAAACACAACAGTTGTGCCTCATCAATAAAATGGTTCCTAAATCTTAACATGCGTACCAACAAAGATCCCAGATCTTTAATTCTAAAAAATCTGTCTAATCTCAGGTAATATTACATCTAAAAGTCAGCATATGATGCCACCCATTAAAAATAGTCAACAGCCAGGTGCTGATGGCTCACACCTATAATCCTAGCTACTAGAAGGTAGATATCAGGAAGATTGTGGTTTGAAGCCAGCCCAGGTAAATAGTTGTTCAAGTCCCTATCACAAAAAAATCAACACCAAAAAAAGGGCTGGTGCAGTGGCTCAAAGCATAGTCCCTGAGTTCAAACCTTAGTAATGCAAAAAAACAAAAAAGAACAGTCAACAAATGCCAATGATATGCTGACACTGGAAATTAGTTCATAATGAAAACTAAAAATGCATCTTTCGCCAACAGGCCCATGACCACAAATTGAAGGAGACCAAGAAAGAACAAATGAGTAGACATGCAAACATGAAAAACAATGAGAAGCATCTGAACAGGGAGCTCAAAACTTCATTTGAGTTTCCAGGAATTTAATCTTTATATATGAGAGATTTATCAATCTGTTTTTTACAGAAAAGATGGGACTGACCAAAGATCAAACAACAAGCTCATGACTGGAGAAAACAGAATACAGGACCTCTCTTCTAACCTAGTTCTTACATCTTTTTGAATTAAAAAGAAAAAAAAAAACCCAAAGTGTTAGTAGCTAGTGGCACAGCAAAGGGGCTATGGAGCCAAGGTGACTTTTTTCTATAGAAAGAAATTTGCACATAGACCCAAGGTATTACCTCAGTTACTTTTCTTTCTACTTCTGTTCCATTCACATAGTACACATCTGTGATGACACGGGTGACCAGTGTGCGTACTTCACGGATTGTTCTCATGTGACGATGCAAGACATGGCCATGTGGAGGCTGAGGCATATCGAACTCTTCTTCTCCCTGACAAGACACAGAACATAAGTGCAGGTGTCGCTAAGAACTGTCAGAATCACAAATCAAGCTCTTCATGATGAGCACTGTTCAGAGGATTCATGATGATATTTTCTAGGTGCTTTGTTTTCTATTCATCTACAGATTAAATCATCTATAAGTAAGACTGAGGAAGGGTCACTTACATAGCCAGAGGTTAGGAGGAGTCTGTGCCAGACCTAGAATGACCTAAAGTAAAGCCATAATATCCAGCACTTATATCTAGGGACATTTAGGTGAATATTTGATAGCTAAAGTACATTATTTTTATTTTGCAATCTTTCTAGTTTTGATGATGACTTACAAATTAGTTCATAAGCTTACAATTTTAACAGCTCTTTAAATAAAAGCAGGCATGCTTTAATCCTTTACATAAATCCACAATGACACATTTGTTAATCTCAGTGTTTTCCCCATATTAGTAAGTGAAAATGAGTTTATTTATATAAGGACCACCACCTATCTATATACCACTTTTAAGTGTACAGTTCTATGACAATGAAGTACAGTCATGTTGTTGTGAGTATACCACCATGTATCTCCGAACTTTTGATCTTTTTCTCAACTAAAACTCTGTACTCATCCACGATCTATATTTTTCTAGAACTATTCCTAGCAGAAGCAACTAGCTGGTAAGGATGTTATTTCACTCTGTGTGGCACTGTAGTAGCACAGTATCAGTAAGTAGTTATGGCAACAGCAATAGTACTTATAATTATAACAACAAGAAGAATCAATAGGTAGCAGCAGCCACCAACTTCTTCACAGCATTTAGTATATGCAGACCCAGGGCCAAGCACTACGTAGGCCTTATCTCTCAGTCTCCAAAGTATCTTGATGAAGTAGGATTTCAAAGCCTGGGCCTTAACCACTGGTATTCACTGCCTCCTATCATCATAATGAGATATAAGCAGAGATTATTTTCTCTTTTTACAGAGGAGAATATGAAGAGGTAAAGGAAAATAAAATCTATTGACTCCCATACGATTGCTAAATATAACTCTTTCTATAAAGGTAGAGAAAGCAAAATTTTATGTGGCAGAATACAGACACTTTAAAGATGAAAATAAACAGAAGCAAGGTAGGATCTAATATGCTATGGCCTCTACATCCAAAAGGATTTTGAATCTTAGCTCTTAGCCCTCAGAAGTTGTTACTATAAAAGACAAATATAAACAGAACTGTGGAGTTCCTAGAGAGACAAAGATAAACAACAAAAGACTAAACCAATCATAATTTAAAAACAGAAGAGTGACAGGGAAAAGAATAACATTTTTTTTTCCATTTTCCTTTTGGCACTACTGGGGTTTGAACTCAGCACTTGCTAGGCAGGTGCTCTACCACTTCAGCCATGCTCCTAGCCCAAGAATAACAATTCTGAAGACAGATATACTGAGTTCAAATTCCAGTTTCACCACTACTGATGGCAAAATCTTGGGCAAGTTACTTAATCTCTCTTCAGCTTGGTTTCTTTACCTATGAAATGCGAATAATAATACCAACCTCATGGGTTGGGTCTTGAGCAGAATGATGACTTATCATAGGTGTTCAATAAATAGGAACTATCTTTTAGAAAACAAACAGTTTGGACCGTCAGAACGAGAGGCACATCACTGAAGATTTCCTAGGCAGATCCCAAGTGAAGATGATCTATTAGAGCAACTGAAAGGCAATTTAACCAACTATTAGTAACTTCTGAAATTTCCCTGCCACAGATCCCAATGCTACCCAATGACATCCTGTCAATGTCTACTTACTTGTTAACACATTTTCATTCTGGTTTTTAGACAGGGTCTTGCTATGTGGCCAAGGCTAGCCTTGAATGCACAATCCTCCAGCCTTAGCCTCCCCAGCACTGGTATTAAAGGCATATGCTTCCACACCTGGCTTAACATATACGTATCTACCAACACTTCTGATCCTACTCAATTTTTACTAGTACCCACATTCCCTACTATACCCTAGAACCTCTTCTTCCTCTAGCCTCATTTCTAGCCCTGTAATCTCTAGTCACAGTCCCTAGTCACCTGAGGTCTTTTCCCCATCTCTGTCTATTACTGTCACTGTTCTTTCTGATTCCAGTACAGAGACACACTGTCCATCATGCTTTTCCTTACACCTTCATTTCCTGCTATCTGAATTCCTAGAAACCATGATGAAAAAGACTTAGGGAAAAGGTTAGAAAGGAGGATGAGAAATGATGGCAGATGGAAAAAAACTGAATGTCAAAGAACAAGAGGTACTACCTAACAAACCCTAACACTATTCTATTTTTCCTGTATTTTTGCTGAAAGACCATCCATTTTAGAGCTAACAATAATTTCCACTACCTTATCTCTATCCTGGATAAGTTGCTTTTGTATTTTAACCACTATTTCATAAAAAAACTACTAAGAGTTGTCATTACAAGTTCCACAACTTTAAGAATCCAGAGAGCCAAAAACAGGGCCTCTGAAGCACCCCAGCATATTCTCACCTGGCTATGGAGTGACTCTGTTTCATCACCAGGAGCACTGACTGGTTTCTCACCATTTCCTCTCTCAGTCTGTACTGTGGCATCTTGTTTTCCAGAGTTCTGCTCCACTGTACTGGTCCCCTGCTCACACACATTCTTTACAGTCTGAGTTGCTGCCGAAACAGTTTCTGGGGTACAAAGGGAATGCTCCATGGTCTGAATTCCTACATTTTGGGTGGGTCTTTCAATTAAGGCCTTGCTAGATTTTTCTCGATTGGCATTCCATCCTTTCTGGCCTTGTTGCATTTCTGTCTCCATTGCTTCTCGTTGAGGGATAGATGGCCCTGGTGTGGTCCTCTGCTGGGAAACAGAAGCAGTAGGATCCTTGATTGGACCCATGGGCCTCACAGGCTGTTCACTCTCCCTTAGCCTTTGGTCACTATCTAGTTTTTCTTTCTCTTCTTCTTCTTGAGGACTTGGAAAGTGGAGCAAGTTCCCCCTGAAAATGAATCAAAGAAACTATGTGTTATGGTTTGAATATGGTGTGGCCCTTTGAAACTCATGTTAAAATTTAAACTCAGAGCCCAGCATGGTGCAGTACGCCTATCATTCTGCCAAAGCAAGAGACTCATGAGTTCAAGACCAGCCTGAACTACATGACAGATCCTGTATTTAAAAAAAAAAAAAGGGGGGGGGGCGGGAACTGAAGGAGAGGCTCAAGTGGTAGAGTGCTTGCTTTGCAAGAGTGAAGCCCTGAGTTCAAAATAAATAACTAAATAGAATGTAATGAGATATTAAGAGGGTAAAAGCTAAATCCAACTATAGTATTTATGAGGTGGGGTTTTGGAGAGGTAATTAAGATCAAATAACATGGTTCCAGGCTAGCCCAGGCAGGGAGTACCTATGATCCCACAGGTAAGAGGATCATGGTCTGAGGCTGGCCTGGGGCAAAACTAACTGAAGCAAAAAAAAAAAAACAGGCTGAAGGGCATGGGCTTCTACTTTGCAAGCACGAAGCCCTGAGTTCAACTCTAGTATGGGACAAGAGGGGGTGGGAGATGGGGTAGATCACATCAGTTGGGCACCTATGAGTGAATACTTGCGGCTTTGTAAGAAGAGAAAGATTAGAACTAACATACACACTCCTTCTCTCACCCATGTGATGCCCTGTACTGCCTCAGAATTCTGACATTAAGAAAGCCACTGACAGATGTAGCCCCTCAGAAACATGAGTTAAAGTCTCTTTATAAATAACTTAACTAGTCTGTAATTCTGTTATTAGCAACAGAAAATAGATTAAGTGGACTAAGATCCCAAGTTGAAACAGAGGAAAAGGAGAGAAGAAGAGAGGGAGAGAGAGGGAGGAAGGGAGGGAAAGGAGACAGGGAGGAAGGGAGGAAGAGAAGGAAAGAGGTAGGGGAAGAGGGAGGGGAAGACAGAAAGGGAGGGAGGCAGGCAGACAATTTTAGGAGTAGAAGAGTGGTGAGATTAAGGCAGCCAAACATACCACTTTGTGAGGCCTCTTGTCATAATTTCACTACTGTGAAAAAATAATGGTAGCAGCACCATTCCACAATGATGATAAAAAATAGTCATAAAATGTCTCCCCATCACTAACTATAAACTCTAAAACCTGACACAGGAAAATGAAGTAAGCATAAGAGATAAAACCATTACTGGGGGCTGGCAAACCAGCACAAGTGGTACAGCATTAAGTGGTGGAGCACCTGCCTAGCAAGCGCAAGGCCCTGAGGTCAAACCCCAGTACCAACAAAAAAAAAAAACAAAAACATCATTACATCATTAGATCATCTCATTTGGCTTTATGAACTGACTTTTTTTTTTTTTTACTTAAAACATTTTTAATGATAACACAAAATTCAAAAGCCACAGAAAAATACCACTAATAAAAGAACAAACTGAAAACAATTCATGCAACAAGTATGTCAAAGCAATAGTTTCTTTGACGTATATAACAGCTCTTGAAAATAAGAGATGACTAGGAGGATGGGGAGAGGTTTGTCAAAGAGCATGATGTTACCCTTAACTGACTTTCAGCATTACAGATGTTGTCTATCCCCTCCAACTAATTATTTTAAGAAAAGAAATCCAATCTTCAAAGGAGAAAGGCACAGATCAGATCCTGGTTTAGCTAATTCCATAGGAAGATCTACAGCTATCATTTCAGAATAACTTGGTTCCCTGAAGACGATTCTCAAGATACAGCTCAGTTCTTTTCACTAATTTTTCCATTTGGGTATCTCTGATTTGCTTATTTATCCCACAAGCATTGGCTGAATGTCTCCATAAACCAAATACCATGATTTCTAAGGTGACTAGGGGTTTTATATTTCCTTAACAATTCTCTAAACTAAAAAGGCCCAGGCTGCCAGACACTGGTGGCCATGCTTGTAATCCTAGCTACTTGGGAGGCTGAAATTAAAAGGATCTGAAATCCAGGGCAGCCTGGACAAATAGTTCCTGAGACCCCATCTCCAAAACTGAGGAGAGCAAAATGGACTAGAGATGTGGGTCAAGTGGTAGAGCACAGAAGCCCCAAGTTCAAACTGTACTTGCCACCAAAAAAAAAAAAAGGCCCAGGCTAACTCTAAGTTAACAAGTTACACAATAACATCTTATTCACCTGCATATTTATAACACCTAATACACAGCTTAATATAAAATATGTGCTTAATACTTTGAACAAAAGAATAAATATTCTCTCAATGGACTGCAAAATCTACTCACACAGTAAATAAGCAAAAACTAATGCACTTTTAGGCCATATGTAAATAACTAGAATAAAGATGAAAGAAATCCGTTCAGAACTGACCATGTTAGCACATCTAGAATGTGTTTCAGGTTGGAGTGTTACTTTTTTACAAGGCATAAACTGAGATACACCCTGAAAATAACATCAAGGAGGCTAAGGGGCCTAGAAACCATATCACATGTTCCTTTAAGCACTTGGCCAGGGAAAGAGAGCTTGCTTGGGCTGCCTCCTATTTGGGAGGAGCTCTCATTGGTAACAGCCGATCTTGCCTTGCTAGACAAAGGAACCATGAAGAGCCCTTTACAGTTTGTGCGGCTCTGAATCATAAGTGAGAAAGAAGAAAGGAGTCCAGTTTCTGTGTTGTTTGGCTCAGTTTACTAGGATAGCAGATGAATTTGGAATAGAGTTCTAGTTACAAGGACCACTTGGTTCTTATAATTTTGTGTCCTCTCTCTCCAGAATAGGACGTACGGCTGAATGAGAATCTTCCTCCAATGAGAGGAGAGAACACCATCACCAGGAGGCACGTGAGTAGCTCCTGCCCCTTGACAAAGCTTATGATGAACATGTATGCAACAGTGCTGAGCACGGCAGATATGCAATCAGTATTAGCTGCACAAGACAGAACAATTATTAGAGAAACTCAATTCACCTTCTATATGAACTGAGTACTCACGTTTGAACTTTACAACATCTAATGTATCAATGGCTAAGCAATAATGAAGGTGAGTGAAAGCCAAAAGGGGCAGGACTCAATTAATGATTTTCAGAATTCATTTGTCCTTGTTTCTCACCCTTACACAAGCTTACACATTTTACCTCATGCTACTGAATGTATGTTTGAGCCCACTCAAAACTCATGAATTAAATCCTAACTCCCAAGGTGATGGTATTAAGATACAGGGCCTTTGGGAGGCTATTAGGTCATGAGGGTTGCCTTCATGAAAAGGGTTCATACCCTTATAAGAGAGACCTCAGAAAGCTCCCTCACAGGAAGCAGGCCCTCTACCAATACCAAATCTGCCAGCATTTTGATCTAACATTTTCCAGACATCATAAATGTAAGAAATAATTCCCTGTTGTTCATAAGCCACCCAGTCTATGGCAGTTTGTTAGAACAGCCCAAACAGACTAAGATACCTCAGAAATTGTTATTCAGGGCAGAACCTCCAAATGGAAATCTGAATAGAATTTCACTTCTGTTTTATGTTGAACTTTGTCTTTTGTTTTTTTGCCTTCCAAAGAGTTAATCAGATCTCCCCACCTTCAAAGACCAAAGGTAACTCATAATAACTAAACAATATTCAGTAGATTCCTATCAAACATCAGAATTTTCGTATTTATCATTCTCATGCTAGCATTGGTCGAATGACTATTCAAATTACAGTCACTGGTTTTGGTTGACCGGACTGTGAGATTAAGATTAAATACAGAATAGTATGGAGCCCCTCCCTCCCAAAAAAGCCTTAATTGCAACATATACTATCAAAAATGTTGCCTTACTCCTACAAAGTTCATAAATCTTTGCACATAAAGCATTGAGAAAAATATACCATAAAAATGTACATTAATGTCTTAAGAAACAATTTTTAAAAAAGGAATCCCTAGTGTCAGAAACGAATTTTAGAAGCAGAGAAATCCAATAAATTATAAGAAATGCCAGGGCTGGTGTTATACCTCAGTGAGAGAGCACTTGCCTACTAGCACATGTGAGGTCCTGGATTTGATCTTCAGCATCCAAAAAAAAAAAACCAAGCACCTCACTTCTTCATTAGTTTCAGCTACTCAACTCTAGTCACAATCAGATTTACCACCAGGCACCAGTGACTCATGCCTATAATCCTAGCTTCTCAAGAGCAGAGATCAGGAGGATCACAATTCGAAGCCAGCCTGGGCAAATAGTAGAGATCCTGTCTCAAAAATACCTACCACAAAAAGGGCAGGTGAAGTGGCTCAAGATGCAGCCCCAGTGTCCCAAAAAAAAAAAAAAAAAAAATTACCAACTAATGCAATAAAAAGAAATTTTAGCAGAAAAGGAAAAGATAAAATTTAATCCAAAGTGGAAAGAGGAAGAATAAATCAAGCTTCTAGCCATTTAATTCTGAGTTTAGGTCTATTTATGGAGCAACTGGAATCAGGTCCAACTCATTCCCCATGACCTATTTTACCAACCTCAGTATCACCAACATGTTGGCTTTTCTATTTTAAGATACTCTAATAAAAAAGGCCACAATGTTACCAATAAATTTAATAATAGCTGAGCCCTTTGTAACAGCACTTTTAAAATCACAGAAGTGTTACTTCACCTAACTAGCTTTTTTTTTTTTTTTTTTTTTCAGTACTGGGACTTGAACTCAGGGTCTACACCTTGAGAAACTCCACCAGACCCTTTTTGTGATGGACTTTTTTGAGATAGGGTCTTGTGAATAACTTGCCTAGCCTCACTTTGAACCACAACCACAATTCCCCTGAGTAGCTAGGATTACAGGTGTAAGCCACCTATGTCTGGCTTTTGTGATATAAGAGATCCTAATTTCCTTAGAATCTAGGCCATTGGATTTCCAAGAATACCAAAAAGCTCCCACTTAATAATCAGAATGCCCAGATAAAAGCACTTTGAAAGATATTTCTTCTAAATATTTCTGTCAAAAAAGGACATAAAAAGTAAAATATGCTACTAATACCACTATTAGGGATATACTTCTTTACAAAACAGTATTATACTG